CTCGGGGTTCGTTGGAGCATACGCACCCGCTCTGCTCCGCCAGGCTAAGCGCAAGGAAAATTATCGACCCACGCTAAAAAGGAAGATATTGGGTCTCAAGTCAAACTTGTAAGCCGCTTCCACGCCAGCGACTCTTTCAGCGGCTCTAGTTGAGTGGAGGTCTTTCACTCTTGTCTTTGACACTGACGGCATTGCAGTAGAAGAAATATCTGACGGGCGTAAATCAGCATCTCATGGATCCCAAAGCGCACCTTGATGAAAAAGACAGACATAAGAAGGAGAAGCTGGAATCTGAGCTCTAGAAGAAGGATACGAGGCGAGGGCGGAAAAGAGGGCGCGAAAGTATCCAGACAAGCCCCGCCCCCCGAGGCGCACGACCCAAAAGAGGTACCGTTCGGATATTCTTGATCTCCGTCCATTGTTCCCGCCATTTCGCTGACTCAAATATTTTTATGACTGTAGGGCATTCTATATGTCATCATCGTCAGTCCGCCATGATAACCAGATGCACTGAGCAGGATTCGGAGATAGCTTACCGGTAGCCGGTGGGCTCGCGACAACATTGAAAAGAGGGTTGGGTGAGATTTGGCTTTTTCATGAGAACAAAATGAGTGATCTAACAAGTTCCGGGCGCATTGGAATCTGTTCCGATCATGTCTAGACCTGGGGGCTGGAGTGCCCAAGCCCTGGCGGTCAGGAACTGACCGTAATACTGAGTGCACCGCAACAAGGCTGACAAAGTGCTTGAGCTGCTTACCAGGGTACCTAGGTACTGATGTCCTCCACCAAGTTAGCCTCCTTGCTGGTACTAAAATGTTCCACAGCCACGATTCTCAATAAATGGCAGTCGTGAGTGACTTGTGTTCTTTCAGTGAATCATCAGTGCCAGCCCAGGTATAAAAAGCCCGGTTCCCACCCTGCTGTAGAGCAACTTCGACCGCCGTATGAACATGCCGCACGCTGAGGCACATTTTCATTCAGGAGCCCCATCATAAGAATCATACTTTTTTTATTCTGTGGCGTTTTACAGTGAGCCCTACCCAGGTGTCGAAAAAGTCTACCCCAATCTCAGCATACCTAGGTATGATGACTGCACCGACACCAGTAGCGGGTCGTCCCAGCAGTGGACTGGGCCCGTGGATTTACGAGAGGGGGTGGTGCCTCTACGGAATCTTACAGGCAGGACATTTGACCAGCATAAAATCTACTTCTTTGGCTCTTACTAACGGCTTTCGCAGTGCATCGTATCTCTAGTGGCCACATCGTTGTCAGGTGGGATCCTGAGGCCAGCAGGCTCGATCAAACCTGCTCCATGCCCCGCGGCCGACAATCGAATATGGCTACTCACATTCCTTTTCGCCAACTCGCTTTGTCTCATTTGGTCCATCACTGGAACATTCAGGAAGTGTATTTTCAGGAAGCTAGAGTGGCATCCGACCCTTTTTCGCCTCTACATTTTCACGGATTGTGTACCGTGGCTCGCGGTGATTGTGACTTCCATCGTGAGAATCCTCCAATCCACCACCTAACATTCATCCACTGATTACATTCCTAGGGATATTTGTGCTTCGTAATCCTGGGCCCTGATGGTTGTTCGGCAAATAATGGGGCTTTAAAAGCGGTCTTGACCATGATATGTTTCGCAGTCGTGTGGTGTGTGCTTGAAATCTGTGCACTGGTCAAAATTTACTACATCGACTTCGGCCCAGTGAGACATGGCGACAATAAGTGTGCAACATGGTTGTGGGTCAGGTCGATTCAAGTAAGTATCACTCTTTCTTCACTGTTTACCAGTTACTGATGTCATTCTGAGTTAGACTTTCCTTGCCGGGGTATCTTTAGTGGTTGCAATTCTTTCCTACTTGCCGGGGATGGTCCCACTGCCAGACGACATGCGCATGGGAGTCAACCACATATCTGTGGCTTTTGGAGCCGGGATTTGTGGTTTTCTGTTCAGTTGGCATTTAATCATGACCATAGGGCGGAAAATCTTCGAGGGGTCCTACCGCAAGTATGTCTTCCTGATACTAGCGGAGTGCTTTTCGGCAATCGGTTCCGTCGTAATCGTTCTTGTAAGTTTTGCCAAATCTTAGTCAAAATTCGACCTACATCTAGTCTGTTGAAAGATGCTTCGCTAATACTGTTATAAAGACTTCTTGCTTCATACACCTCAGAGATGGTGCTCCTTGCAATCCACACCGCAGCCACTGGTGTTTTTTGCTTGCAGTCATGGACGGCTTCATTGGCATTGGGGCCATTCTACAGGTGTATAACTTTCTGGTCATATTTAATTCGCGCAACAAAACCTTTCGTCGGTTGAAGGAGGAACATAAAGACAATCAGGAAATGAAAAAACGTGAAAAGGCTCGCGAAGAGGCCATCAAGGCAGGTTTGAAAGCCTATGAGGCAGCTAGAGAGGCCTACCAGGGAGAAAGAGAAGACAAAAGGGGCGCCAGGAGCTGGCAAAACTCTTCCAATGGTACCCACACTGTTCAAAGACCAGGGCCAGCTCAACTTCCCAACCCACACATCGACCACGGCAGGGATAACATGGCGGCGAATAATGTGCAGTACGAATTTCAGTCGTATGCAGGACACAACCCTCCAGCATCCTATCAACGCCAGGACACGGTTAGAGGACGGGGCCAAAGGTCATCAGAGAGGAATGCGCAGCGAGAGCCCTCACCCACATATTCAAGCTCTAGTTCAACCATCGTACAAGAAGAAAATGACCTGGGACGTATACGGAATAGAAGCGAAACCACACACGTACAAGGAGGAAGGACCCTTTTCGACGTGTTGAGCCAACGTGTACGGACAATGGGAACGGATCACAACCAAATAAGGGCTGAAGGCAGAGCAAGAGCAAGGGACAACGAATGGTCGACCCCGCAATACGATAATGTCACAAGACCCGACCCAGCTATGATTCCGCAAATTCGCGTCCAATCTCCTCCACATGCACCTCTGCATGACGAATCTGAATCCGATACAGATTCTCATCCACCTACGGGCCGTAGGAGGACAAGAAGACACGCGCCATCACTAGCGCCGCCGGGGAGTTCTTACCAGGACCAGGTTCGTGTGGTCCACCGCGGGGGCCCGGTATCGCACGAGGCTCGGGGATCGCCTGTTTCTTACCGCGTTTCTACGCCCGGTTATGCCGAGACAGTGGTCGAGACACCGTCGAGAGCTAACTCGGGAGCAACACAGGTGAGTGACCATACTTTCCCAGATGGTCATAACAGAGAAACTTTACAAGGTCTTGTGCTGACAATCACAGCGACGCCGATCGGGGGAACACAGAGCCGTTGTCCGCCGGTGGCTCGCCTAGGTTGCTGAGAGTTGTTTAGGACACAGTGGATAGGAATTTTTTTATTCGTTGAATTTTGATATTCTCTTTCTTCATGACACAAAGAACGAATCAATGCTTTCGCGTGCATTTACGTATTTCCACTTCTGTGGCGGCAGTGTCCCGCCGGTGGATGGTATCTGATAACATAGATTCCGTGCCAGAGTTCGTCCGGGATAATCAGGAATTTTGTCCCCACCGCTACGGATGTGCTTTTCACCTTGGGTATCCCCACTTGAGGTGAATACCGGGACATCTGGAATATTTACAGCTAAAGGAAATCATTTCTCTGGCGAATGGCAAGTTTCCAATAAAAGAGCCGGCGGGTACTGAAAAGATTCATTTGTAAAGGTTTGCCCTTCCCAGTCGCCAGGCAACATTTTCTTTTTGCAATCGTAGCCTCAAGAACCAGTCTGAAACAACCACGTAACCAGTAGGTATGGTTCGGTGCTTACTGACATCGGCCTTTTTTTTTTTTTTTTGACGTGGGGCGTTATGACGTTTTATTACGATGAAGGCACCACATACGTCTTCGGATGCGTACGGATCAAGAACGAAACTACTTAAGTTTGATGAGTCGGGGCCGAGGAATCATGAAAATGTGATCCATAGCAATTGACTTTTCCTTACACCACCACACATTACATGACAGCGTACGTACCAACGGCCATTTCAGCCTTTTTAAAAATTTCGTTTTGTACGAAGGACTCGGGAATAGCAGGGCCAAGACTTATGCTATTAAACGGAGTCATTTACTCACGCAATTGTCTTCCCCGCTCAGTCCAAGTTACACAGCATGGTCCACAGCCAATGATATGACGGTAGGCCTCACGCATATGTCGAGCACACTGATATCTAGCTTCTGTATTGTTGATTTCTGCCGTTTGCAATGGCGCCTTCATACGCAGCAGACAGCACTTGAAACTCCGAAAAACACTGAAAACATCTCACAAATGGAGGGAATCCTTCCAATCAGACCTGTCAAGGTCGAATACCCACGTACAGCGTGCCGATTCTACGCCCACGGCAGTTGCACCAAGGGTACTCTCTGTCCTTACCTTCATGCTCAGTCGCAAACAGCTGCACCGATCTTGCCTTCTCTTAGTACAACGTCGAATCCCACCAGGCCTTGTATGTTCTTTGCCCGAGGCGCATGTAACAAGGGAGACAGATGCACATATTCGCACGAAGGCAACCTACCAGCAGCGCCTCCCACGGTCAAGAACCAATCGGAAGGAGGTGGTCAGCGCGATCACACTCCTGGCGACTCGAGACTGCAAGTCCCATGCTCCTTCTTCGCTAAGGGAAAATGCCTGAAAGGTGATGAGTGTGCCTTTTACCATCCTGGAGACGCCGAAGCCACCCCGACGGAAGCTGAGGTGAACGATGTAAGAATCCACTTCGAATTTCGCCTTCTCCACTTGCAGTGTCAGCAGGCGTTGCAAAAGCTAACCCATTGGCCCTCTAGAATACAAGGCTGAAAGAAGACTGGTCTCGTTCCTTTGGGGGTGGCCTCATCACCTTCAAGGATGGTGCGGCAGTATCAAAGGTGGCCATGCCAACGGACTTCTCTGCCGTCCGCCTCGATAATCTCCCACTGCACACTGACGCTCGATCAATTTCCCGGCTCCTGCTCGAAATTGGAATCATGGATGAACTAGCCAGTACTCGCATTTTCCGTTCGGCGGACCCGAAAGCCTCCCACTGCAGCGCCGAAGTCAAGGTGGAAGACCCTTCGTTTGCGCGACGTCTCTGTGCAAAGCTTGCGCGTGCCAAGGACTCCCCAATCGAGGCCGTAGCAATAGCTTCGCGTGCACCAGCATTAACGGGTCACCGCCGCATCGACTGCAGAAAGCTCATCTGCTCGTGGCACCGCCCGGTGAAGCTTGTATGGCTGAACTTCGGGAACCGAGATATTGCTACGAAAGTTCAGAGCAGATTTGCCTCTGGCAAGTACAAGATTCTAAACCACACAGTCGAAGCTGACAAGCCACACGGAAATGACGATTGGCGAAATACATTGGGTTGGACTGTAGCCTTGAAGACCGTTCCAGGCTCTGCGGGGCGGATCGATGTTGCGCAGGCCATTCCAGACCACTGGAAACCGCGCATCATCAACCTGGGAGAGGCAACGTACAAAACTGATTCAAATACCGCCAAAGCCTCTGTGAAGTCCCTCCTGACCGACATTGGCCAGCTCGCATGGTGGGAGGACACTAGTGGACCACAGTCAAAAAGAGAGAAGGCTGTTGCTCGCTATATAGAGGACGTCGATGCCCAGAAAGCCGCTACCCTCCTGAACAATACTCCACTTCCATTTGCCAAGAATCTCAAGCTGAGCGTCCAAGCTCTCACGAACGCCAAGTTTCGAGTTTTGACCCGGATCTATGCAGCATTGGAGAAACGCATCAACGCCCACGCACAGGCTTGGAAAGATGCCAAGCTTTGGTTCAATTGCTATGCCCCAGTCAATGGATACAGCGTTCTGAAGATAGAAGGAGAAAACAGGAAAGATGTTGCGGATGCAGCAGACACTCTAGAGAGGATCCTCGCTGGCGAGATTGCTGCAGTCGACGGCGCACCACTATGGAGTCCCTCCTTGAGGAACAATGAGGAAACCTACGAGAAGGTCAAGGCTATCCAGAATGACACAGGCACCGTCATCATACGAAACAGGCGGAAGCGTGTCATTACTCTGTATGGGCCGGCCGATCAATTCGAGCAAACAAGGGATCTACTGGCGACCGTGCTCAGAGAGAGCTCGGCTTCTACATTCACCATCACAGTCAACGCGAAACAGCTACACTGGGCACGAGCTGGTGGGCTCCGGAGTATATCACGCGCGATCGGGGGCATCCGTGCAACTTTCGATGATCCGTTCAACCCGAAAGCAATTCTAATCTCCGGATCGGATGAGCACCGCCGCCTAGCCCAAGAACTCGTCGACGCAGAGGGGCCAAGCGCCGTGGACAATGGTGATGAGGATGCCGATTGCTGCGTGTGCTGGACGCCTGCCGAGGACCCGGTCTCCACGAAATGCGGGCATGTGTATTGTGGTGACTGCTTCGAGAATTTATGCGAGTCGGCTTTCACCTCGAACGAGGCCCAGGCGTCCGTCATCTGCAAAGGCAACGCTGACCAGTGCGGGACCACTTTCTCTCTTGAAGAGCTGGAGAACAACCTGTCCATGGGGGCAATGGAGGACTTGCTCGAGTCATCCTTCAAGTCCTATGTCACGAAGAACCCACTCGAGTTCCGCTACTGCCCCGCGCCGAACTGCAGCACGATCTACCGCGTCGGTACCGATCGTATGCACACCTGCCCCAGGTGCGCACTGGTGACGTGTACCTCGTGCCACTCTCCGGGTGGTCATGCCGGCATGTCGTGCGCCGAATCCAGAGCTTGTGGAGCGGGGACATCTGAAGCGGACAAGCTGCTGATGAAGTCGTTGGGGATAAAGGAGTGCCCCAGGTGCAAGACCGCGATCGAGAAGACGTATGGTTGCAACCACATGACGTGTGGCGGCTGTCGAATCCATATCTGCTGGAAGTGTATGGAAACTTTCGCTGCGGCCCAGTCCTGTTATGATCATTTATCAAGGAAGCATGGTGGAGCTTTTGATGTCGATCCCGATTGGAACTAAAACACGGGGGTTGCAGCTTATCCAGCGGGAATTCACTGGACAATGTTCCAAGTTTGTTAAGCTGGGCCTCTCAGGATAATTCCACCCAGCCACTTGCAGTTAGGCACAGAGTGAAATTCGGGTTGGGGGAAGTAGGAGTGCTGTGCAACCTGCACTTCCCGACACCTCTAATTAAAGAGCCAGCATCCACCTACCCAGCTCTAACATCCACCTACCCAATGATTTTTATAGACCTACCCAGTACTAACTTTTTATATATAGGGCCTATATAAAACTATATACCTAACTAGGATTCTCTAAATTTTTAGTATTTTAAGTATAAGCCCCTTCTAGATCTCTTTTAGTACCCCTTTTAAAACTCTTTACCTTTACCTTTTAATACCCCTTTTAGCACCCCTTTTAGCGCTCCCTTTAACCTATATACTTTTAAGGATTAACTCCTTATTTAGGTACTAACTAAGTATTTAGATATTAATTAAATATTAAAAGGTTAAAAGGTTAAAGGGTTAGAAAATTAGAAGAGGTATTAAAAGATTAGAAAAAGTATAATCTTTACCTTTACCTTTTTATCTTCTAGCCTTTTAGTATTTAATTAGTATTTAAATACTTAGTTAGTACCTAAATAGGGAGTTAATTCCTAAAGGTATATAGGTTAGAAAGGGTATTAGAAGGGTGTTAAAAAGTAAAGGTAAAGGGGTGTTAAAAGGTGTGTTAAAAAGGGTATTAAAAGGGGTTTATACTTAAAATATTAAAGTTTAGAGAAGGAAATTATACTATAAAGTCTTTTAATATTAATTTAAAAAGTACTTATAAATATAAGGGAGTTACTAAGAAAAATAGATATTAGGTAGGTTTTTAGAAATTACTAGGTAGGTGGACGCTAGCTTCTAATTAAACTTTTACCCTTACTTTCTATTTTTACCTAGGTGTCCACAAGAGGTGCTGTTTATATTAGATAGAAGTATAGAATATAATTTCGCTTTTATTCTATATATATCTAAAGATATATATAGAACCTTTATATTATAATAATTATTTTAAGTTTAATACTTGAAAGGAATATAATATTAATAATATATATTATAATATTACAAGATTTATAATATTAATTTTATTAAAAATAATATTTAAATATAGAAAGTTATTTATTTTTAAATAACTTTTATAATTAAAGGTTTTTAAGCTTTATAAATAATTTAAATAAATAATTAATAAACCTTATTCTAAGTTATAAAATATTAAATTATTTAAAAGATTACTTTGAAAGTATAAATTAAGAATTTTAAATTTTAAAATAGCTAACTACTAGCAGTAGTAGTCACCGTTCCAGGTGTACCCGGAGGTCCAATCTCCTGAACCGCCAAGGATTTGCGCATATCCGCCTCTGTTCAGTCCATAAAGCGTAGTCTTGATCCAATTCCAATTGCCCGCGATATCGCTCTTGTACTTGTACCCCTTGCTGTACGGGCAGATGAAGGAGACGGCACTATTGTAATGGTACTAGACAAGTATTAGTTTAAAGCTGCGTTTTAAAACAATATGATTAATCTAGAACGCCGGTCTAGTATCTATATTATGTAATTAAAAATAGAGATTTATATAAAAAAAAAAAAGTATATAAATATAATATACTTTAATATACTAACCTTAATTTATATTATTTACTTACTATATAAAATTAAAATTTATATTTATTAATTATATATATCTTTATTAACTTTTAATTTTTAATCTTTTTATTATTACTTTTAATTTAATAGTTTATTACTTTTTTTTTATTACCTAAAGTACTTTAATAAGTTATTAAATATTATAATCTCCTTTTAAATCTCCTTTTATTATTAATAAGGTTCTTTATAATTAAATTAATTTATAATAGTTAATTAATAGTTTTATAAACCTTTATATAAAGCTTTTAATTATTAACTTTAATATTAATATTATTATTATTAATAAGGTTAGTAAGGTTATTTTTATAAATTATTACTTTAATTATTAGTAAGTTAGTAGTTATATAAGCTTTATTATTAACTATTAGTTTTATTAAATAGCTTCTTATTAATTTTTTATTATAAAAGTCTATTTAATTTAAAGATTAAAGGGTTTTATTATTTTACTTAAATACTAAATTAATATATTATATAAAAGTTATAATTATCTTTATTTTATTACCTATTCTATTATTTAAGTTAAAAGTTATTAAAGTTATTTTTTACCTATAATAGCTTTTTATAACTTATAAAGATTTTATCTTTACCTATAGTAAATATAATTATCTTATAAAGGTATTCCTTTATTATAGTAACCTTTATTAATAAATAAATTATAAAGAAAGGATTTACTATTATAAGGTTATAATTTAATTAATAAAATTTATATATATTCTTTTTTAAAAGGTAATTAACTTTTATAATTAATAATTTAATTAATATAGAGTAAGTTAAATTAAGTATTAATAAAGTAAATATAATTTATAAATAAATAATTATTTTATAGGATTTACCCTTTAAGTATATATATTATATAACTTTTATTATAATAAAAGCTTAAATATTATTTATAAGATTTAAAGTGGAAGTTTATTAAGTTATTTTTATTTATTAAACTTCTTTAAGATAGCTATCTTTTAATATATTTCTTTAAAATATAAAATATAAAACTATTTTTAATTATTTTATTAATAGCTTTAATTAAATAAAAATATTATTTATTTTATAATTTAAAAACCTTTAACTTATAATATATAACTTTTATAAAAGGTTATATATAAACTAAAATTAAAAATCTAATAAGTTTTATAAATAGCCTATTTAATAATAATCTTCTTTCCTTTATTAATATATTAAGTTTAAAAATAGTTAATAATTACTATTTAATTTAAAAACTTTTTTTAAAGGTATTATTAAGCTATATTATAAATCTTTTAATTAGTTAAGTATTTTATAAATTTAAAAAAGTTAAATAGAGTTTAATAAGTATAGAGAATATTCTTAAAATTAGGGATTTTTATAAGTATTATAGCTTTATTTTTTTTAGGTATATTAAATAAGGCTAGAGTTGAATTCTCTCCTTTATTAGCTTCCTCCTTTAGGATTACTTCCTTCTCTTCTTCCTTTATTATTAATAACTTCTTCTATTTTTTTCTTAATATATAGAGTAATATTTATATTTATATAAAAGATATATAGTTAATAATAAGCTTTAAAGAATTTATATTTAAAAGTATTAATTAAAATAATATTATAATTAATTATATAAATTATTAAATTATTAATTTAATAATAATAAAAGCTTATAAATTTATTTTAAAAGTTATTAAAAGTTTATTTTCTTTTACTATTAATAATATTTTAAAATAAAAGTAAATTCTTCCTTATATAGATTATATAAGTATTTTAAAAATATAATATCTTTTATTATTTATTATATAAATATAGTTTAATAAAAGGTATTATATAAAGTAATTCTTTTAAATTTATATAATTTATTTCATAATATATTAAAAGATATTTATAATATTATTCTTACTATTAGTTAAAAATAATATTAATATTTTTTCTTTTAAAAGGTTTAATAAGGCTTAAACTAAAATATAAATTCCTTATTTCTTTTATATTAATTTATTAGTTAATCTTTTATTATATTTAATTTTAAAATAATATTAAAATATTTTTATTAAAGTATTAGTTTAAGTTTTTAGTTTAATAAATAATAGGTTTTAAATAGTATAAATAAGAAACTTTTACTAGGCTTTTATTAATCTTATTTAGTTATATTAAACTTTACTAACTTTTAAAAATTATAATAAATATATATACCCTTTTAGATTATAAGTTTTTATTTATTTTTATTAATTTAATTATATAAGTTAATATTTACTATTTATAATTTACTTTAATAATAGTAATATTAAGTATTATAATAGTTAAAGGTTATTAATTATTTTAATTATATTTAAAATATACTTAAATTAACCTTAATTTTATAGTTATTATTAGAAATTTAATAAATTTTATAGTTAAATTTAAATTAGTTTTAAGCTTTAAATAGATATTATATTTATTATAGAAAAGTTTTAAAAGTTAAAAGGATTAAACAGTATTAATTAGTAATTATTTATAATTATAATATTTAAGTTTTAATTATAATAGTTTACTTATTATTATACTTTAAAATATATATAGTTTAAAATTAAAGTTATTACTTTAATATTAAAAAAACTTAATTTTAATTAATAAAAAGGTATTTTTAATAGTAAAATAATTAATTATAAGAAGAATTTAGTCTATATTATATATAATAAGTGGTTAGTAAAGGAGTATTATTAGGTGGGTAGAGGAGGAAAGGTAGGTCTATAGGTAGAAGGGGGTATAAAAGTATTTAGTGTAGGTAGTATATATAGTTGAGGGGTTGAATAAAGCTCTCTAATTGGCTGCAGTCTGGGGGGGGTGGTAGTGTATCTGTATACCCTCCGTTTTTTTTTTGTGTGAATCTCCGTTCTCGTGTAATTTTGATTTTGGCCTGGTGAGTGTACTTACTCCCCAAGCTTCACCTTGTCCCAAGTCAACGATGTCGGTGTCGGAAAGAAAGTTGAGGAGGAGCCTGTTGGCCTCATCGCTGTCGCCCGTGTTGACCCCGCCGCCACAGCCCTGACGGCGCTTGGCAATTTTGGAGCGCGCCTCCAAGGCGATATCTGAGATATCCGTGGCGGAACGCTCCACCTCGGCTGCCGGGATGAACTCGGTGGTGGTGTTTCCCGATTCGTCAACGAAAGTATGGTATAGGCCATTCGCCTGGCGCTCACCAGTGGCGGGAAAGGAGACTGCGGTGGCCGCAGAAACCGTGGCGAGGAGAGCGAGGATCGCGTTGAGCTGCATTCTGGGTAGCTAAGGAGCAGGGTAGAGTTGCGGGTCTGAGAATGATGGTTGATAGGGAGGCTGATGATGTTCCTGATGGATGAAAGAACACAGTCAGTTGGACTTGATAAGAAATCAGCTCGCTTTATATATTGGCCGTTTCAGCGATCACTGAATGAAGCTCGGAACTTGAATCCGAGGTGAGGGTCCTCACAATCCATCATGGTACTTGGCAAGATAGCCCGAGGGTTGCAAAGGACTATACGATTATGAGTTCGAGTTGCTGATGAAGCGTAAGCTGACCGTTTGTCAGTTTCTGGGCGTCTATATGGCGGGGTAGTGTATTCTCTCTGCACCATTATTGGCACCGGGTCCTTGTTCTTTTCTTTTTCTACGCTGGGTCTTGAGCTTTTCCCACATCGGAAAGCACCCCCCAAAATTTATTTTATAGTTGATTAGAAACGAAACCCTTATGTGGTGGGCTGATTTCATTCTCCAATAGAAATTGCTGGTTTAAGACTGTCTGTTGTATAAACTTCGTTCTGAGCTGTTAGGATCCAATAGCGTGGGTACTCAGATGGTGACAACCAGCTGCCAAGTCCACAAGATTCGCAAGCTTCCTGACAGTGACGGTTGAGATAAGATATGAAAGATAGATAAAACGTTTGGACGAGGAGACGTGGCATTCGCATGCCCCGCGTAAAAGATTAAAGCAGAGAGAGATGAGGTCAAAGAAGACCAGCTCGAGTGTCATGCATGTGCTTTGAAGTGGAATAAAGCTGATTGTACGGAGTCTAACATTTGGCTCTTGTCACAAAAAGGGTTGTGATCCTTACTGTGATAGGCAAATGCCTCGGCAACATGAGCTTACATTTAATGCGAGCGTCGTAAAAATAAGATCTGTAAAAGTCTCTCTCCACTTCTCCTTACATTCAATAGCCTCGGACCAATAGGGTGCATCCCTGGTCCATGTGCTATACAGGTTGGCAGTAGTTGCTCTGACCTCGATTTCTATTTTACTATCGTGGGCGCCTGACATACCACGAACTACTTGGCATGGACGGCCAAAGGCACTAAGTGCGTCACCGGATTTCCAAACCCATTCCGACCTTCCAACCTTGGAAATCACCGTCAGGACAGAAGTGGATCACCCGTCTAGAGGTGGCCACCGTCAGCCAGACTACAAATGCGGTGAGCCCACGAACACAAGGGTCTCTCTGGAGTTACAGTCGTCCCCAGATTTCAGATTGTTTATGACTCCCCAACAACTCCGCCACGATCCTTTCCATATCTCGTTGCCTTTCTAAACAAGATGAACAGTCAATGTCATTACACAAGAAGGACCACATGCCGAAGTTTTCAATAAAGACTATCAAGAATTATATATCTTCCCTATACATAGAGTCATGAAAGGATTTATGTATCACTTATAAAAGAAAAATAAAAATCTTTGTAAGCTTGGTAACCCATTTCAAGACAGCTTTAACTTTAATTTTACTCTGAAGATATTGATTAATGAAGTTCTTTTTTCAATAAGACTGCCCCGTGGAGAAGGCTCTGTTGGTCTAACAGAAAGGTCATTGTCAGACGTCCGCCAAGGTTGAATTTCAAGAATACGGCTCACCTCTACAACCACGTCATAACACATGGCCCATTTTGTATACTCTGGTGACATCCTAGGAGCGTTCTCATCCATTTCAACAGATTTCCAGTCTGTTGGCTTCCCGGTGAGACCCGTCGTCGCGAGTCTCTGATCCCTGGCTTCTTGTTCCGGCCCGTCGGGGAGGGTGAACATGCTGATGTTCTTATGGCCGACGTCAAACATCTTCTCGGCGCGCGGCTTTCGTAGGGACTCCCACTTCTGTAGAATGGAAGGCAGGTCCTCCCTTTGCATGGCCCATCGCAGAGCTGTGCTGATGGCCAGGCCATCTTCAATACCCTGGCTCACTCCTTGGGCAGTATGTGGCAACATGGCATGGGCAGCATCACCAATAAGAACGCAGCGTCCGCTAAATCCAAGCCAGGTTTTCATCTTCGGTGCGGTGGCGACATGCCACTTGTCGATTGGGCGGCCGCCACGCACCACGCACTCAATGTAGGCACGCAGCGGCGCACCGAAACCCTTGAATGCAACGCGGAGCTCGGCAGGGTCCCCATCAGAGTTCCAGGTTGCGCCGAGATCTTCATCCGTGGAGGGATCGCCGTATTCCATGTTGCAAAGGAGTAAACGCATTTTGCCGTGAGCGGTTGGCCGGCCGACGCAGTAACGCCCAGGGCCGAACATGAGGTGGTGTGAAAGGACGCCAAGCGGGGCGGCGACTGGGTCTTGCTGGACGATGTCGATGTCGACCTCCGTCTGAAAGATGCATTCAGGTGTCGTCACCGGTCTCATGTCTTGTCCAGGGAACATCAGCTCGCGGACTCTTGACTTGATTCCATCGGCACCGATGACCAGATCGGCCAGGTATTCATCGCCATCCGCAACTTTCACCAAAATGCAGCCACTCTCGTGCTCGTCGAGAAGGATGACAGGCTTTCCAAACATATACTTCGCTCCTGCGTCAACAGCAGCTTCGAAAGTGACCCGCTGCAACGACGGTCTATCCGTGAGCTTCCGAGTCGTTCCGTCTGGAATTGCTGTTGTTTCTGTGAATGGCTTGTCATCTTTCCATCTCCACAAGCAATGATTTGTCGAATCCACCGATACTCGGTCCAATGACTCCGAAATGCCGATCAGGCTCAGGCATTGAACTGCAGAAGGCTGTACGATGATATTACCTCCCCGTGTCTGAAGTTGAGGATGCCGTTCGAGGACGGTGACGATATGACCATCCGATGCCAACGCTGCCGCTGCTGTGTTTCCGGATGGTCCAGCACCAATGATGAGTACACTGAGTGAAAGATTTGAGGACATTTTGGCCCGTTATTCTGTTGAGAAAACGAAATGTTCCTTGGAGATGACAATGAAAGTTGGTTTGCAGATTCAAATACCACTTTTTAATAGACACGGCCTTACAATTTACCCAAATCCCCTAAAAGTCTAAAATAAACTAAAAGATTATGTCAGATACACGATGTAGCCCGCAATCAAAGCTCATTAGGCGCTGTGGGCTGGAAGGAGCGATAAGCTAACGGGTGTTACATGGGAGGCTTTCTCTAGCCACTTTGGGCGGGGGGGAGGCTCCCCCACGACATACGAGTTATCAATCCACACTCCTTTGCCGGCGGGTGACACACCTAATTCTCGCTTTCAGCGCCTAAAATAGCTACTCTCAGAATGGCGCGAAAGACACTATCCCGGTATGCGAGCATTTGCAGGTCATTTTGGGCGTGATCACGGTCGTTATTAGCGTGGTGTGGTACCTAGTCCTCTTTCAAAACACACATATTCTCATGGGTCAAGTTTGTGCTTGGTCATCGCTTATTTGCGGCCAGAGTTAGCCCACTCAGTTTACCCAGCAGTACTTTTTCTTCCTTAACGAGCAGAATTCAACTGGCTCTTGCTACCACTCTAGCAACAATCGTCTTTTGGTGCTGGCTGTAATTAAGCGCTGGCTAATAATTCTAAACGTATTTCAAAACAAGTTTAACTTCAACTTCGCTCCAAAGATAGACAAGTTGAGGAAACACGCTTCGAGCTCTTATGACCAGTGCCTACCAGGGCTTGCGGTTATGACCTCTCAGATGAGCCTCTCTCTTGTTCAGCTTTTTTATTCCACCAACGAGCTACATCTCACAGTTCCACCCAGACCTCGGGATGCATCCATCAGTACAACCCAGAGCTTTCCAGGGTACTGTCTCGTATCACGGATGTGACCTCTACATTTGTCGAGAGCCGATGTATATGAGCCACCCTGGAGCAGCGACTAGCTTGTGGCCTCCTTTCTTTTTTAAGCTTTGATGTAATATAAAAGCAGCCCTTTTGGCGCGTCTTCACGATCCAAGAATATTTCAACCATTCTAAGTCCTTAAGATGCCTATATTACTTGAGTTTCAATTATTCTTTTACAATACATATTACAAACTAAGTAATAAAATTATTAGTAGAATATATATAAAAATTTTAAATATACTTTAAACTCTTAATTACTAGATTAAAAGTTTGGTTATAAAAAACTAATAAATACATAGTACTATATATTTTTATATTTCTATATAATAGACTAGAACATACGAAAAAGGTATCTGGCAGCCGAGACGAAAATCGAAAACCTAATTTTATTGTGTGCCTATTCATGTGCCTCTTGAAGGACTTCTTCCTCCTGTCACCGTCAATGGGTCCTGGGCCTTTGGTTTGCCTGACTCCTTGGACACGGACCTGCACGCATCCTTGCTACAAAGTGGGCCGTCCGCAAGTATGGAGCAGCATGTCCCCTCAAGGCAAACGCTGGATGGCTTCCAATGCTCGAGGTCCCACGAGGCCTCGATGATGAACGGTGACAGACATCGCCAGTACCACACTGCCGTCGGGCCCCAGACGCCTTGCTCTTTGAATTCCTTCCCGCTCATTGGCTTGGGCGCACCAAGGGCGCTGGTGATGAGGAACCCGAGGATAGGCACGATGAGCGTAAGAATGGCGACCATAGTTCCGTTGACAAGGATCAGATATCAGGCCGGCCGCTTGACACCTCCGACAAGATCTGTGGATGCAACTTGGTATTCTTTGCGTGCGTCTTGATAATCGAATTTCTGTTCCGCAAGAGATGAGTGACTGGACTGTTGTGGTCTCTCCTTGAGCTCACATACCAGACGGTGTCATGTGTCCCTATCAACCGTTCATCTTCCAACGTGATCCTTCCGCGCTGGTATCGTCTGCATTTATCGATGCATTTGTGATCGAGGGTTCGCGAATTTGGCTTGACAGTGCTTGTAACACTGGTGATGAATGTTTGCACTTCGTCACAAGCAGTACGGACACATTTCCGCTCGCGCCCCTGAGGGGGCCGCTCAAAATATTATACTTCTGGATGCACTGGGCGATTCGTGAGCTTAACGGACGGGCAAAGTCTATTTTATGCAGTCATCTTGGCTGGGAATTAAAAATGGAACGCTCAACGGTACGGCCGGAGTCCCTGAATCATGCGAGCGGACGGGTGATAAGCTTCAAAGTTGTACGGCGCGGAAAGGCTCTACGCTGCGTTTCATCCGACTGGTTGCCCGTAAGTGATTCCCAGGAGCTTTTGCAGCTAGACAATTTCATTGATCAAATGATAATATGTTTCGCGACAGGCCGGTGTATAATTTTTCTCATTCAAATGTTCTAGCAGCGACTTGGTGATTCACGTCGTGATGTTGCTCGGGCTGGGATGGCTTATAATAGCATGAAACTCGCACGCAGGGGAAGCTAAACCCTTCGGTATCTCGGACAATAAATTACAGTTCTGGCCCATCCAGATTGGCTCTCAATGTGGAACGTCATCCACCTATTTGAACAGCACTTTAGGTCGTGTCTTACTCCACCTTGATGGCAACTTTGCCGAAGTGCTTTTGCGCCCACATGTATTCGTACGCCTCCTTCGTCTGCTCCAGGCTGAAGACTGTCTTATCGAGGACGGGGTGGATGTCGTTAGCCTCGATGGCTGCGACCATTTCCTCCAGCTGCTGTCGGCTTCCGACGTAGATGCCTCGGAACGTGCAGATGTGGTTCAGCGCGTCGAGCGCCGACGTCTTCGCCTTCACGCCGCCCAAGAATCCGATGATGGTGATGATGCCCTCAAACTTGATAGCCTGCACGCTCTGCTCGAGCGTCGCGGCGCCGCCGACCTCGATGATGTGGTCCACACCGGCACCACCGGGCGTCAGCTTCTTGGCCGTGGGGCCCCAGTTCGTGTCCTCCTTGTAGTTGATAACGTGGTCGGCCCCCAGCTTCTTGAGGGTCTCGAGCTTGTCGGCCGAGGACGAGGTGGCGATGACCTTTGCGCCGGCGGCCTTGGCGAACTGCAGGGCGAAGAGGCTCACGCCACCTGTGCCCTGGACGAGGACCCACTGGCCCGGGAGGAGGGGCTTGAGGCCGTACAGCGCGTTCCACGCCGTGAGGCCGGCGCACGTCAGGGTCGCCGTCTCGAGAGGGTTCAGATTTGCGGGAGCACGGGCGAGGCCGTTCTCGTTCAAGACGGCGTATTCTCGCAACACGCCGTCGACGGCACCGCCGAGGCCGCTGCTCGCTGCGGGGATGTCTACGGGGCCGAATTGGTGGCCCTGGTTGAAGAGTGTGACGACCTTGTCGCCGGGCTTGAACCTGGTGACACTGCTTCCGACTTCGACGACCTCACCAGCACCGTCTGACAAGGCAACGATCGGGGGCTTGGCGGGAAAGGGGTATTTGCCCTGTGACACGACGTAAGCGCTGCTGTTACACCTGCCTCGTTGTAGATTGTTGACTCATCTGGTCCATGCTTACCTTGGGGATGATGAGGTCACGGTAGTTCAGCGAGGCCCCTTGTATCTTGACCAAGACGTCTTTCTCGCCCACCTTGGGCAACTCCGCATCGCCAAACTCTAGGCCATCGAAGCCCTTCTCAGTGCTTGTGATCGTCCATTGCTTCACAGTTGAAGGCGCCATCTTGTTGATCTGATCTCCTTCAAGGCTTTGTGATTTGGGTTGATGAGTGAGGTCTGGTACCCGTGGACGTCAGACAAAGACAATTAAGTGGTGAGGTGAAGAGTTCTCAACAACTCATGCTATGGCACGTGTGTGACAAATGGACACGGCGAAATTATATATGCCACGACCCGCCCCGGATTTGTCAGTCCCAAGTAGGCAAGCTTTCTCGAGGAGCATTTGGCATTTGGCTTCGGGGTCCACTCATCATGCGGCTAGGGCTCGCAATGGTGACATCGACGGGGCCACCATGCAGTTGACTTGTGTTTAATCCTCATCGGTAACTGCCGATCCCTGCTGCTGCATAATCCACTCTGCCATGCACCTGTCTGTTCAGCCCCATGGTTACACGAGCTGGCAGCTCTACATAATCGAACAGGTGCGCGATCCGCCAATTTTTTTTGGTCCGGCCAATTCTGTTGGCCTGTGGATTTCCGAGGCCGGTGTGACAGCTCAGGGCGTAAGCCAGAGACGCGCAAGTTACTGCCGCGATATCGTAGGTATGCATGCATTACAGGCTCTCGGGTGGGCTGGGCTGGGCATACAAGAGCGCAGCGTCATCGACCTAGCTTCAAACCATCAAACCTGCCCAGGTGAGTCGTTATTGGTTTGGGTCGACCGTTGCAGCTCCACAGCATACAACCGTACCCGGCTACTAGCCAGGGACAAGTAATCGGATCGGAAAGTGCGGACTTAGCAAGACATGAATAATCTGACGCGACAGATGGCCCGTACGCCGACGGGCACACTGACCAGCCTACTACTTGAGCAGTCTATCAGAAAGCACGTTTAGGTACCTACAAGATGATGAATAAGCTCGCATTCGGTCGAATGGATACAGGTGAATACTTTCCCCAGGATTCGAAGAGAATTAGAAAGCCAGGAAGAACCAGATAGTCCGAAAACCTCGGATGTGTTACGTCATTCGATCGAGCACATCGATGTTCTTTTACCGGGGCATCATGACTCGAGATCGGCCAGTCTTGCCAGATCCGTGCATCATTGCAATATGGCCTAGAACCCCGGACCGTTGAGCTTGGCACCGAACTGCTGGTTCGTCTGACCCCTGTTAGGGTAGGTTCATGGGGCCCCGGTGGGAATGGCATCTAGTGTACCGTCCGGCATTAATGGACTACATATATTACAAGGCTTAAAATCCTTCGAATCCTATCAACTGTCTTGAAGCGCTTCTCGGACGCCGGTCTACGGTCGTGTCCAATAAGTAAACCGAACTATGCCCAGGTGTGATGGAACTCATAGTCAGCATCACCTGGGCATCTTTGAACGTACTTAATATCGAGAGCGAATCAGGGATCGTTAGAGACTGTAGATGATACACAATGAAATGTAGGCGGCATATTGTCCTTTCGATCTCTTTACTTTGTTGGGCACAGAATTGTTTCTCTTGACGGATCAAAGTCGCAGACACCAACTCGCAGTTGATGTTCAAAGCTCATGGATGTGCAGGTTTGCAATCAGTCTACGCTACGCAAGAACAGTGGTCTGTTTCATGGACTATGTAAAGTCGTAAGCTGCGGTAGGTGCCTATATCTACTCATGTGAGCCTTTTTGATACTTGTGTATCATCACTTCTACATGCTATTAGCAGGTGTGAGTGGTTTCTAAGTTCGTTCTCCGTCTGTACCTAGGTGTTTGGGCTCCAGAAAAGCTCTTTTTCGTTGGAAGACCCACCCGCCCAACACACGCAGAGAAAGTAGCTCAAATGGCCTTTATGTGTCTGTAGGATTAGTTTGGTTTCTAGGTCGTTTCGTTTCTAATTCCGTACAATTGCGTATGCGGTACATTTATACGGTGGTAACCGCCCAGAGGCCCACCGTCCAGGGAAAAGCATAACCTGTAGAATTTGAAATATCGATGATTTGTCTGTGTCAGGCTTTTTTCCTTCCTTTTATAAAGGGCAGCATTTCCCCCATGTTTCTAATTGCCAGTGTTGCTGCAGTCACCACAGAGCTCACCCGATCGTAGAGCACAGCCATTTGAGTACCTAGGTATGAATGAGCCCCCGTCACCGCAAAGGGCGTGGCGCTGCTCGTGTCACTGACAGACATCGTTACACCGCATCCAAGCTGACAGTGAAGAACGGAGGTCGAGTGGCGAAATCTATGCAGCTGTACCGGCTAATTTTGTTTCAGGTTCCTTAATAATTCTTTCTGGCAGCCTCCAAGCTTGGTGGCTTCTCAACTCTCAACAAACCTAGTACTGTTTGGCCCAGCTGGGTAAATTACATAACGTTGGGCAATTAGCGACAGATGCAGGGCGTGCTGTAGGGGGTGAAATGCTCCGCGGCCGCCGATTCAACACCATTCTCGGTGAGGCAAAATCCAGACTCGATCCAAATTGTTTCGAAATCGCACGGAATCAGCCAGGACTGACTTGTGCAGAGCGCACCATAGGCGTCAACCCACGGTTCAGTGCTGTCCTGCTACTCTCCCTGGTATGCTGTCCTTATGTAAATGGGTCTGATAATAATTGTAGCGTACCTCTCCCGGTCCACTTTAAGAATCTAAAAGGGCTTGAACTTCTCTGAATAGAAGAAAATATTGGAATACCAAAGTTCATTAAAGCTGCGGTTCATCGCCAAAGGGTCGAGGGTTTTTAGACTGTGTAATTCTGCTACCAACTGTTAGCCGGCCACACAACGATCGGGCCGTGCGGAAGTTTGGACTGAGGACGTCGTACAACTTTGATGTATGCAGACCACGCACAAGTCAGAGGTACATGCACGCCTTATTGATTTCTTGGGCTGCAGCCGGTTCGAAGTGGAGAGTCAGTGAGCGACAAGCAACATAATTCGTGCATCGTTCCGCGGAATTGCTGCGCGTTTGCGAGGGCCCGGCCCGGTCATACAAACAATCCTCTAACAAGACACCGGCAAAATGGCTCAGCAGCAGGGTAAGAAGAAGATACCTAGCGCTGTGACTAGCCTCGGTCTGCAACTGGTAACATTTCAGACTCGCATCTTCGTGCCATAAAGAGCCTTAAAAAGTCAACAGCAAAGTTGAACCCATAGCGAAACCCTTTGCAGCGACTTGTAGACTCAAAGTTACCTTGCCCCATTCTACTGGTGCATTTCGCCCGCAAATTCACAATGTATCTCCGAGCCGCACACGCCGAGCATCACCTGCCAACCCTCCGGTCGTTCATCCGGACCAACCCCTTGGGCATCTTCACTACCGCCATCGACTCACCAAACTTCCCATTCCTGCAATCCAGCCACATCCCGTGGATCCTGGACGTCTCAGATGAAAACAGCGAGACCGAGCTAGGTGTCCTGCGGGGCCACATGGCCCGGGCGAATCCCCAGGCAAGGTCCCTGATAGAGCATCTCAGCGCGAAGGACACCAGCGCGCCGGGCCCGCGCAAACTCGAACGGGACGTCATGGTTCTCTTCAACGGGCCCGCGCACCACTACGTGACGCCCAAGTTCTACGTCGAGACCAAGCCCGCGACGGGCAAGGTGGTGCCGACGTGGAACTACGCCGCCGTGCAGGTGTACGGCAAGCTCAGCGTCTACTACGACACCCAGGACAGCTCTACCGACGCCTTCCTGTCCAAGGCGGTCGCGGACCTCTCGCAGTTTGCCGAGACCCAGATCATGGGGTACGAGCGGCCGTGGAAGGTCGAAGACGCGCCGGGTAGCTATGTCGACCTGCTCAAGAAGGCCATCATCGGGATCGAGATTGAGATCACGGATATGGGCGGCAAGTGGAAGATGAGCCAGGAGATGAAGGGCGGAGACAATCAGGGCGTTGAAGACGGTTTCAACGCGCTGGGCACGGAGGAGGGAAGACAGATGGCGGAGATGGTGAGGTCGCGGAGGAAAGGGGAGCAGCAGTCTTAAAAGAGCACTTGCACAATGCACATGTTCTCTCGCTTCATTCATGGTTTGTTCAAAGAGTATATTCAGATGCTGATGCTATGTACGCGGATTTAAGAAGTTGTATGTATGTACTGTGAAGAAGGTGGCAGAGGCCCATGTCGTCTCGGTATCAAGAGCCCGAGCCCGAGCCTGAGCCCTAGCCAAATGTTTGTTCTCTGTTCTCCGTGTCTGCATTTAGCACTTGCCCTTCTTGACAGCCTCGCAGGAGCCCTCTGCCTTGTCGCAGCCGGTGTAGGCCTGGCACTCGGTGACACCTTCGTCGAAGCAGTTGTTGGAGTAGGTAGCCTTGTCACCGTAGTTGCTGTTGATGCCCATCAGCTCACCACCGTTGTGGGCAGTGACGCCCTCCATGTGGACAGTGCGGGCGCAGTTGTTCTTGCAGTTACCGCACGAGCGGTAAACCTTGCCGTAGTCCTCGGCAAAGAAGTTGACAATCTTTTGTATGTTAGTCAGTTCCATGTGTTGAGCTACCAGAGTACGGATTCCTGGGTTTGGAACTTACGTTTACGGAACCGCAGCCGTTGTGCTGAATGACCTTGTCCGACGCGCCATAAGCGCCACCACCAATAATATTGGCTGTTCCATCGCCCTTGATGGAGATGGCATCCTCGCAGACATCCTCGAACCACACAAACTCGAGGTTGCAAGAGCCTTTGCAGTACACGCCCTCGGCTTGGTCCTTGCCAATGATGACGTTCTTAAGCGTGGCACCATCCTCGAGGACAAAGACAGTGTCCTTCTCTCCACCCTCACCTTGTCCACCGCAGGCTCCAGATCCACGGTCGTACTTGACCCATCCAGCATCGAATGTCTCACCAGCTTTGATGTACTGAGGCGCGGTGAGAGACTTGGTGCCAGTGGCAGCAGGCAGGCCACCATCATGGGCCAGGCAGGCCATGGCCGAAGGGAGGGCAGCCGCGAGGGCAACGAGCTTTGCTGAGGCATACATTTTGGATGTAGTTGGGGGAATTTGTCTAGTTGTGACTGGTTGACAGACGTAGAACCGTTCGACGGTCCAAAGAATTTATAAGTTAAAGGTAGGTAGTTGTGTTCGTCAAAGACAGACAAATCAAAAACGGACTCCTGGTCGCTGGTACTAGTAGTAAGGCTGAATGATGAACAAGATCTCAGTGCCGTTAGCCTGTTCGGCACCGCCATTATATACACTCGTCCTCAAAGGCTCCATTTCTTATTGCTGCGCAACTCTTTCGTAGTCCGACTTATTACGAGGCTACAAACAAGCAACAGATGAGCACTCATGATGCCTGCAAAATTAAAGGTAGGTTTCGGGACCCAGGCCAAGAGAAAGCCAAGAGTTGTTTCTGCAAGTTTCTGTTGACTGTCCGACTGATAATACAATGGCGGGGTCCACTTTATGTTCCTGATTGACTAGATACCAAGACTCAGAACGACTTGGCAAGGGGCAAACGAGCGCCTTTCCACCAACACGCCGGGATGCCTGCGGGATCACCACTTGAAACGATCCTGGCTCCCGCGCAGCTGTCGCGGCGGCCTGTGTTCGAAACCCATCTCGGCGTCTAAATGTGTGCTCCTCTAAACTAGTAGAGCGGGATTATACGAGGACGGAGGTGAGACTATTCAAAACAACACTTGAACTGAGCCGCAATACCAAGAATCCAGGGGAATGTGGACAGCAATGACTAGCCTATGCGTGATCCACCACGGTCGTCGAATCGACGGTTGGCATAACTCCTCAATGTGTTGTGAGCTGATATTCTCTATCACGTGAATTGTTGGGGGCCATGGCAAAGAATGCCACACAGGTAACAGGCCAGCACCCTGGTCACTAAAACGGGTAAAGGTGACGAATCCCCACGTGCACGACATATGCGCATATTCATTTTGCCCTCTCCCTTATCTTCCCAAGGGTTGTGGGGAAATGGATGCGATCTCATCCATTCAGAGCGTCCATCCAAATTTCGTGCCCCATAGGATCGCCCAGGGACATGCATGTCGGTGTCATGAGCATAACTCAAATAGACTCGATCGACTCGAGATTTGCTCGAAACGTTATTCAGCTACGGAGCTCCATCGACGAGGTAGGCAAACATGTAGGACGATCAGCTCCAATGAGCGTTCTCGAAAGGTTTGAAGTCGTACGCGTCGTGCTATCTTTACCACATGACCATGTATTATTTCCGCCCATCCCGAATTCATTTCTACCTAGGTAATCAGCACCACTGCTTCCCAATATACTGACCGCCGTCCCGCACCCCCTTCAAGTCTCCGGCGCGGATGTTAGCCATTGTCATGGACGTGATGATTGCAGCGCCAATCCCGCTCCCATCTTCCGCGCTCGTGAGGGTAATTGGGTCGCTCCTGCGGCCCACCGGCCAGTCCAGGATCTCGCCGAGGGCCTCGGCCCATCGTGCCTTAAACTTAGGGTGCTTGTTCGCAACGCTTCCGTCGGCTGCTACGTGACCTGAGCCAATAGACTTCCTCCTGCAAATGGCAGCAATGCCGCACGCGCACAGCCGCGCACCGCGCTCCGCGATGACCTCCGCGAGCAGTCGTGAGAACTCGAGCTCTGCATGTGTTGGCTCAAACCCCAGCACCTCCTTGTAGCGGGCGACACGGGCATCGAGTGGGTCGTTCTCCAGGCAGGAGATAAATCCCGTGTCCATGCAGTAAGTCTCCTTCAACCTTGGAAGGTCACGCCCCTGGAACAGAAATCCGCGCTCGTGCAGGTCAAGGACAACGAGGCGGAAGATCTCTCCCAGATACAGGCCAGCGCTCATCTTCTCAAAGGCCTGCTCGCCGGGCTTGACTGACTCGTTGTCGACTTCTATGTCATATTTCGTTCTCGGTAGGACGCGGTGGGAGTTGTCGAACGCGCCGTACTCGCAGTTGATGGCCAGCGGGAGCTCCGGGGCCAGCCCGGAGCCGCTTATTTTGGGAATGGAGCCGATGTCGTCCATGTACGCTGCGTTGCACCCCGTCCCGAAAATTGCGCCAATGACGGTCTCGTGGTCTTTGTACGCGGAGGCGATCATTGCCCCAACCGTGTCGTTGATCAGAGCGATGATCCTGACTGGTAATTTCCGCCGCGATAATGCTTCGCCAAGCTGGATGACCACGTCTTCTTGCTCAACGCCCTCAATGTTGAATCCTTTCGTCCATGTCACAAGCCTTCCTCTGTCGATGTAATCTTGATGCACCGGATATGAGAATGTGAAACCCAACGGTAATCTGGCACGGGTTAGGAAGGACCCCATGCGTTTCTCGTTTTTTATATTTTGTACTTACGGCTCGTCTTCAGTGCCCTTCAACTGATGCTTTTCGATAAAGTCCTTCAGAGAGTCCGCGATCAAGTCCCAGAGTTGGTCCGCAGAGCCAGTCTTGACTTCGTCCGGCACCCTGTAAGTGTCCTGCACGATGTCTGTGTCGTGGCCTTGGCCTTTGAGCGTGATCCAGCACACACGTAAGTTCGTCCCTCCGAGGTCGATGGTCAGGAACTGCCCCTTCTCATGGCCACTTGGAAACCCAAATACCCACGTCGGATACATCGCCTGGGTCATGTCAGCACAGAAGCCTATTCATGGGTGGCCTCACTGATTTCACCGACTATGTTTTGGAAGTCCTTCTCGAGACCCTCAGCGAGTTCCTCCTCGAACCTGTTCACTATTTCTTTGAGCATGCCGGTCGTGATGGTAAAGGCTTCCTTGAGATTTTGGAATTCATTTTCCAGTACTGTCGGTAGCGGCATTGTCGATTTAGACGTGGTTTTGCAATTCCCAATTTCGGTCCCGTCATGTTCTGTCTCCTTCGACACAGGCTCAGAGCCCCCCATGCCAGCTGTTTGCATTGCGGCTACTTGAGCAGTCATTTTGAATGGTGTTAAAAATGAAAAGAGATAATTGTGTGTATTCTGCTGACCCGTCAATCAATGACGAGTAGACCTGCAACAAATCTGGTTGAAAAAGGCGTAGGATGAGGGGTATTCGGCACTTCAAAATTTGGTGATAGCCTCAGGGTTGGTTCAAATTTAATCTGATTTAAACTAATTGCCTACATACGTAGCTGATGGAGATGTTATGACCTACGTGCCCATCTGCTGCCAACTTCGAGTACTCGTATTGACGTCACTTCGATGTCTGAGGTCGATCCTTGAAATGCCACAGGCCCACCGGATTTAATGGAGTCGTGACGCTCCGTTGTCTCCACACTCATGAGGCTATACCACTCGGCTACCTAAGCGTTTGGGGGCCTTGATCCAATTGAGCGAGCTTTTGATCGTTATGGCAGGTTCAATTGTCAGAAAAATTTGCTGTCCACAACTCGGTCACACAACACATTCAGCGCAATTTGGGTATCTGCACTGTTCAAGTTGCACCTTCACTGTCTCTGCGCTTGTCGTTATTCCCAGCCATGATCCTTTAAACCATACATGATACCTATTGATGTGATGATTCGATTGCAAGCAGACAACGACCGGCAATATGTGGGTGCCACAGAAATTATTCCTACACTGATTGTTCAGAAAAAGGGTTCTCAAGCGACAGTCGTCAACACAGACTCAATAGTCCAATACCTTGCATTGCACATTCCCGCAGGCATGATAAATCGAAGGCTACAGGCAACCTTCGGCTGAATTATTAGGAACAGTACCGACTACAGTAGGACATGAATAATCAACAAACGCGGACATCATGATGTATAGGACCCACGCCACGCCCCGGCAATATCTTCCGAGACCCGCAAACGATGTCTGAATTATCCACAATTCGTGGAGTTGGCGTGAACCCTTCTGAACGGCTGCCTGCATCCCATGCAATTTAATGCATACTTGGCATTAGCTCCAGGGGTTGTCAGTTGTCAACCCTATCCTGATGTCTGGTAGACTCACATTCAGGACTGTTGAACCTTGTACGAGAAACAGTGATTTAGAAACGAACGAATGAGGCGATGAGGCGGGATCAGTACGCAGACAACGACGAAAATCTTTAATATATTGAGTCGAAGGCCCAGGGGATACAATTAAAGCATCAATATCACACATGAAGGAGACCCTTTCTAAGGACGCGGCACGACCACCATCTAAAAAACCGGGCTAGCCATATACCACCAGCAGAAGGTTACAATGCTGCATGTACAGTTATGCACGATTAGCGAAGGTTTCCGGCTCCAATGCCTTCAAGTCAGCCGTCCAGGCCCATGCCTCCGACTTCCCAAGCCGCGGCCACAAAGAACAAGGTCGTCTCGTCCCACCTGCGCCCGACCATCTGCATTCCAACAGGCAGTCTGCCCTGCCCATCTTCGGTCTTGCCCCACCCGACGGGAATCACCAGGCCGGGGTGGCCGGTGAGGTTGAACGGGCACGTGTTCCAAGTGTTACCCAGCGCAAGCTCGTACTTCTCCACGACGCTCAGGTCGGGATCGAGATGTTTCATACCCACAGTCGGGTTGCACGGAGTGATGAGCACGTCGAACCTCTCCAGAGCCTCATCATACGCGGCTCTCAGCTCGTGCGCGTGCGTGATGGCCTTTTTCCTCGCGGCGGGAGGGAACTTGTCCCTGTTGCGCTTGACAAACTCGCCGGAGATGAGTGCGCTGACCACTGTTGGGGCTGACTTGTTCATAGTCTCGTACCATTGCGCGTCCGACTTGCCGGGCACCACCTGCTCCATGGGCCAGCTCAGGCAGTCCGGCTGCTTGTCGTGGATGAACACATCTGCCATCTCGGGCCCTTCGACCGCCGAGAAGATCGTGGAGCCCATGGCATGCATTGAGATGCTTACCTCCTCCACTGTAGCGCCGAGGGCGGCGAAGCGCTGGCCCGCCTTCTTGGTGACCGCGGCCACCTCCTCGCTCAGCTGGGGGGCGGTCCACGCTTCCTTGACGAGGCCAATGCGCAGCCCGGTGGCGGCTGCTTTTGAATCCCAATGCCCGCTTGTCTTGCGCTTCTCGATAGCTTCGTCGAGGATTTCATGGTAGGCTTTCACGTTCTGACGCAACGGGGTCTCGGGGGTCATACGTGGGTCGAGGCCGTCCCAGCCCGCCAGGACCGTGAGTAGCAATGCGGTGTCACGTATGGAACCGGCCATTGGTCCACAGTGGTCAATCGAGGGGTGTAGCGATGAAAGCCCCGTATAAGGGACCAGTCCATGTGTTGGCTTGAGACCGTAGATCCCGCTGTACGCCGCTGGCTGCATGATCCGTCAGGACAACTCTAACTAGGCCATCAAGATAGGGGATAGGATGCTCACCATGCGAATGCTGCCTCCCTGGTCCCCTCCAATCGCAAGATCCACTCCTTCTCCTAGGTCGTCATGAGGCAGCCCATCCTTCTCCCTTTGCCTCTTGACACTCTTGACCCCGACTAAAGCCGCGCTGCCAGAGCTACTGCCGCCGCATTCATACCCCCTCAACCAGGGGTTGTCCACGGGGCCGGTAGCGCTGCTGAAGCTCAGCGCAGACATGCAGTAGTTCTCGCATGTCGACGTTCCGGTGATGGTTCCTCCAGCCTCGAGCACGCGGGTTATGACGGGGGCGTCAAAGCTGGAGATCGGGTATGGCGTATCCTTGGAGAGATGGAAAGGCTGTGTCCCACCCGTCAAGGGTATTCCTGCGATAGAGACATTGTCCTTTACCGCGATGGTCTTCCCGGATAAGAGGCCTTCCGCCGAAGATCTGATGATGGTCTATGACTTTCTCAGCTCGGCTCCGAGACCCCGACCACGCTGCTTGTGGGAGCATTGTTTGTGGGGAAGGGAAGTGCACGAACCCTATGGCTCCACCCGTTCATTGGGTTCTCGGAAGGAGATGGTCGTATGCTGGTCCGCTCCCCTGCGCCGTTGGTCGTTTGGATGAGCGGGTGCTGGTACGGTGGCATCGCTTGGACCGTCTCTATGTCGGCGATGGCAGCACGCAACATGTCGAGGTAACCTGCCTCATCTTGAGGCTGCACCTGGAATCCCAAAGAGGATACTAGGTCATGGAGCGCCTCCCGCGACGCGGTGCTGCTACCACGGGTTTCAGCACCTGGACAGCATTCACCTGGGAGAGTTGAATCTCCTTGAACACTTACTACTTCTCCCCAGCGAGTCCTCCGAACATTTTGTCTCGACGTGATTCAACAATTCGAAAGAGTAAGATGGTCTTGCGTTCTGGTTCCTCGCCAAAGATGTTGAGACTTTACAAGGCAAACCCGCGCTTTACGCAGTTAACTACAGAAACCTCCGCTCAGATATTGCCCACGAGCGGTTTTGGAGGCGTCATGATAAGCTCGTCGCGCTTGCCGTTGGTCCCAACCAACACTGGATGCCGGTACCCCGCGGCGCAATGCCGGACGGGCAGTCGCGGCTGGGAGATTCCGGACGGGAGCTAGTTAGTCGCTGCACATCACGAGCTTGGCGATGCCGGCGGGGCACTCTTGAGGTTATGACAATGAGCCAACTTTGATGCTGAATGTTTATTGATGCGACAGAAATTGTGTAATCTTTTGATTCGTGTGACATCTCATGGCAGCAACTACATTAGTCCTCTAAACCAGACTGCACTCTCGGTAACTATCAGAGATGGCCAGCTAAATTTCGTACAGAATGGTATATCTGTATTTGGCATTCCGTCGATGACTGTGGACGGGACAATTCCGGCGCGCCAAGCCGTGCATTATATTCCCTCTGTGTGACTCTACAAATGTGGCTTAAGCCACGATATCTGCGGTAGCGCACCGTAACAGAAATAGCATTCCTTCCCGTCAAATTATGCACTTACACCGTGATAAATATTGGATTTCAATGGGTCCAGAATCGTTCATCGGAATGAATCCCCATAGCATTCCTCGGGAGGGCGGTTCTTCTTCCTTACCGAGTTACATGCGGTAGCTATGTGGCTCTTCTACCAAGGCACTTCAAATGTTGGTACGGACGAAAATGTAGGTACATGACTTGCGAACACCCGCAAGGAGTTGAGGGGTCCATGGATGGCACAAATCTGGTCAGTAGTCGCTGATGACAGGGGCTCCCTCGGCTGCGATCCTAATCCCCGTTCCCCGCCGCGCGCGGAAGCCGAGACGGGCATCCAGGTGTTTCGTGCGCATGAAGCGAGCACGTGTTATTTTGGTCGATCATCCAGGATCATCAATTAGGTTTCCCGATGTCACAATACTTTGCTATCCCAATTGCGGTCGGTTTCTGTGAGCATTTTCATGTTCGCTGGTCCACACAAGATCCAGACGACCACTTGTACACAACACTACACTCAGTGTACTCAGTATAGAGCGCGGCCCCCTTGGTTGCAAATCACACATCTGGGCTAGGTTTGTACAAAACATTACTTAATATTGTGCAAGAAGAAGATAAAACCCGGCTTGAAGCAGATCAACTCTATCTGCTCCAACATGAGCCGCCGAGGAGTTCCGGAATCCCGCCCTGCGTCAAGCATTCGACGCTCATGTATTTTCTCAACAAGAGAACAATACCCGAAAGATTCTGTACCAATGAAATTGGCCTGCCTGCCTGCATTCCCGAATTGAATTTTACACCGTTGTCATCATCCAACATCATACGATATTACTCGTGTCCCCTCTCACGATGGGATCTGGCCATTCGCCTTGGCCTCGGCCACGAGCTGCTCGTAGACGGCCACGGCGTCGTCGTACTCGGCCCGAAGAGCAGCCGCGTCCAGGTCCTCAGCTTCAGCGCGCTTGGTAGCATCCTGGCCGCCGAATGCCTTTACAGCTGCGTAGTACACATTGGCCAGGGCATCGCAGATGGACTCGAGTGATTCGGACTCGCACTGGTACTTGAGGCTGGATGGGTATTAGTCACGAGTCAAGCGCGTGGGAAGTATCACCGGGGCTAGTGTTCAAAGTGGGTCACGTACTCGTCTTGGAAGTTGGTGTCGATAGCGGCCTTGGCCGCCTTGGTGAACCGGGACTGAGCCCGGTAGTTCTGGTAGCCGAAATCATGACGGTAGCATGCCGGCTCAAAGTTGAAGCCCAGGGGGTTGTCGGGGGAGTCGCTGCAGCCGTCCGAGGTCCAGTCCAGGGTCGCGGGGTTCTTCGCGTTCCTGTAGGTGATGAACTGGGGCAGGGAGATGTCGAACAGGTACCGATCCGTGATGGTGTTGATGTTCTGGCGGGAGGAGAGCGGAACTGGTCCGGCGGCGAAAACGGCTGGCACCAGCCAGGCCAGGGTTGTGATGCCTGAGAACTTCATTGTGAATCTCGTCAAGGGCAGTGTGGCAAAGTATAACCCGGGGAAAGAGGGTCTGACGACTGCGAGTGAGGCGTAAGACAGATGCAGAGACGAAGACTACGAGCTCAACTGCGCTGACACAGACTTCGAGACTTGAGGGGTGGCGATGTTGTGGATATATATTACAGCCCCTCAAGAGAGCAGCAGCACTTCTCCGTGTATCACACACCCATGATGACGGAATGAGCCTATGACCTTGGGGGGACCCATATCGAGGAGCTTGGCTTGCCCAGTATCCGCAGCGCCTAGAGGGCCACCATGGTCCAATAGACGAGCCCGCCATGCCGCCATGCCCTCCACGTGCGAGATCCCCAGGTTCCTGTCCTGATTTACAGTGACACTCAAAGGGCGCCGCCTCGGACGCGTAGCACCTTGATTGGAACAGGCCAGGTCCTGAGCTGGTCCCAGAATAGGAAGAACGCCGCTGCAAGTGCGATGCAGGTCTGACTCGCCATTGCGTGCAGCATTGTCTGGATGCCCAGGTGCCCACACCTCTGAGACGACTTACCCGGCCGAAATAGGCACCCTGCTGGATACGGCCCCCTGTTGGAAACAACACCAAATCGTGATCCCTGCGACGTAGAGGTGTATGCGCACGCCCTGGCTGGCCAAATGACCAATTGAAGCCGCCGGCTTGCGCAGGTACGCCGCTTCCAGCTGCGAGCCGAGCTAGCCGGAGAGGAACCATAGGTGTGGTATTATGTCTGTGCTCGTCAATATTGCCCAACGCTCATATGAAATAAAATTTTCGATGTCCTCAGGTGACCGGCTCCTCGGAGCAGTCGCCTGAGATAGTCCGGTCGTAACTCCCGAGAGACAAGTGGAACTTGAAGTTCATATTTGTTCCGCGCGTTGAATTGGCTTGGCTTTTGCGGAGAAGAACCACTACGCTTGCAGCACAACTGCCCGGGGAAGAGATGCAGGCACGTATGTGCTTTTCAGGTATGCAGTTGGCCAAACCTTGGAAGATCGGGCTCCAAGGTGGAGTGATCGGCGGCACTGAGAAAAAGAGGCTGACCAACGAGACCCGGTAAAAGTACCGCACCTATAGTTCGTGTGGTTCATCCGAAGCGAATGAAGTCCGACCGTGACCGAGTCAACGGCGGTGTGGTGGTATTGTTCGGTTCATCCAAGCTTGTGGCGTAGCGTCCCGGCTGTCGGGCCAGGGTCTTGATGTCCATTGCCCGGCGACCTTCCGGATCGAACTGGTCTCCCCGATGCTACTTTGCACCAGGGCCCCTTGGCATTGCCAGGGCAGGGAGGGGATTTCTTCATCAACGTTAGATGGATGGCGTCAAAAAAGCCACGTGCTTCGGGCTCATGGGAAGTCCCGTAATTGTCGATAAATTGCAGTGACGGAAGTCAATCAAGATTCAAGGTAAGCTTGTGCAGCCGAATGTTTGAGTAGACTCTCTCAAAGGCCTTATGTCAACTGGGATGCTCCAGGCATACAACCAACATTTGAAGCCATTGGGCGACCTATCTGCATCGTGCACTAGTAGAACGGCCGGAGGGGCACAGCATCACGGTTGTATCTTAGTCTACGCTCGCAAGATGAGAAGCGGGGGAATATGACATGAAGAAGGTGGGATGGCATGCAATGCAACGGCACGCTGATGCCTCTGCAGACGGAGGGGGCCGAGAGCACAAATGTGATGGATACACTACTTCTCAAAGCCTGTCGCTTTCCAGTGCCCGTATCATGTTTCTACTAGCACCTTCCTTAAAGACGATTGTTCACATGTGATTGTCAATGCATGTCGACGTAGGCTCACTCACGACGTGCACATCATGCCAAGTTCTTGTGTGACATGACGATAACAAGAGCCGACCTCGGGAACTTTCGCCAGGGATTATCATCACGGCCTTACTAGAGTACCTAAATAGCTTCGGTCTAGTAGCTTATGCGTATCTCATGCTCAGGTACTCTAGTCTCGGTCTAGAACTCATTTCTTTTAGGAGGAGTCAAGGGATGTATATAGAGGAGATGATAGAACCATGGGAGACAGGAACAAGGTAATTATTGGTAACTTAATGTATACGAATAGACTACTACTATACTGCTCCTACGCTGCGTGCACTCATTTACTCTACTTACAACCTATATACCTGACACTTGTTTATTGGGTCGTCGTTCTATTTTGGATACTGAACATAGTCCTTGAATTCTCAATATCACTGTGCTTGAGACAAATGCTTGAGATAAATGCGAGCAGGTCATTAGCGACTCATAGTTAATTGCTCCAACCACTTACACTAATTTCAGGTCGTTTTATTCTTGATCTATATACATCCTGAAGGCATACGGTCCTTTTACATAGTAGTCAATGCTTGAAGACCTAGCGTTTAATAAAGAACAATGCAAAAGACGGTGTCAGAAGACCGGCCTCAGCCTCATGCCGCACGGACAAGGCTAGGAAGGATCGCTCCCGATTACCCTGATAAAAAACCCGCGACAAGATATGTCAGACTTGTATAGTGAGCGAGTTAACTCCCTTCAAGGCTGAAAATGTTCGTCCTTCGGGATGATGACAGCGTTGACCTCACTAAGTCCTGATCCAGTCTGGAAATAATCCAACTTCCTGAACACACCTGGGTACGCGTCTAGAAGTGGAGACTTGACAGCGTCATGCTCATCTTCAGTTTGGGCTCATTTGTCTTTGATAGTAGCCACTCGGCCCCCATCCCTTTACTCGCCCACCTGAGGCCTGTTCAGCTTTCGTCTTCCCTTCAACATGACTACGTGATCCATGCCAATTAATTTCTTGGAAATTGAAATCTCATCAAATTCTCAACATGCTGACCATACTCCAATATGAAGTCGGGTTGGTGATAGCAATGACGGGGTTGCTTTGCTACCATTCCCTCCCTTGTCGGTCGAGTTAGGGCAAGAAAGAAGAGCAGAAAGAATGGAAATGGACAAATGTCAATTTCCAATCAGAACTATCAACTATTTGCATTAGTTTACCAGCAGACAGCAAAACGCCTCCCTCCTACGCTCTGCCTTGGATGTTTAACGTTGAGCCGCCAGCCTCACCAAAGCAGAACAGTGATTCACAACACCTATCCAAATCCAGCCGCATAAGATGTTCTTCTCGTTAAACCTTGGCGGGAACTGAACAATTGAAACGTGCAGGCATGAGTCTGGCCAGTACCCGTACATACTACTTGATGTCCGAGTCCTTCTAAGTTGGCATCATCCGAGCAGGTCTGGTACGCTGGCGCCTCCCTTGTCCAAGACCCCGCAGCTGGTAGAGTATTGTGGGTGACGAGATTGCGGCTCTGTGCCATATTTGGAGCCTATGAATGCAGTGTAACATAAGCACCTGAATATCGGGAATGTGCTTGGAAGTAGGCTTCATATGATTCCAACGAAACTAGGGTGCAGATAGCTCGATTGTGGATGGTGTTAAGGGGAAAGCCCCCTTATCAAACAGCCCTGGAGACCAGAGCAGAAAGGCAGTGAAGTTTGAATGAATAATTACAATTTTGACAGTCAACATGACGTGACAAGATTGCATCAAAATGCCCTGCCTCCCCGGGACGTCTAGCCACCTACGTATTCTGCTCATGTCGCACGAGCCACCAAGGTCAGTTGAGCGTTGATGGATTTGGTCCGATTCCAAGGTTGATCTCTGCGGTGGTTGACTGTTCGGAGTAGGCGATGCTGTGATAATAGTGACGCGACGCTTACTTGGACCGACCTGGGCCACTCTGATGCTGATGATAATGTCGGCGGCGGGAAAACCGACAGGGACGAACAAGGGAGGTGTGTGTCTCAGTGAGCTACAGACAAAATGCTTGACAGCGATCGTGAGATTCGACTCCCATCGTTTATTTGGCCTCTGGCAGGTCCTACTGAGTAGGAGGCTGTATGAACTCCGAGTCCAAGTTTGCTCTGGTGTGACGTTTTGGCGAGGCCCGCAAGGTAAAGCTGCATTTGGTTGATTCTCCTGAGCAGGATGTTAGACACTGGCGACAAGCAAGGGGGCGGAGAAGATGGAGGCTTTTTGTTTGATAAAAAGAAAAGGCATCGAAAAGGAATCGAAGATTAGAAGAAGCCAAATGTGGAAAAGAAGCAGAACAAGAGAGGCAAAATAGCTAGACGGTGGGCCCGAACCTGCCACCTGCCTGCAAAAGCGAAGGGTCCGAAGACCGAGGTAACCAATTTACTGTTGAACTACTTCGCTGATAGAATTGATTTCCAAATCTTTTATAACGCAATGTCAGGTGGTGGTTTGATTTTTAATCCCTATATATATAAAATATATATAGCGCCTTTATATAGTAGTAAATACTTAAAACCTAATATCTAAAGAAATATAATATTAATAATAATAGAAAGAGAATATAATATATTTATAAATATATAATTAAGCTTTATATTATATAAATAAAACTAGAAAGTATTACTTTTAATAATATTATATTAAAATTATTAATATAAGTAGTTTAAGGATTAATTTATTATAATATTAAAATTAAAGTTAATAAAGTAATTATGTAATAAAATTAAAATAATCTTAAAATAACCTTTATAAAAAGAAGAATTCTATAATATAAAATTTAATAAACTAACTCTTCCTTATTAATATACTTATTATATAAACTATTTATATTTTTTTTAATTCCACTATTAAGTTAAAAGTAAATAATTAGAGTTCTAAAAAGATAAAATATAATATATCCTTTAAATATTAATTTAGCTAAGTTTATTATATAAGACTTTTTATAATAACTTTATAATTATTTATAATATTATCTATTATTAAAAGATACCTTCCTACACTAGTACGCTAAGTCGTGCTAGTTCGGGCTAGCGCTATTAACTTTAATATAGAATATATTTATTATATAATTATTTAAATCTACTTTTATTAAATAAGTTAAATATATTATAATTTTTATTTTAAAAATATAATTAATAGAATAATAATATTATAATAATAAATTTATTTAAGAAAACTTTTTTATATAAATTTTATAAAAAGATTAAAACTTTTTTAAAAAGTTAAATAGAATTTATTTATTATATATTAAATAAATATTATATAAAGAAAGTAAAAGTTTAAATACTTAAAAATTAAATCTTCCTCTTTTAAGTATACTATTTTATTACCCTCTTAAATATAAAGCTAAAAGATTTATAATTATAATTTTATAATTAGTTTTTATTTAACTATATTATATTATTATAACTTTATTTAATTTTTAACTTTATTTAAATCTTTTCTTAAATTTTTAACTTTAATATCTTTAAGAAAGTTAAAACTTTATATTCCTTAATCTTAAATTTAAAATTCTTATAAATCTTAATATACTTTAAATTAAGCATAATCCTTTAGTATTTTTAAAAATATATTAATTATTTTAAATATTAATAACTTTTCTTTAAAGTAAAAGTTTACCTTTATATAATTATAAATTTAATTATTAATAGTTATTTTTTATAAAGTTATTAAAACTATAAACTTAAAGTAGTAATAAAGTATAGTTACTTTATTTAATTATCTCTTAGTTTATATAATAGGTTAAGTAATTACTTTTAAGTAGTTTTACTTATAAAGCTAATAAATAAGTGTTTACTTATAGAGTAGAGCTAGAACTTATATATATTTTTAAAGGAATAGTAGTTTTATTTTTATTTATTTTAACTAACTTACTTAAATTATATAATAATATTATATATAATATTTAATAATATTAAAATTAACTTATAGTTTATAATAATTTTAACTTTTAATAAATTAAATATAACTTAATATATTAATATAAAAGGTATCTTTTAATAATAAATAATATTATAGATAATTATAAAGTTATTTTAAAAGTTATATATAATAAATTTAATTAATTTAATCTTTAAAAGATATATTATATTTTATCCTTTTAAAACTCTAACTATTTACTTCTAGCTTAATAATAGAACTAAAAATATAAATAGTCTATACTATTTTATTATTAAAGATTTATCTACTTTTATATAATATATAAAAAATATAATAAAAAAGAAAGCTTTATAAAAAAAGTTAATAACTTTATATATAAATAAATTTAAAGGTATATATTAAGTAATTATTAACTTTATACTTAAAGTATAAACTAATAGTTAATTTAAAAGTTAAGAAGGTGATAAATAGATAAATAGTTAAATAAAAAATATAATGTGGTTGAAGCCTACCCTAATGTCAATAAAGGGCCCCAAGGGTTGATGGCCTGTACCTGGGTACCTCCAATGAGGGCCCACCGCAGGCAGGACCACTCCTCCGTCTAGGGTTATACCCTAGGGGGGTACGTCATCCGACATAGAGCCCCCCCTCCCCAGGCAGGCACGCCCCAGGATTTGTAGCGGCGGGAGAGACATGCAGGTGCAGGTGGCGGATTGGCTGAGCTCACCTGCCAGGCCTGCAAGGACATGGAGCTTGGCATGCCCAGCTGCAGGCAGCACGGGGTGGAAGCTCGAGGAGCTAGCGATAGCGACTGTCTTGGTGGTGCCTTGTGACTTTGAATGGTCTACTGGCCCACGTTGAGGCTCCTCCTGATCAGGCTCGTCCATGTCCTCGGAGTTGGGACGTCCTCGACTGACTGACTGTATGATCCAGCCCCACACTGCTGCCTCTCCTTCATTCTTGTCCATTCTTGTCCACTGCGCTTCCAGGAACAATCCAACCCAGATCTGCCCTCACCACATCGAACCCCGAAGTCTGCGGGAGGTGACGACCTCGAGTAGACTAGAGACAGGATTTCAACTTGCGGGCATCATTGCTATTACCCCACACAGCCTGACTGAGCCTCGGACCCTTTTCCCGCTGGCCCGACCGTCTCCAACAGTCTCGAAGGGGTCGACCATCACAAACTCCCTGCACTGCACTGCATGCAAACCATGGACGACACACCACAGTCAACATTCAGCACGCCAAAAAGGAAGCGGGCTGATGCCGCCGGCGGGGACGTCCCCTCCCAGATCGACATACACTTCTCGTTCGACGTCTCGCAGGGCCTGCTCTCGGACGGCGGCGACAGCCCGCGCACAAAGGTCGCCCACAGGTTCCGGGGCTTGGCCCTGGCCGATAGTGGGGGCGGGGCTGCCGCGGCAGATGGCCCACTCCTCCACGACACCGAGCCCGACCCGGGCCGCCACACCACCCACGGCGGCGGCGAGCACGAGATGGAGGTCGACGAGGACGAGTCCAAGATGCGCAAAAGATCAAAACTCACCCCGCCTTCAGGACCCTCGGATGAACCACCCCAGCTGAACCACCACGCCCTCTCCCCCGCCGCCCAGCCCCAGCCCCAGCCCCAGCCCCAGCTTCAACTTTCCGCCAGAAGAGACGAGATCCCAGAGACACCCGCCACCACAAGGACCGAGCCGCAGGCGGCTGCTGGCCCAGAGACCGTAACGTTTCCACCAGGCGACCGTCACGTCCTGTTCAGACCAAACGTTCCCTGCGCCCAACCCACACCCGAAAGTGCACCACCCCTCGCTGATGCGCCCGCCAAGGCCCCCTCGAGCAAGCAACCGAAGCAACCTCCGGCTGCCAACAACCGCGCCCTCGAGAGCCTCAAGACCAAAGGCCGCCGGCGGTCCGGCACGCCACCCCTCGTCGCCTCAGCCAGCAAGCTAGCCAGCGCGGACACCCAGCCCGGCGGCGACGCGGCCGCCCAGGTCATCGACCCCATCCGGGCGGCGCTCACCTGGCACGAGGACGAGATCACCGTCTACGACCCGGACGACGAGGACGACGACGGTGTCGGCATCAACGGCATCGGGTTTAAGCCGACCCCCGCCATCGCCTACGCCCGCACCATGAAGAGGAGGCAGCAGCTGGCCGAGTACAAGAAGCGGGAGGAGAGGGAGGCCAGGGCCCGCCGGAGCTCCAGGCGCCGCGGCAGCCCGGACAGGGCCCCCAAGACGCAGCGCAAGGAGAGCGCGGCGGCCGAGAACGCGAGGAAGGTCCGTTTCACGGACAGTGAGGCTGGCAAGATGATTAGCACATGACGGATGGTGGCTCGCAGAACATTGTTCCAGGTCTTTTTTTGTGGCCGGCGGGGGCCCAGTCAAGGAAGCATCTTTGATATGACATTGGCGTTTAATGGATCAAGTCTCGGGACGGGGCGTTACAAACATCTGATAGCGTTGCTTTGGAACAGGAGGGCCGCTCCTTGCAAAGAAAGGATCGAGGCGATGGAATCACGCATGGGGCTATAATGTACATTCTTGGCTCGAGATGGTGGCACGGCGTTATATACGTACATACGCAAGTTTGAGTGATTCCAGCAATAGCGATGGCTTCTCAATATACCCAATCCTGTCAAATCTGCCATGCCCCGGCGTGTGGTTGCCCATGCCCCCTGGAACAACTTCGCGCGGCGACAAAGTTCTCTCGATGGCCCAAGGCCTCGGCTCGCACGTGCGCACAGGTTTCATCCCCATACCAGGTTCCAAGACGGCCAGATTCCAGCGTCATGGCCAGTGTTGTGTCAATAGGCCCTTCCACTCGAGATGCAAGGCCACGGCATCCGGTGGAGCTGTCTGATGCAAGCAGCGGCGCATCCCGCTTGGCTTGTGCCCGAGTTTCAGGCGACAATCCGCCCCAGAACACACTGTGATACATCTTGAATGCCTCCTGGCCTCGCGGGTGCAGCGGAGCTGGTAGCATTCTCTGCCGCGGCCTGCCGATGTGACGCCGCCGACCCCCCCGGCCGCCGCCATCGGGCTCCCTCTCGCACGAGCTATCGATGCCTCGCGTGCAGACCTGGTCAGATATGCGGACTCGGGCGGGCGGGCGAGCGGACGCCGGGATGCTCCAAGGCGGGCACACACACACACACACACACGCTCGCGAGGCGGTTCGCTTGCTGTCGGGCGGGGGGCGGGTGCTCTACCAGAACTTGTACCAAGCCTTGCCGTTGCCGTTGCCGCCGCCGCTGCCGCCGCTGCCGGCCGCCGCGACCGTCTCGGCGCGGCTGGCCAGCTTCTTCTGCTGCTCCTCCTCCTCCTTCTTCCTCAGGTCGGCCTGCTTCTTGCTGACCACCTCGACGACCCGCTTCATGTTGGCGCGCTCGACCCGCCGCTTGTACTGGCAGTACTCGTACGCCAGGATGCTCATGGCCACGCCGGACCCGACGGCCCAGTTTGCGGACTTGGGCACTGGGGCTTTTTTTTGGACGGCAGTGTTAGCATCATTGCTTGCTGCCAGCAACCCCTTCACTCGTGGCGAAGACAAGAGAGAAAGGAAGGAAAGGGAAGAAGAGAGAGCCGGCGCTCACCTCCGATGATGTACCGCAGGAACCCGACGGCGGCGCCGGACCCGATGCCCGTGATGAAGCCGTCCCGCGAGCACGGCGCCTGGTGCACCTTGAGGATGTCGTCGCTCTTGATCGTCTTGAACGCCTCGCCCACCGTCGCGCGCTTGTTCGGGTCCACGCCCTCGGGCAGCGGCACCGACTTCAGCGACACCTCGGCGTACCGCTCCATGGCGGCCCTGCGCGCCTGCTCATCGCCTGGCGTCGGCTGGTTGTTGGGGGATGAGGGCGAGGCAGACATGTTGGTGGCTGCGCGCGCAAGGCAAGCTCGTCACCAATCTAATTGTGTGGTGTGGATGGGGATTTTTCTTGGGCGGAACAGGCCCACCCGCTCGCTCATGCGTCGGCGATGCAATCATCGACTGTCTTCTCTGCTCAGGCACAAGATCTCGAAATGGTCTGTGCGCCTGCATGGGTAGCTCGGGGAGGTACGGAGTACTTTGCTATGTACCCCGTACCCGTACCCTTGGGACCCCCCCTGCAGTTGCTTGCAGACTGGGATCAGGGGGGCACCTGCATGTGGCGGGCACAGGCACGATTGAGCGAGCGCGTGTAAGACGCGGTTGGCCCGACGCGTAAAGCAGAACCCGCCAAAAACCACTTTGGCTTGGGGAGGGGCCTGTGGATGTTTTTGATTATTCCGAGGCTCAACACCAATGAGCATTCTGCTATTCCAACTTGATACCCGGTTTTGAGGCGGACTTGCCTGTGACTTACTTACTCTGTCGTTCTTGTCCTTCTGCAACCGAACCAAAACAGCACGTCTGCTGGATCCAAGACACGATCCTCCATCTTTGTGTGTCTCGCCCACGCGAAGGTGCATTCCACTCTCGACTCGAGTTCGACAAGTCCTCCCAGGCGGTGCACAGGACCGCTGGGACTGATCCACTGATCCAGTGCCTGCTATCCGAATCCAACCCGCCCACCCGCATGGTTCCTCTCTCTGTCCTCGACCACCCTCTCCTCCACCATGCCCAACACCTCCCTGCGCCGGCCCCAGAAGGGCTTCCGCGGCGGTCGTGGGGGCAAGCTGGCCTACCATGGCGGCAAGACGAGAACCTTCACGGCGGCCTCCGGCAGGGCAGAGGCCACCTCCACAGACGAGAAGTGGGAGCGCACGCGGCTCGCCAACTCGATTGACGAGAACATGGGCTTCGCCCGCTACGAGGCCGGCCGCCCGCGCGAGGGCTGGCTGGTCAACGTGCAGCCGACGTCCATCGAGGACCCGCGCATCCCGGGCGGCGGCGGCCGCGCCGCCCTGGACTGCTACTTCATCGAGGAGGACGGCGCCACCTTCAAGGCCACCGTCGAGTACGAGCCCTACTTCCTCGTGGCCGTGCGCAAGGGCCACGAGACCGAGGTCGAGGAGTGGTGCAAGCGGGTGCCCGGCGGCGGCGTCGTGAGGAGCGTCAGGAGGGTCGAGAAGGAGGACCTCAACATGCCCAACCACCTCCTGGGCTACCGCAGGACCTTCCTCGAGCTCAAGTTCGCCAACGTCCAGGACCTGCTCGCTGCGAGGAGGGACATCATGCCTATAGCCCAGAGGAACAAGAAGGGCATGGACGCCATGGACACATATGCCGAGGTTGCTGCGTACGTTTATTTCGGCCCGCCCTACTCACAACACCACTGCCAGTCTGGCGAGATGAGCAACATCTGACTGACCGGCGAGCAGGACCAACAACGGCAACTTTGACCTTTTTGATGACGATACACGAATTGACGAGAAACGACTCAATACCTCCATAACCGAAGCCAGTGATTTCCTTGTTGATATTAGAGAATACGACGTTCCATACCACGTCAGAGTAATGATAGATAAAGGTAATGTCGACTTGTTGCGCTCCATATTACCAGGTAGCTTTTCTGACATGGACCTGCAGACATTCGAGTGGGGAAATGGTACTTTGTAGAAGCAAAGCATGGCGTCACGACAGTGGTGTGCAACGAGGACCACCTGGCCATGGCGGACCCCGTGGTGATGGCTTACGATATCGAAACGTGCAAGGCACCCCTGAAATTCCCCGACGCCGCCGTGGACCAGATCATGATGATTTCGTACATGATCGACGGCCAGGGGTTCCTCATCACGAACCGGGAGGTGGTCTCCGAGGACATCGCAGACTTCGAGTACACGCCCAAACCAGAATACCCCGGCCCATTCATGATTTTCAACGAGCCGAACGAGAGAGCCGTCATCGAGAGGTTCTTTGAACACATCAAAGAAGCGCGGCCGACGGTCATCGCGACCTACAACGGTGACTTCTTCGATTGGCCCTATGTCGACGCCAGGGCCAGCCTCAACGGCATCGACATGTACCACGAGATCGGCTGGAAGAAGGACAGCGAGGACCAGTACAAATCCAACTACTGCGCACATCTGGACTGCTTCCACTGGGTGAACCGAGACAGTTACCTGCCGCAGGGAAGTCGTGGTCTGAAGGCTGTCACGGTGGCCAAGCTCGGCTACGACCCTGACGAGCTCGATCCCGAACTGATGACCCCGTACGCCGCCGAACGCCCACAAACCCTGGCCGAGTACTCCGTCTCCGACGCCGTCGCTACATACTACCTGTACATGAAATATGTCCATCCCTTCGTCTTCTCGCTGTGTACCATTATCCCTCTCGGCCCCGACGACACCGAGCGGAAAGGTACGGGAACACTCTGTGAGATGTTGTTGATGGTGCAAGCATACAACCACGAGATTGTGCTCCCAAATAAGCACGTGTCACCAAAGGAGGCCTTTTGGGAAGGTCACCTGCTGGATTCAGAAACGTACGTTGGTGGTCACGTCGAGAGTATCGAGGCTGGTGTGTTCAGGGCCGACATACCAGTCAACTTTGCTGTCGACACGGGCGCAGTCGACGAGCTGCTCAAGGACTTGGACAACGCCTTGAAGTTCGTCATCACGATCGAGGAGAAGAAGAAACTCGAAGATGTCGAGAACTACGAGGAGGTCAAGGAACAAATAGCTGCCCGGCTGATGCAGCTGAAGGAGACGCCAAACCGGAGCGAGCGGCCGCTGATTTACCATCTGGACGTCGCCTCCATGTACCCAAACATCATGACCACGAATCGACTGCAGCCGGACTCGATGATCGACGAGTCGGACTGCGCCGCGTGTGATTTCAACCGCCCTGGCAAGACTTGCGATAGAAGGCTGCCGTGGGCTTGGCGAGGAGAGTACCTGCCCGCCAAACGAGACGAGTACAACATGATCAGGCATGCTTTGGAGAACGAGCGGTTCCCGGGGAAATACCCAAACTCACCCATGCGGTCATTTCAGGATTTGTCTGCAGACGAGCGGGCCGATCTCATCCGCAAGCGCCTGCAGTCATACTCCCAGAAGGTCTACCACAAGATCCATGACTCCACCACCATAGTTCGCGAGGCCATCATTTGCCAGCGCGAGAATCCTTTCTACATTAATACCGTGCGTGACTTCCGAGACCGTCGGTATGACTACAAGGGCAAGGCAAAGGAATGGAAGGGAAAGACAGAGGCGCTCAAATCTTCAGGAGCGTCTGGGCAAGACGTGGATGCCGCCAAGAAGATGATCATTCTCTTCGATTCTTTGCAACTGGCCCACAAGGTCATTTTGAACTCGTTCTATGGCTATGTCATGAGAAAAGGCTCAAGGTGGTACTCCTTGGAGATGGCTGGTGTCACCTGTCTGACAGGCGCTACCATTATCCAACTGGCTCGAGGCCTTGTCGAGCGGCTGGGTCGTCCTCTCGAGTTGGACACTGACGGTATCTGGTGTATGCTTCCTGCCACCTTCCCAGAGAACTTCGCCTTCAAGATGAAGAACGGGAAGAAGCTGCCGATTTCCTACCCTTGTGTCATGTTGAATCATCTGGTCCACGACAAGTTCACGAATCATCAGTACCAGACACTTGTTGATAAGAAGACGTTGAAATACGAGACGCACAGCGACAACTCTATCTTCTTCGAAGTCGATGGTCCATACAAGGCCATGGTTTTGCCCACTTCGAAGGAAGAGGACAAGAATTTGAAGAAGCGGTATGCTGTCTTCAATGACGACGGCAGTCTTGCCGAATTGAAAGGTTTCGAGCTCAAGCGGAGAGGAGAGTTAAAGCTCATCAAAATCTTCCAGTCGCAAATTTTCAAGTTCTTCCTCGAGGGGACCACACTCGCGGAATGTTATGCTGCGGTGGCAAAGGTTGCCAATCGTTGGCTAGATGTGCTCCACAGCAAGGGCACGACACTGGCAGACGAGGAACTCATGGATCTGATTTCTGAGAACCGCAGCATGACCAAGACGCTGGAGGAGTACGGCTCGCAGAAGTCCACGTCCATCACCACCGCCAGGCGTCTGGCGGACTTCCTGGGAGAAGGCATGGTCAAGGACAAGGGCTTGAACTGCAAGTTCATTATCTGCTCGCGACCCAAGAATGCGCCTGTCACCGAGCGAGCCATTCCTGTCGCCATCTTCTCTGCAGAGACAGACGTCAAGCGTTCGTTCCTCACAAAGTGGTTCAAGGAGACACCCCTCGACACGGATCCGAGGGCCCTGATCGATTGGGATTATTACTTGGAGCGTCTTGGCTCGGTTATCCAAAAGCTGATCACAATCCCAGCCGCGCTGCAGAAGATTCGCAATCCTGTACCGCGCGTCCCCCACCCAGACTGGCTGCAAAAGAGGATCAACATCAAAGACGACAAGATGAAGCAGAAGAAGCTCACGGACCTCTTCAGCAGGGAACCACTGAAGGACGTGACCAACCTCGCTGACCTGGAAGACTACGGCACCCAACTGCTGAAACCAAAGCCTGTCACCGAGATGGTAGCGGCGTCGCAGCACAAGCCAACGCCGGCTGCACAGAAGAGGAAATCGCCTGAGCCTGAGGAGAACCTCGACCCTTTTGCTGTACTACCGAAGGTGATGCCGAGTCCGTCGGAAGACTACCCGGCTTTCTTGGAATACCAAAAGAAGAAGTGGAAGATCCAAAAGCAGGCCAGGATACGCCGTCGTCACCTGTTCGGCGAGCGTCGTGCGCCGATCAACAACATCCAACAGGCGTTCCGAGACCAGGCTGAGGTCACATTCCGCAACACGTGGCAGCTTCTTCAGCTCAAGCCGACGGATAGCCCTGGATTGGTGATAGCCTGCGTCCTCATCGATAACAGGGTCCACTCCCTCAAGATTAAGGTGCCACGCCAAGTGTTCCTGAACCTGAAGAGTAAGGATCTTCCAGACATCGACATTGAAGGCTGCGGGGTTGAGCAGGTTAACCACACACTACCCAACGGTCACCCCTCGAGCCATCTGTTCAAGTTGACGGTACCGGAAGATGTTTACTTTGCCCAAGCAGAGAAGTTCTCTCTTCTCTTCAATCATCCCAGTGTCGAAGGAGTATACGAGAAGCAAATCCCTCTGAACACCCGTGCCGTCCTTCAGCTGGGCAATCTCTGCACCATCGACGAGAGCAAGCCGGGCGTGCTTGGCCAGGGTCTGGATCAAGGGTTCGAACTGGCAAGTCTGAGGCGGCCACTGAAGCTGAAGACATACCTTGGCGGTTCCAAGATGGCGTTCATCTACCTGTCTCACATCAGCGCTGGCGAACGACAAATCTTCGGGATATTTTCAAGCACTGGGGACGCGGCTCATGTCGTCATTCAGCACAAGAACAAGGAAGGTGGCCAGGACCTCCCCAACATCAACAAGATCTACTCGGACCTCCGTGCCCGACATGCAAGCGAGGCGCAAGGGTCGAACTGGGAAGATTGTTTCCCATACCAGGAGAAGCTCACCTTCAAGATCACCCAGGTCACGACGAGGCGGAAGGCTTTCCTCGAGATTGGCGACGTAGTCAAGAAGATGAGAAAGGACGAGACCAAACCGCTGGTCATGGTCGTTCAGTCATCGCAGACCAATCTCCTTGTTCACGAAATCTCCATCCTGGGTGAGATGCCCGTGCTCCCGCTCAAATACAACGTCGACGACAGCTCGCTACCGCCACTTGGCTGGCAGGCTGTTGTTGCCAGGCGTCTGATTCATCACTATCTCGGCCTTGGCACGTGGATACTGCACCTCACAGCCTTGGCCAGGTATGCTGACATTCCGCTCTGCAACCTGGAGCGGGAGGACCCTCGCTTCTTGATCGACGTCGCATATGCGAGACGCCTGCAGAACAACAACGTCGTTTTGTGGTGGTCTGCCGGGCCCCGACCGGATCACGCAGGCTACGAGTTAGACGACGTCACAGGCCCCCTGGAGACCGTGCAGATGCCTTCGGTCAACACGCCTGGCACATACTCCTCGGTCTGTATTGACTTGGAAGTCAAGAACCTCGCCATCAACACCATCCTGACATCCTCCCTGATCAACGAGCTTGAGGGCGCGGACTCGATTTCCTTCAATCCCGCGGGAGACGGAATTGGCGGTGATGGAACGGAGGTGCTGTCCTCGGACAATGCATTTGCCAACGCCAGCATCCAAGTGCTTCGCGAGATGGTGAAGAGCTGGTGGGCGGAGGCATGCAAGGGCAACGAGATGGCCGACATCATGGTTCAGCATCTTGTCCGCTGGGTTGAGAATCCCGACTCCTTCCTCTATGACCGCGCCCTGCATTACTACGTCCAGATGATGTCGCGCAAAGCATTCCAGCAGCTCATGGGCGACTTCCGCCGTGTCGGCTCTCAGGTCATCTTTGCCAACGCCAACCGGCTGCTTCTGCAGACCACGAAGGCCGAGGTTGGCAACGCCTACGCCTACAGCCAGTATATCCTGAAGTCCATCAAGGGCAAGCCGCTGTTCCACTTCATCGACCTCGAAATCAAGGAGTACTGGGACTACCTTGTGTGGTATGACGAGTTCAACTACGGCGGCAAGGCGACGCAAAAGGTGATCGAGGCCGACACGCAGAACCTGGAGACGATCATGCACTGGCAGATGTCGACCTTCCTCCCCGTGCGGCTGCAGCCCACCTTCTCGGACTGGGTCATCGAGTTCATCACGCTCATGCACAACATCAAGCGGCCCCTCCTGGGCTCCGACCCGACCTCGACGCCGCGCCTGACCCAGCTGCCGCAGAACAACCGCGCCAACCTGGCCGAGGGCGCCGAGGGCCAGGTCATCCTGGGCAAGGCCTTCGAGAAGCCCCTGAAGCGCGACATCCAGGGCCTCGTCGCGGCGCAGAAGCGCGAGCTGCTCCACCCGGAGCTGGCGGCCGACTACGCGTTCCCCGAGCTGCCGGGCAGCCACCTGAGCCAGCTCAACGGCAGGGGCGGCGGCGGCAACGCGGTCCTGGAGCTGGTCAAGATGCTGGCGCAGGTGCTGTCGCTCGACAAGAACATCGCGCTCGAGGCGCGGCTGCTGCGCAAGGAGCTGCTGGCGCTGTTTGACGTGCGCGAGTTCAGCAGGGAGGGCGCGTTCGCCAACCCCTCCGAGACGCTGCGGGTGCCGCAGGTGAGCTGCGACAGCTGCACGATGGCGCGGGACCTCGACTTGTGCCGGGACGAGGGCCTGATGCCCGAGGCGCCCGGGGCCGCCCCGCCGCCGTGGGCGTGCGGGTTCTGCGGGGCCGAGCACGGCCGCAACGGGCTCGAGGAGCGGCTCGTCGCCGACGTCGAGGGGATGGCCGTCGCGTGGGCGGCGCAGGACCTCAAGTGTGTCAAGTGCGGGGCGCTGAGGGTTAATGATTTTGTCGAGCACTGCACGTGCTCTGGCGGCTGGGGGGAGACGGTGCGCCGCGAGGAGGTGGTCGGGCGGTTGAGGGTGTACCGGAATGTTGCGAGGTTCTACGGGCTGCGGATGCTTGGGGATGTTGTCGGGGGGTTGTTGGAGGGGTTGTGAGTGGCGTGACATGATGGCGGTGGGCTGAGCTCGAGGGGGTTTGGTTTGCGAGCAAGGTCTGATCCCAGCCGCGGGTGGTGGATGCTCGAGGCTTGGATGGGGTGGTGGAGTTTATGTGTGATTTGGCTCGGCTGGCTGGCTCGGGTCCGTGGGGACTGAGCCGGGCGGGTGGATTATGAGAGGAGGTTTGCATCGTTCTTTGTGGTTCTCGGCATTGTGAAGGAGGGCGGCGTCTCGGAGTCGGGCTTGCATTGATTGCGTTTGTTGCCTAGGCTGTCATATAATTGCAGTCTGATTTGGTCAGCATAATAGATCCTCATATAAAATCCTGGGGCCTGCTTCGATGGGGCTTTGTATCGTGTCGTCTTGTTGTGTTTTGGGTGGCCTAGGAAGCAGCAGTACGCCTGCTGATGGCTGATGGGCGCGTTCCGGCGTTTGTTGACTTGGGCTGGCGCTCTTTCAAGACATTGCTTTTCTCCATCGAACGAAGATGTTAGCATTCTTATTCTTCATCATTTGAAGAACCAGCGGAAGTGTCACCTGACAAAACAAAATATTGATCCTCGATTCCGAATTCCAAAACGCTAGGGTTGAAATTAGTCTAAATTAGTTTAGTTACTAGCCTTAACTAAGATTAAAGACTTTTAGTTAAAAAAATAATAATTAAATCTTTTTTTAGTTAGTAATTATAATTAAAAATTAAATTAATTAATAAATTAGTTTTTAATTTTTAGTTTAATTAAATTAAAAATAAGTTTAATTTAATAGTATAAATAAAAAATTTAAAGTATATAAAAAATTTATATAATACTTATAAAGTTTAAGTTTAATCTTAACTTTAACCTACTTTTTACTCTACTTTTTATTTAAATAAGAAAGATTTTTTTTAATTTTTTAATCTTTTTTTAATTTAATTTTAATCTTTTAGTTTTAATTACTTAATATAATTAAGTGATTAAAGATTATTTTTTTTATTATAGTTTAATTAAAAACTAAAAGATTAAAGATTAACTTAGTCTAATTAAGAAATTAAGGAATAAATTTGCAACCCTATAAAACGCTTACACTCCGTCCTTAGTTCCGAGGGAAAAGCCTTGAAGCTCGCGCAACTGAAGTAACGCACACAACTTGCCATCCGGCACAACCGTCCCAACTCGGCTCAAGGCACAGTCGCAAGTTTCTATATTGGACTTTGATGAGTTCTTCATCTTCCCCGGCCCGAGCCTGTTTCTTTCTTTCTTTCTTTCCTTTTCTCTAAGAGCCTCCGTCTTGAATCTGCTACTGTTCATTTTAACACTTTTTCACGTGTCAGCCCTGTCAACTCGGATGTTACGGCTTGGTGAGAGCATGGTTCTCACTTTACTCCAAAGCCGTAACCCCTTTTCGTGGTTTCAGGCTCTTCCGTTATGGAAAGCGGCTTCGGCCACCCTTCTGTGTCTGATCCGGGATCCAGATTCCCCCACCCCTTGCGTGGCCTAGATGAATCGAGTCGTCGACGCCGCTTTTCTCAGCCAAACTGTCCGCAATATGGGATGGATGGATCGATTAGCAGTCCGTTCTGAGTGCCGAAACCCGCGCCTGCCCTGCCTTTTAGTCCACACTTGCCGTGCACGTTTTTGTGTCAGCGGCCCGGGGCTTTTATCCAACTCTTCCCTTGATATCCCTCTTTTCGTCAGTTGTTTTTCGCCCAACTTTAAGCGAGCCCAGGCAATGATATCTCGCTGCCAGGCCTCAACTAAGCTTCTCGATGAAGACACAGTAGTTCCGATCGCCACAACGGCCTATTTGCCCGTTGTCAGAGTAGAAAAACCAACACAACCGTGAAGTCTAATTCAACAGATATGCCGCACAAGAACTTCTCCCTATCATGCCATCGACTGAGCCGTAACATATGGCGAGGCTTACCGCTTCCGCCGCATGTTTTTCATTCCGAAACAGTTGAAGCCCGGGAGCCTTCTCTAGGACAGATGGCCCTGTGGAAAGCCTCAGGGATGTGTCTTTGAGCTGATGTTGAAGCAGCCCAGCGAAGAAGAGGTTGTAGAAGAGGCTGACAAAAGCTTTCACCCGACCTATCGAATCTTCTACTCTTCTTCCTGTGTTTCTTGTATTCTTGCCTCGCGTTTGAGGTTTCTCTCGCATAGTCTCGCAGCTGAGTAGTCCAGTGTTTCTGTGTGTCTTATGAGTTAAGTTATCTTTCTAGAAGTCCCAGTTGAACGATTCCCTTTCCCTAGTTCCCCTCGTCCGGGGTGTTGGCGGACTCGTTCGAGGGGTTCGAGGGGTTGCGAGGGTCGCCCCTATAGTTATGGGAGATGCCGTGCTGGTCACGGTATCTCCGCTCCTCCTCATCCGGGATGTTGGCTGACTCGTTGGAAGGGTTACGAGAGTCTCCCCTGTAGTTGTGGGAGATACCGCGCTGGTCACGGTATCTCCGCTCCTCCTCGTCGAGTGGGCGGTTGGCTGCCTCCGGTAGCTGACAAAAGCTTGCACCCGACCTATCGAATCCTTCTACTATTCATCCCGTGTTTCTTGTATTCTTGCCTCGCATTTGTGATTTCTCTCGCAGCTGAGTAGTCCAGTATTTCGGTGTTTCTTATGAGTCGAGTTGTCTTTCTAGACATGTTTGACGATCCCCTTCCCTATTGCGTGTGGCTGACAAAAGCCTTTACCCGGCCCATCGAATCTTTCTACTCTTCGTCCCGTGTTTCTTAAAATCTTGCCTCTCGTTGTGACTTCTCTCGTATAATTTCGCAGCTGAGTAGTATAGTATTTCGGTGTTTCTTATGATTCCAGCTGTCTTTCTAGACATGTTCGACCCTCCCCCTTCCCTCTTGCGTGTATAGGCAGTCTCTCGTCTTTCTAGGATATGTGAGGCTCGTTTTAGCGATATCTACTAGTGAGTAGGACTTTTCTCGTGGCTCGTTGCCATTCCGTTGATAATAGCTGGTCCTCTCACGCAAATCCTGCGTAAACGATAGTTAGTAAGCATGTAAAGACGTGAGGGCAATGAATCCAAGGAAACTGCTCGGGGAGTGGTTATCTTCTGAGCTTAGCTGCCTTCATCAAGCTCTCTTCTCGTGTCTCTCTGGCAACACAAAGCTTTCCTTGAGACACTTGTTTCGAGTTCCACAATGGGAGAGGCCAGAGTCAAAACTGAAAGACAAGAGTAGGATTCGATAATGGGGCTCTCAGAAGAACACTGCCTCTCCTGGGCTGTGATGATAGTAGTTTCTGACAACAACACTGGTGACTCTCTGGGACGACAAGAGACACTCCTGGATAGTTGCTTGCCTATGGCAGCCAGCTTGTTGATTTCTTGTAAGAGAGCAATTTCATGAACAGTAAAGTGAACTGGGCACCCCGCCTGACCTCTGACAGCCTGCCACAAGCTGCTGGCCGTCCCATATCAAGCTACTAGCGTGATTCCGCGTTTGCAACAGCAACACGCGTTTGATTTTCAAAGCTCTGGCCCAACGAAACAGCTGTCAGTCACCCAGTAACAAGCAGGTCACTTCAGCCACTGTTATTCATGACCCTCCTCGCGTCATCGCGCTAGTATTCACGCGTTTGCGTCGTCCCAGTTACTAAATCTGCAAAGCTGCCAGCTGCCAGCTGCCTTGAAATTTCCCTGACCTGACCTGACCTGACCCAACTCTCTCCCTTTCTCTTTCTTCCACAACCTCTCTGTTGCCTCCAGCCTTCCTACAACCAACGTCGAACTTGAGCAAGATCGAACCTAGTTCGATACCATCGCCAGTTCCCACCACGCCCTCCTGGTAAGTTGCTCTCTTCTCTTCCGTATAAACAAGCCACCACTGGATCATATCTTCCCATTCGAAGGCCGTTGTGCTGAGTTCTTTGTTATTTTTCTTCGATCATAGTTGGAAGCCCGTACCATCACGTAACGCACCAAATACCACCATCTTTCCCACCCAGGCGTATCACCCAACATGTCTGGACGACCAACCACGCCCCCTTCCGCCTCTGAGGCAGAGGAGATCCTATCTCCTCTTGCGAACAATACCTCCAGCCTGGCCCCTGGAGATCGTCGAACCTCAAACCCTCGGTTTGGACCCATTGGTGGCCCGTCTCTCGCTGCCTCCGCTTTCCCTGCCCCCGGCTCGGTCCCTGGTGATGCCACTATCACCGGTACTGCCAACAACACTCCCGCGGCGACTGCCAGAGGCCGAGAGCAGCCCGGCGGTGTTTTCCCTGCCCCTCGTGCCGTGACAGGCGGAAATTTCCGTCATGTCACCACTCTTGACAGCCTCCCGCCGGCCTCTTCGAGTACCCAGAGGACCCTACGGTCCAACCAACCAGGCAATTCTTATGTGACCGGCCTGGCAACCTGGCGCCGTGGCCCAGAGCAGCCCGGCCAGCGTTCAGCCCCTGATGGCACCACTCCGTCGATCCCCCGCCCCTCTGCCCCTGACGTCTCTCGTGTCGTTGAGAACGTCCCCATCGAGAACCGCGGAGCGGCTGTTCGTGGCGGTTTCGATGGCAGTACGACGGGCTACCGAGGCCTGAATACTGGAGCAGCTACCTCCCAGGCTGGAAACATACAGGCACCACAGCAGCAGCAACAAGCAGAGCAGCAGCAGACCCGTCGTGGAGGCTTTCAAGGCCTCCACCTGTTCAGGAACCGTGGGCCCTTTCAACCAATGAATCTGATGCTTTTTCCAGAGGCAGCCAACCGCCCTCTCGACGAGGAAGAACGGAGATACCGTGATCAGCGTGGTATCTCCTACAATTACAGGGGCGACTCTCGGAACCCTTCAAATGAGTCTGCCAACATTCCGGACGAGGATAACTGCTCGGTCTGGATCACGCTGCTCCCTCCGGACTGCACCTACAAGGACCTGCTCACCGCCGTGGCCGTCCACCGCCCGGGACAGGTCTGGTCGACTGTCATCTCCCCTCCCCTGCAGCCAACGACCTACCGGGAAGCAAGTCTGTCGAGCTCTCGCACCTCTGCGGCAAAGATCGTGTTCTACACGGCCGCAGCAGCCCAGCATCTGATCCGTGTTGCCCAACAGGGACAGTTCGTTGTCAAGACTCACACGGCCCGGGTCATACAGAACAAAATCAAGGTGGCCCCTCAGCCGGATACCGGCGTCTTTACCAGCCGCGTCCTGTGGATCACAGGATCCCCGGATATCGTCAACGTGGAGAACCTGACTCGGCTCTTTAGCCATTACTTCCGCTGGGACACCGAGGAGATCCTCGTGCGAAGGGATCCGGAGACAAGGAAGGGGGGCGCCCAGCACACGCTTGAGTGGCGGTTTGGATCTTGCCACTGCCAGGCAGGGTCCGCGCTGCCCACTCTCCTCTCCTACTTGCCTGAGGCTACGCCATGCTACGCCCCGGACCCGTGTGCCCAGGTCCTGACTGCACAGGGCTTCACCCGGCTGCCCGAGTAGTCGATACGCCATGTGGCCGTCAGCACAGCCGTACAGCACGGCATAGCAGAGTACAGCAAGGCACGGCACAGCATAGCACAGCACAGCACAGAACGGTACAGTACGGCATCCTGAAAGCATGAGCAGGAGTTCCGGAGTCATTGATTTGAGGCTCACATACCCAGCGTGCGTTGCTTGTTTGGTCTTTTCCCCGGTGGCTTTGGTTTTCCCCCGGCGGCTTTGGTTTTTCCCTTTTTCCTGTGGTTTGGTTTTGGCCCCTTCTTTTCGGTTCCCTCGCAGTTGGTTCCTCCTTTTGGTTTGGTTCTTTGGTGGTTAATAGGCTCTCCGGGAGCGTTGAGGGGTGATGCCGTGGTTTGATGGATGAGGGGCCAATGGACCAATGTACTATTACTATATGTCTTTGTCTGCTTTTGCGTGTTTCTGCTTTGTTGTTCACCTTAGGGCTCTTGTCCTTTTCCCCTCCGGCGAGTGCCTGAGACAGCGTTCTTGATCTGTGTGTCACCACCCACCGCCTTGACTCTCTTGGCAACGTTGACTTCATGCGTGAAATGGAAATGCAAGTGCATTTCATTGAAGCTACCGCCTAAAGGTAAGACGTGTTTCCCACGTAGGAACGTACCTACTTAGGTAGTGTGTACCTAAGCACTAAAGTGAATTTATATTACTTTAATACGGTAAGTTAAGTATAGCGGAAATAATTAAATGTAAATAGTATTATAATAAATGTATAAGGTAGGGAGAAGATAATTTTAAATAAAAGAATAAGTAAAATTAAAATATTTATTTATATTTAAAAGATTTAATTTAAAAAGAACTTTATTATTAAAAATAGTTTAATAATATAAAAATAAAACTTTATTTAATAAAATTCTTTTTATTTAATAAGCTATTCTTTTATTTAATAAGTTTTATATAATAAATAAATAAAATATATAAATGAATAATTATTACTTTTAAAATATTATTAAAATTTAATAGTTTAAAATAAAAATTAATAATAAATAATTTTAAATAATATTTTAAAGATTATTAAATTTTAAATATAAAGTATTATATAAACTATTTATATATTTTTAATTCTATTATTAAGTTAAAAGTAAATAATTAAAATTTTAAAAATAAAATATAATATATCTTTTAAAAATTAATTTAATTAAATTCATTATATAAAACTTTTATAATAACTTTATAATTTATTATATTTATAATACTATTTATTATTAAAAATACCTTTTATATTAATATATTAAATTGTATTTAATTAGTTTAAATGAATACTATTAACCTTAATATAAATTAGTTTATTAAAAGTTAAAGCTATTATAAACTATAAACTACTTAGTTTAATATTAGTAAATACTATATATAAATATTAAATTTATTATATAATTTAAGTAAGTTAGTTAAAATAGGTAAAGATAAAGCTATTATTCTTTTAAGGGATATATATAAGTTTTAACTCTATTTAAATAAATATTTATTAAGTAAAACTACTTAAAAGTAGTTACTTAGCCTACTATATAACCTATTAAACTAAAAATAATTAAATAAAGTAATTATATTTTATTATTATATATAGTATTTAAATTTATAATTTTAATAATTTTATTATAAATAAAAGAAAAATAGTTATTAATAATTAAATTTATAATTATATAAAGATAAATCTTTATTTTAAAGAGAAGTTATTAATATTTAAAATAGTTAATATATTTTAAAGAAGTTAAAGAATTATAAGTTTAATTTAAAAGAAATTAAAATTTATAAAACTTTTAAATTTAAGTTTAATAGTTTTAATTTAATTTTATATTTATAAAAATAAAAGTATTTATATAATTTAAAAAAGTTTAAATTAAGTTAAATTAAATTATAATAAAAGAAATTAATTAAATAAAAATTAATTAAAAATTATAATTATAAGTTTTTAACTTTATATTAAAGAAAGTAAAATATTATATATATATATAAAGTTTAATTAATTATATTATATTATAAAGAAAAATAAAAGAAAATTTAAAATATTAATTATAATTATTTTAATATAATTTCTTAATAATATTTATATAATTTTATATATATTTTAAATGAATTGTAAAAGTTAAATATTATATTTTTATATAAATATTTTAATAATATTGTATATATTATTTAAATAAATATAAGTAATAAATTTAATTAAAACTATTTAAATAAATATTTTTATTTAAGGAAATATAAATAAAATTTATTTTTTATTTATATTTAATTTTTATTTATTATAAATATATTAAAAATTTAAACTTAATATATTTAAAGTTCTTATAATTAAATATTTAACTTTTACTTTAAATTATAATATTAAAATTAATTTAACTTTTAATATATATTTATTATATTAAAATTATAAATATTAATAATATAAAAATAATAATTACTATTAATATAATTAATTTAAATATTATATATTTTATAACTCTTTTAAATATAAAGTTAAAAGATTTATAATTATAATTTTTAATTAATTTTTATTTAATTATTTTATTATATTATAATTTAGTTTAGTTTTTAACTTTATTTAAACCTCTTTTAAGTTTTATAAAAGCTTTTATTTCTATAAGTATAAATTTTAATTTAAAACCTTTAAGCTTAAGTTTAAGATTCTTATAGATTTTAATATACTTTAAATTAGACTTATAATTTTTAAGTTTTTTTAAAAATATATTAACTATTTTAAATAATAATAACTTTTTTTAAAGTAGAGGTTTATTTTTATATAATTATAGATTTAGTTATTAATAGTTATTTCTTTTTTTATAAAGCTATTAGAACTATAAATCTAGATACTATATATAGTAATAGAGTGTAGTTACCTTACCTAAAAGTTATCTCTTAGTTTAGCTAAATAACGGCTTTTAAGTGGTTTTACTTATAATATAGTAAAGCTAATGGATGGGTATTTACTTAAATAGAGCTAGAACCTTTAAGGGAATAATAGCTTTTATCTTTACCCATTTTAACTAACTTACCTAAATTATATAGTAACCTTATATATAATACTTAATAATATTAAAACTAATTTATAGTTTATAATCGTTTTAACCTTTAATAGGTTAATAGTATTAACTTAAACTAATATAGCCTAATATATTAATATAAAAAGATATTTTCTAATAATAAATAATATTATAAATAATTATAAAGTTATTATAAAAGTTTTATATAATAAACTTAATTAAGTTAATCTTTAAAAGATATATTATATTTTATTTTTAAAATCTTAATTATTTATTTTAGTTTAATAGTAGAATTAAAAAATATAAATAGTTTATAGTTTATATATTTTTATAAATAAATAATAAATAAAATTAATTTTAATTATAATAATTTATATAATATTAAGAATATATTTTTAATTAAATAATTATAAATTTATATATATTTAATATTATTAAAAGGATAATAAAAATATAAATTATATTAAAACTTTATTATTAATATTTAAATAATTTATAAAAAAGTATTTAATTTTATTATTAAATAATTTTTAAATATTATTATAAATTATAAAAAAAATTATTTTATAAAACTATTTTAAAAAAGTTTTTATAAGTTATTTAAATAATTACATTTATTATTTATTAAATTAAAATACTTTATTTATTTTTATATATTTATAATAATTATTATATATAAATAAAGTTAAAATAACTTTATTTTTTTTATATAATAATAAATAAATATTTAATAAATAAATATTTAATAAATAAATATTTAATAAATAAATATTAAATAAATAAATATTTAATATGTTGGTATGGATTATCACGTATGTAACGTAAAGAGTGGTTGGTTGAGTTGGATTGTGTAGGAGGGAGGAAGCTAGGCTTGAAGGGCTGGCGATAAGTCCCTCGCTATGGCCTACCAACTAGGGTCACGTGACGTGACCCGAACTATCTACTGATTGCGATTGCCTCTATTCCCACATAATAAATAAATATTTAATAAATAAATATTTAATAAATAAATATTTAATAAATAAATATTTAAGTTTAAATAAGTTTTTATCTTTTTTTAAACTTTTTTATTTTTTATTTTATTTTTATATTAAAGTTAAATTATAAACTATTTATATTTTTTTAATTTTATTATTAAATTAAAAGTAAATAGTTAAAGTTTTAAAAGAATAAAATATAATATATCTTTTAAAAATTAACTTAATTAAGTTTATTATATAAAACTTTTTATAATAACTTTATAATTATTTATAATATTATTTATTATTAAAAGATATCTTTATATATTAGTATATTAAGTTATATTTATTAAAAGTTAAAGTTATTATAAATTATAAACTACTTAATTTTAATGTTATTAAGTACTATATATAAGATTACTATATAACTTAGGCCTTTTAAATATAAGTTAGTTAAAATAAATAAAAATAAAAACTATTATTCCTTTAAAGGTTCTAACTCTACTTAAATAAATACTTATTTATTACCTTTATAAGTAAGACTACTTAAAAGTAGTTACTTAACCTACTATATTATTAAATTAAAAATAATTAAATAAAGTAATTATACTCTATTATTTAAATTTATAATTCTAATAACTTTATTATAAATAAAAGAAAAATAGCTATTAATATTTAAATTTATAATTATATAAAAGTAGATTTTTATTTTAAAAGGGTTATTATTATTTAAAATAGTTAATATATTTTAAAGAAATTAAAAGATTATAAATTTAATTTAAAGTATATTAAAATTTATAAGAATTTTAAATTTAAGTTTAAAGAATATAAAGCTTTAATTTATTTAAAGATAGAAAGGTTAGAGAAATTTAAAGAGAGGCTTAGATTAAATTAAATTAAATTATAGTTTAATAAAATATTTAAATAAAAATTAATTAGAATTTTATAATTATAAGTCTTTTAGTTTTATATTTAAAAGGTAAAGTTAAATTATAAATAACTTTATAAAGAAATTTATAAATAATTTTATAAAAGTATAATATAATATAATAAAAGTTTATAAAGATTATATTAAATAATTAATAATATAATAATTATTAAATTAATAATATTTTAATAAAATAATAATAAATAAATAAAATAATTAATAAATAATTAATTAAAAATTAATTTATTTTTATTTTTATTTTAAATTTAATATATAATAAAAGTTTAATTTAAAATAAAAGTAATAATATAGTTTTATAATTTATAATAAAAGAATATTTAAATTATTTTTAAAAAATATTAATTTAAAATTAAAGTTATTTAAAAATAATATAAAAGAAATAATAAAGTTATAATTTTATATTATAAAAGATATAAAAGTTATTTAAGTTATTTAAAGAAATAATTTATATAGATTTATTAATAAGTTATATAAATAATTAATTTATAACTTTTATAAATAAATAATTAACTTAAAAGTAAAATTTAAAAATAATTTATATTATTTTTAATATTAATAAATAGAAAGATATGTATTATAATTATTAATTATTATAAGTTAAAAAAGAATAACTTTATTAAACTTTTTAAAAAAGTATTTATAAATTATTTAAATAATTAAATCTATAATTAAATAAATTAAAAACTTTATTTATTTTTATATATTTATAATAAAAACTTATTATAATTATATATATTTATTAATTTAAAATTAAAAAATTAAAAATTATTTATTTAATAATATTAACTTTATTTAAAAATTTAATAATTAAATTTATATTATTTTAAAATAAAAATATAAATTTATAATCCTTTTTTTAATAATAAAAATATAAACTTAAAAGCAAAAAAAACTATTTATTCTCCTATTCTCCTATTCTCCTATTCTCCTATTCTCTTATTCTCCTATTCTCCTATTCTCTTATTCTTTTATTCTTCTATTCTTCTATTCTTTTATTCTCTTATTCTTCTATTTTTTATCTCTTTATCTTTTATTTCTTTATTATTATCTCTTTATTTTTTTACTTTTTATTTATTTATTTTCTTTTTTTCTTCTTTTTTTTTCTTTTCTATTTTTTTTTCTTTCTTCCTTTTTTTCCTCTTTTTTTCCCTTTTTCTTTCTTTTTTTTATCTTTTTTTATCTTCTTTTTTTCTTTTCTTTTTTCTTTTTTTTTCTTTTTTTTTCTTTTTTTTCTTTTTTTTTTTTTTTTTCTTTTTTTCTTTTTCTTTTTACTCTTTTTTTTCTCTTTTTTTCTTTTCTTCTCTTTTTTTTTCTTTCTTTTTTTTCTTTCTTTTTTTATCCTTCTTTTTTTTTAAAAAGAAAAACTTATTTTAAAAAACTTTATACTTTTATTATAAAAGTTTTAAAAATAAAACTAATAAAATAAATTTAAAAGAATTCTATATTATTTAAAATTTATAATTATATATAAAAGTTTATAATTAATAATTATAAATATTTAAATTTTATATTTAATTTATATATAAAATAAATTATAAATACTTTATAAATATTAATAACAATTTTAAAACTTTATTTAATTTTATTAAATAAAGATATTTCCTTTAATATTTAAGATAAATATATTTAGTATAAAACTTTATATGGATGTTAATAATAATAAATATTAGAACTTAGTTGAAGTGCTATGATGCTGGACTTATTAATCGTCCTCTGGTCATGATGCCTCACATGGCATCCCTTCCAGTGCCTAATCGCTCATTTCTGTTGCCTCAGTATAGTCACAAACAGGATACCTGGGCATAAAGTTTCATGGACTTATAGCTTATATTAAGTTACCGCGCGGGATGATCCAGGTGGCTTGTGTCACACTCCAATTAGTCAGGCTGTGCATAACCAAGCCAGCCAAGTTCAGATGGCGAAACACCTAACTACCGGCGGAAGGACTACCTAGGTACTGTAGATCACCAAACCATGTTCATAAGTTCCACAACGCTTTCAGCTTGTGGATTCGTATATAAGCTTGTGGAGTTGGGACGACGCAAATGCTAGGCGGTTTCTGGGTGGCTTGAAACTTGAAATGCTATTGAAGTTGGCGGCTGTGTTCAAACATCATGCGGGAGCAATGCTTTTCACAATTGGTGCAGGTAAACGCCAATCATGGGAAATGTGTTGGGCAAGTTCAGGACAGCGCCTCCAGCTGCTCTTGTACGAAGCAGGCTGAACCAACCCTCTTCATCGCGATGAATGCGCATTCAACAGTCTTTGACGCCGCTTGTTGATTAAGCCTAACGAAACTGCACATGTGCTCCAGTGCCGCAGCCCGGCGAATTGGGTGTGAAATGTCGACTCCAACAGTCTCGTGCAAGCCAATGACTAGGCACATGCAGGCGTGAGTAGCCAAACATTCCGAGGTTGAAACAGGAGTCAGGGGGGTTCAGCCGAGCCCACAGGCAGTTCGAGGGAAAATTAAACCAAGATCTTTTTGGGGGCCGCCCATTCAGACGAGATGATGCAAAAGTCAAAAATGGTCTGGGCGCCGTCTCGCGGGCCGCGCAGAGTGGCTTCTCCGTAGTGCCGCTGTGGGAGCCGATTGGGCGCCTTTCTGGGTTCCTGAATCCGAACATGTGCCAGGTGGCACCGTTGGTGTGACACGATCAGGGTCTAAGGGTCCCGTTGTACCTGTGCTATCGCCGCGGTGCTGTCAGATGCTAGAGCTTGAGTTAGTGCGGTACAAGTGCACGACGGGACGGCCAAAGAGGAGCGACCTGACCTGCGGCTGTCTTGGCACACCACCAGAAACTGAGCAAAATGGCCGTCCTCCTGGGCCGACATGCTGCCCTCGACAACTGGCCTGCTCTGCCAGTCTGCCTGGCTGCATAGCACATGGCCGCTGTGCTACGGCGGCAAAGAAGGCCAAGCTTCTGACCAAGTCTTGGCCCTCGGAAGCGGACGATACACGAGATCTGCCGTGGAGCCTGGAACTTACACCCCTTGCCCGGCTTCCGATTCCTCATCACGGGGCGCAGCAGCAGCAGCACATGTCTGCGCTTCTCATCAGACGCCCGCCACTCGACATCAAACGAACTAGCGTCACACTTTACCCTGCCTGACAGCTCCATCGTCCAGTCACACTGCCCTCGTCCGGTTCGAGCCTCGACTCATCAGACCGGATGCTCACTTTGTCGAGATGGCTGCCTTCGCCATGGCCTCGCCCGCTCCCAGGTTGGGCCTTTTTCACACGTTCACCTATTCAGCCGGGCCAGATCAGACGAGGCCATCAATGGATGAGATGTGTATATAACCTCTTCTTAGTCCAGCTCTCAACTTCTTGGCGACGAACTACACACTCACTCACACAACCACACAACAACATCTCTCGCATCTCGCACCTGCACAGACCTCTCCTTGCCCTTCTTCCACTCCTTACTACTACCACCTTCAACCCGGATCTGCGACCAGGAGTCTGCGAATCCGTTTCAACACTTGGCATTGACTGCTTAACAAAACCCTTACTCGAGTCCTCGTTTCCAGTTTCGTTTTCACAAGCTCACAGGCCACCCCTTGCCTTGTAATACTTACTTTATTACCATAATCGTCGATTAACCCGAACCAACCCACACACCCCCAAACAACATCATCGCCAACATGGTCGCCCTCAAAGCCACAGCAGCACTCACCCTCCTCTTCGCCCTGCAGGGCGCCGTCGCCTTGAGCACCCCCTCCTCCCGCACCGCAAAGCACGAGCAGCGCCAGGCCGCCCAGAAGCCCCCCGTCCTCCAGGCCCAGCCGAGCCAGCTCCCGGACCCGACCCTCGCCGCCGGCAAGGGCAACGGCAAGAACGCCCAGTTCATCACGGGCGAGTGCGTCAGCTCCGCCGACTGCGGCGCCAGCCAGGCGGACCTGTCAAAGGTGTGCTGCGCCTCGGTCAAGAACCAGGCCGGCGCCACCGTCGGCGTCTGCTCCGGGTCCGCGGTCGGCGACGCCGCGCCCAAGCTCGGGTGCGGCTTTGGCGACGGCAAGGTGAACTCGGCCGCGGGCGCTGGTGCTGCTGCTCCTGCTGCTGGCAGTGGCAGTGGCAGTGGTGGTGCTGGTGCTGCCTCGGGCGGTGCGGCATCGAACAACGCCGCCTCGGGTGCCCAGGGTGGTAACGCAGGCGGGTCGGCAGCAGCACCGGCTGCTGGTGGGCAGTGCCCCCCGACCAGCACCAACGACAGCCTCGGGCCCGGCAACGTCGGCGTCGCGGGCAAGCAGTTCGTCACGGGCCAGTGCACGAGCGACGCCAACTGCGCGTCCAACTGCTGCGTGCTCGGCGGCGGCAGCGACAAGTCCATCGCCGTCTGCCGCAACGAGCCCGCGCTCAAGCCCACTGAGAAGTGCGGCTTCACCTGTACCGCCTGAGCGGAGCAAGGCAAAGCAGGCTGAGAATGCTTGCTTGCTTGCTGGGGATCGACGTGGTTTCTTTTGGGGGACGGATACACGGGGGAGAGGATGTAATAATTGCATAGCGGGCGGGAATGAATGACTTGCACTTTGAGGTTGCATTGCTTGAAAGAATAACTGGATTATTTTTGTCATCTCAGGGTCGGAGACAAGCGGCCATTGTCACTCTTTACAAATTGCTCGAGTACTTCGATACAACTAGATCCATAATAATGTCATGATATACCAATCACTGCTGTTTCTACAATGAGATCTTTGGTGGGACCGCTTGGGACTTGTTCCGATTCTCTATCCTTAGAGAGCGAGATGTGCTGCCATGTCACTCGTCATTGGGATTCTATTTTTCTGATCGGAAGTTCTGTTGATGTCTATAGCAGGTGTATTGAGAATTGTTGTCAGATTATTTGACACACAGCGAGTTTGCATTGTGAAATTTAGTGTTGAAAAGCCACGCTCTGCCCCGGCAAGATACGACGTCTACACATGCAATGCTGTCTTACCACGCCCTGTTTTTATTCCATATCATCCGCAGCATGGCATGTATGTCGAGGCACAGAGCGCATCAACCTACCGTCTTGCATCTTAGCCCAACCCAGGCTCATAAGCCCCAGGAGCCTACGATCGAGTAGATAACGGCGCGCCAGGTCGACCCACCCTCACGGCACCTCCGCAGGCCGGATCTTGGGCCTATCCCCAATCATCTCAGGCACCCACCGCTCGCCAACAACCCCATCCTCATTGTCCCCGCCCCCCTCAAACCGTCGGTCCTGGTCAGCCCCCGCAACAACAGTGCTCCCGCCGCGCACATACAGGATAGCAGACCCCTCAGCCCCGGGGCCGAGGTCGACGAGCTCCTCGTCGTCGGGGATGAAGCACTCGTACTCGAGTAGTAGCGCATAGCTGCGTAGCCGGCGGCCCGGCAGCAGGTCCCAGGCGCCCGTCTCGGCGCCGAAGGTGGCCGCGGCGGGGTCGTCGACCGCGCCGTGGGTCAGGAGCAGGTCGTATAGCAGACCCATGGTCAGGAAGCCGCCGCCGCCACCACCACTGCCTACAGAGGAGGAAGAGCGGGACGGGGGGAGGTCGACGAGCAGGTGCTCCACGTGGTCGCGCCCCTCCTCGTTGAGGCCCTCGGACGAGTAGCTCTTGACGAGCTCGAGGCGCGTGATGGGCGGGCCGCGGGCGAGGGTGACGCTGGTGCGGCGCCAGCTCGCGCCGGGGCCGAGGTAGGCCTCTCGTAGCTGCCGCCGCTGGTGAGGGGGGACGCTGCTGCTTCTGCTGCTGCTGCTGTCTCCGCCCCCTGTGGCCCAGGGCAGCCGCCGGAAGGGCTTGGCCACGTCCCCGTTGAGCGAGAGGAACCACTGCGAGCGCGTGCGCTCCTCGGGCGTGAAGCAGGCGGCTGAGCTGAAGAGCGGGGCGAAGGCGTGCGCCAGGACGGGGTTCAGTGAGGTCTTCTGTAGCGTGGCAGGGGTGGACAGCGCCAGGTGGTGGCTCCTCTGTTTGCTGCCGTCTTCGTCCTCCGTGGGCTGTGGCAGGCCATGGGGATGAGACTGGATTTCCTGGACGAGCAGGTGCAAGCTCCTGCAGGTTGCCTATATGTTTTGAGGAGACTGGGTCAGTCCAGATCCATGGTCTCCCCCCCCCCCAACCCCCAAAGCTCGCTGCTAGACGTAGGGCGTGAGGCGAGGCATTCCACCAGGTCTTATGGGGTGATATTTCCTCAGTTCTTTTACATTAAGGAAACAAGAGGGGGGGGGGGGGGAGCGGGGAAAACCAGCAGAGCAAAAGAAGTGGCACAAGTCGGTGGTGGCGTGACTTGGGTGACTTGCCTGTGAGACGAGGAAGCTCCGCAGATCGATGCTGGCCAGGTGCTGGAGTATCAGGATTCGTGTTTCTGTTGGAAGATCTTCAAAGGTGGTCATGTCGAGAGACTAGGCATGGGCCGATGAGCTCCAGGGTTCCTGACAAGGCTGTGGCAAATGCACCCCTTCCATCGGGACAGGGGAGATTGGGATGCTAGAGGCAGGGTGCATCAGAACGGCCACCTCGGGAATGCAGATGGCGTTCATGGGCCTTGGGAGGGTTAGGGTTAGAGCAGGCCCTGCTGCTGTGGCCTTGGAAGGTACTTGAGTACCTAGTTACCTACAGTGACCCTCAAAAAGTCTGGCCCACACACCCCATTTTACACTAAAACTTATAACTTTTAATAATTACTTATTAATTTATTATTAATTAAAGAATTTTTTAAGTATTTATATAAATTCTATTTTAATTACTATTACTTATATTATAAGTATTAAATTATTAATATAAATTTTATTTTATAATAAAATATTAAAATAAAAGAAAATTTAAAAATTATAAAATATAACTTATTAAAGGATGAAGGTTTTAAAGCTTAAGTTAAAAATCTTTAAATTATATAAATAAAGAAACTTAAATATCTTTTTTATAAATAAATTTAAATTATATAAATAATCTATAATATTTATAATATAATTATATATAATATATTAAAAATTAAGAATTCTAGTAAATTCTATAAAGGTATAATAGTAGATTAGAAATAGTAAGTTTTAGTGTAAAATAGGGTGTGTGGGCCAGACTTTTTGAGGGTCACTGTAGGCAGTTAAGTCAGGCCATAGTCCCTTACTGGGTTGACCTGCAGAGTACCTATTAATCACCTGATGTGAGTAGACTGGTAGACACAAATGTACATAGTGTCCCAGTACGAGCTAGTAGAGTACGTCACCGCCAAACCGGTAACACCCTACAACCGGTAACACTCTCAATCACAACCATTAAACTTTAAATAAGGCTTATATACTTAATTTATATATTATAAACTTAATTTAAAAATTAATCTAATTCTTAAATTTATCTTAATAATATATTTATATAGTATTACTAATTTCCTTTACTTTTACCTATTAATTATATATAGATTAGCACTTTAATAAATTTATATATATATTATTAAGCTCTTTATATATATTAATAAATATTTAATTTAAATCTTTTTAAATATATTAATATTTATAAAGCTTAAGTTTTTAATTAATATATTTAAATAAGTATTCTCTTCTTTTAAAGTAGTAATTTTATTAAAAGGAGTTTAATATTTTACTTACTTTATATATTATAGTTTAAACTCCTTTTAAACTTAATTAATACTTTTAATTAATTAATTTATTATTATAATTAAGTTTACTATTTTTAAAGTTTAAATTTATATATTAATATATATTTTAAAGTATAATTATAATATTATTAGTTTTTCTTTAATTTATAAGTTTTTTTATATTATTAAATAATTAAAGGTAATAAAGGACTTTTAAGGATTATATAAAATTATTTTAATAGTTAAGAAACTATTTAAAATATTTCTTTATAAAAGGTTTTATTAGAAATTTATTTATAGTAGTTAATTATAAGTTATTTATTAATAAATATTATATTAAATATAAATAAAACTTTAATATATTCTTTATAAAAATATCTTTAATAATAAAAAGGGTCTTTATTATAAGGTTATAAGAGGTATAATATATAAAAGGGTAAGTAGAAAAGAAAACTTAATAATATTAAACTTTAACTATTATTAAAGTTAATATATAAATTAAAAACTTATTTAATATTAATAGATATTATTTAGACTTTTAATAGATATAATTTTATATAAATAGACTTTAATAAACTATTTATAAAAGATTAAGGTTATAAATTATTTATTAGTACTTTTAATATATTATTAATTAGATATTTCTTAAGAAATTATTAATTCTAAAGGTTCTTATTTTTAAGGATTATTATAAAGGTTAGCTACTATTTATTATTAATAATAACTTTAATATATATAAATTAGTTATTAAAAGTAATATTAGAGAGGTTGTTATAAAGGATTTAACTATTTTAAGTATTTAATAGTATTAAATCTTTTATTTAAATATATTAATTTTATTAATATTAATAATATTATAAATCTTAACTTTTTAATTATTATTATATAATTTAAAAACTTAAAAACTTCTTAATATAGTTTTTATATTATTAGTAGTTCTTTTAATTTTAAAAAGTATATTAATCTTTATCTATATATATAGGTATTATTAAAGAAAGTAATTAATTTAATTATATTTAATTATTTTATTACTATTTATAAATTAATAAAGGTTATTAATAAATATCTTAACTTAACTCTTTATTAAAGAATAATTAATAAGTTTTTATAGAGAATTTAATATATAATTAATAATTTTAACTTTATTAATAACTTTTATTTACCCTTATAAACTTTATAGTGTGTTTAGGTGTTATAGAATTAATTATATAGTATATTTTAGTTAATTTTATACTTTTTAGTAGCTATATTTAATGACTTTTTTTTATTGTAGATTTTATATAAAGTAATATAAATATATTATTCTTTAACTTTAAATAAATCTATTATATTTAATTTGGTAATGTGAAAAAATTCTTTTATAAAGTTATAATAGTTTAAAGTTAGGGGGAGGAAAAGGGAATAGAGGGTAATATTATTACTGGTTGCAAGGTGTTACTAGCTTGGTGGTGATGTACTCTATAGCTTTGCATGTACAGTAAGTACATCCTACATGTGACATCCGTGTTGACATCATCACACCTTGAGGAAGCTTTCCACAGGGCTGTCAGGCCAGGGCCGGACGTCATACTACGACTGCGTCATGCGTTCAGGGTCCATGGTTCGCGCCCGGCCTTTCCTTCACGGCCCTCCAACCTGTTTCTTTGATCTTGCAAGATATTCTTCTCCCTTTATTAGTGATCTGTCCGCTGCTCTTCCTTCAAAACCTCTCTTGTGCTAGCTTCTCAACTAGAGTGGTCAGGGACGACAGCCTCATGGGCCGTGTCGGCATTCATTCACTGTGTTATTTATCCCTGCCATGATCGTCTCAATCCAGCACAGCACTCCCAAGCCCCCCCACCTCCTGGAGGGAGTACCCCGTTCTTTGTGAGCCTTGGTCCCGGACCCGAGATCGTCGGCCGAGTCGGACCAGAGGTCCCCAGCCTTGGAACACCTGCCAAGGTCTGTGGAGGCCTATTTGAGGGCCAGTCAGGGTCACAATGCAGACATTGGAAGTCCAAAAGAGAAAGGACAACGGCACAGTTGATCAAGTGGATCAGGTGGTCAGTCCTATTAACTATGTGGGTAGCCTTGAAATGACTACCTGCAAGACCTCCAATCCTCCTTTGCACACAGTGGCAACTTCAAGTTGTGGGCAAGAGTTCCGCACAGCCATCCTTGTGCACTGCTCCCAATGCCACAGAACTCCATTGAGTTACCTCCTCAGGTTCTAAAAAACCAGGGTATATGTTGTGCTTGCAATCACTGACCCTTAATGCATCCGATGGCCCAACTCCCAAGAAAAGACAAGAAACCTCTGCACTACTTCTCTTCATCATGTCCCAGCCCGCTCACAGCTGCCTCCAGCCGAACCAAGTTGCACCTCCTGAGGTTCTGGTCCGCACCAATGCTCTTCCTCTCCTCATTATCGCATTGCAAACGTTCAATGATGCCAAGCTCTCGTCTTGGGGGTATCGTATCCATGCTATCGCTTAGGCGCCTCGTATACGTTGTTGTGTTGCATGTTTCGAAACCCACAAGTTATTCGTCTTCCAAAAGCATGACAAAAAAAAAAGCCCCCACCTCCCCGTTGCCCTATTCCGTCGTTGCTTTCGTGTTCGTCTTGATATTGCACGGGACAGTCGCCATTATGTTGGCCTCTCCTCCCCCCCCCCCAAATCAAGGCTCCAGTTTCCGTTATTCAAGGCGTCTGACCTCCAGTGCTGCCCTCGCCTCGCCCTCCTGTCGATTTTGCATTCCTTTTCGTTGTTGTCTGTCCAGCGACCGGGGCGGCGGGTAACGACGACGGGGCTGTCGCAGCAAGGGGCAGCACACGAGGAGGCGAGGCCGTTGAGAGCACCGCGCGTGAGGAACCATCAATCCCACCGGCCCCACCGAGTGACGGCCCAGAGGGTATTGCTGTTCCCGGCGGTTGACGCAAGACTCCACCGGCGAAAGCAGTCGTCGTCGTCGCCGCCGCGGCGGCGGCACCCACTGCGGCCCCGACGGTGCTGGCGCCGCTGCCGACCAGGCGCGCCGAGTTGGTCAGGTACTGCTCGATGAGCTCGTCGCCGCAGTTGCCGTGCGCCAGCACCTCGGTCTTGAGGTCCAGGACCTCGTCGTGCAGGGACCGCGCCGTCCGCGTCAGGCGCTCGTGCTCGCTGCCCAGGGCCCGCTCCACCGCCTCGAGCTCCGCCTCCGCCCTCTTGCTCTTTGCGCGGCTCCGGTTGGCCGCCTGGCGGTTGCGCGCCCGCGGGTCGGGGGGCTGGTCCGCGGTCGTCGTTGGTGCACCTGGCTGGGGCTGAGGCGAGGGGCCGGCGGCGTTGCTCGTCTGCGGGGTTGTTGTTGTTTTTGTTGTTGTCATTGGCGCCGTCGTTGTCTTCTTGGTCCTCTCGGCCAGGCCGGGGCTGTTGTTGTTATTACTGCCGATGCTACTGCCCTTCCTGCTGTGGATGCTATTGTTGTCGTCTCCCGTGGCTGCCGCGGGGATTGGGGCTGGAGCGATCGCGACATGTGGGGTGGAGAACCCTGGGGAGGAGTTGTTTCGGCTGCTTCTCAAATTCTCAGTATTGTCCCATGCCGTCGCCTGGGGCCCGACCGTCTGCCTCCTCTTCTTGCTGGGCTCATCCCCGACCCGTGGCTCAAGCTGCATGCCCGGGTGCCTGGCCAGGGCAGCGTCCTTGCCGGCGAGATGTGTTTGATTGTTCAGCCCGGCGGCGGCCTTCCTCGGAGAACCCGGGCTCTTGCTGCTGGCCGGAGTCGAGGTGTCGGGCAGGCTGAGGCTGGAGGACATGGCGGGGCCCCTCGAGGTCGACGTCGACGGCAGGCTCTCGTCCATCGACCATGTCGTGCTTAACTGGGGCTCAAAGCCGGTCATCCCGGGCAGGAACGGGGCCAGGGGGTCGTTGTACGGCGGCAGGGAGGCCGGAGATGCCATCAAGTTGTCCATGTTGGCCGAGGAAAGCTGCTGCGGTGCGGCCGCCCAGTGGTATTCCGGTTGGCCCTGGTGGAACCCGGGGCCCCCGCCACCGCCATTCCCCGAGGCCGCTGGAGGGCCAAAGCGGGCATCCAACAGCACCGGGTCGATCGGTATGGCGCCGTGAGCGTCGAATGCGAGCTGATCATCTAGGGCCGGAGGATAGAAGGGCGAGAGGTGGGGCTGCTCGGGCGGCTGTGCCTGCAACACCGCTGAGTCCGGAATTGCGGTGTGATGGGTGTGATAGTGGATGGTGTCAGCTAGCTGCTGCTGCTGCAGCAGCAGCTGTGATCCATGACTCTCTTTTTCAACGGCCTGCTCATAGTATTGAGTGTTGTCGTCCTCCTGCGGTCGCCGCCGCTGCTGCTGCTCGGACCCTATTGCACGAGCGCCCGTGCTATCCAAGTCCTGCGGGGTGTTGAGCGTGTCGGGAGGCATCGGCATCTCCGCAGGATTGTTGCTTGGGTCCTCCTTATTGAGGGGGATATCGGCGATTGGGACTGGTGGAGGGTGTGGGAGCCTTGCGCGCGGGCGGTACGCGTAGGTACAATCGGAATCGACACTGCCTGACAGATGACAGGCATGCCTTTGCAAACAAAGTTTCGCTTAGCCGTTGGGTAGTGGTTTTGTTTCGGGCGAGTGCTCGTTGGCCGGCTCTTAGGCTCGTGTGGGGGATCCCCTGGCGTTGTCTGCAAATGTTCTCACGGGCCTTGACGGATCTTCTCTTACGTTATCGGCCGTGGACGATATGAGTGGCTTGGCGGAGACTGGAATATGACAACGTAAGTATGATGTGTGTCACCCACTGATGGTGTGAGTGTGAACTGCGCGGTGTGGAGGAGGTTATGGATGGGTTCAGGGATGTTCAGACAACGACAGGATGCGACTGTGGCTGCGGCATGGTTGGTGTGTGAGTGTGTCTTACTCGAGCCTGCTTCCAAACTCAAGTATGGAGGAGGCAGGCAAGAAAGAACGCGAGCGGTCCAACTGCAAGGGGTGTCGGATATACTCTCCAGGTAGGCACAGCAGCCTTTGGCAAAACTTGAAATCGGGATCATCCACCTTGATTTTCCAGAACTGGGAACGCCAACAGTGCCAAGCTCGTCACACTCGGCGGGCCGCTGTGGGATATTGGGTGATCATATGTAGGTGTAATACTGGAGGCAATGTAGGTGTCGGGGGCCGGGGGCCGGACCGACAGAGGGCTGTCGTACTGATGTTAGCGAATGCCATCCCTCTGCTTCACCTCAGTGCTGCTCAGTATTTCTGCAGGGACTAAAACATAATTCTCTTTTCTCGACAAGGACCCCATTCTGCGGTCAAGTCACCACCCAAATGACCATTAAATAACGTGTTCATCGATTGAGAAACGGTTGATTTCTTGGCTTTATTCTCTTGTTTGTTTTCGTATTCTTTCTCTTTTGGTTCTCGTGTCGTCTTCCACGTATGAAACCCGATTAGGTCAGGACACCCACTGTTCTGAAGATAACATTCAACTGGAATATCCGCCGGAGATCAGTGTCTACCACCTGGGCAGGACTCAAAGAATACACTGGCCAGTGTCGCAGCGGTCGCCACGCCTTTGGGCCTCCATCCAGGGGTAAAAGGCCGGCCGGCCCCTAAAACTTTTCCAGGGTCTCCGATGGGGGGACCTGTCAAGGCTGGGCTCTGCTGTAGCGCTGGGCTGATCCCAGGCTTGTTACATTTCCCGGCGTGCCTGGGAGAGGTTGAAGTTTGTGGGGCAGACCCGCCTGAGTGTTTCTGGCGTACTGTGTAATGGGTAGATGAATTGCTGTAGCCACGCCGTGTAAAACATAATTTGTTCTAGACGGAGCAACGCAGCATGATGAATCGCTACTGGGTTCGAAAATGTGTGCGCCTCAAATGGTCGTCAACTGGTTACGGTACAGGACAATCTCAATACCAGACACATAACAAAGTCGAACTGCTCACTTCGCGTTCCCGGATAACATGCACAGGGGTCTTTGACCGTTCACTGTGTGCGAGGACTGTACGTCTTCGGGACATACAAGGATCAAGAACGAAACCATTTCACAAGCACAACTTGAAGTAACCCCGTACCCAGGTACCTTTGCGGCAATATGACCACAAGAGAGAGACTACATGTCTGGCCAATGGCTGCCCATGGCCGCCCGGCGCTCTTGCCGGAAAACCTGGTTGGAGCGGAGCAATGTGAGGACGTGATAGGCCAATGCGAGGGATCCATGGGTGCCCAACTGAAAGGGTCTGAGATTCAAACTCCAGTGGGCCTTTCTCCGCGGTTGCTATGATGCGATCGGTGGAAAGTAGATGTAGATTTGAGTAAACGATCTCGATGACCAAGATGCCACCCAAAGAAAAAAAAAACGAGTCGGGTTGCCAGGCGGGAATAAGAAAAACTCTATGTAAATCCCACCAACCTTCTTGCGACGACACACAGCTGGAACCGTGAATCCCAGGATCAAGCTCCCAGCATCCCCAAACCGTCCGACCCGGCTGGCAGAAGGAAAAGAAGGCCCCCACACTGCATCTGACAGGTTTTGCTCGCGGCCCGATAGGAAAACCTCCCCAGTCGCCCAGCCCTGCCCCAATACACGCACCATATAATGCATCGATATCGGTGTTCCCATCTGCGATTTCCTGTCCCGGCTAGGCACCCTGGCAGACGGCGAAAAAAACCGACCTTAACCCACATAGCCGAAATAGGCTATACACTACTTTATATTATAATTTATATAATATTCTATATATAAAAAAAACGTTTAATAATTAATTCTTTAGCCACTTATATTTTTAAAGTCTAGCTATTATTTAAATATATTCTTATATACACTCTAAATTACCTCTAAATATATATACTTAAATCTCTCTTCTACTAGTAATTATAGGTTCTATAGTGTATAGTAAGGATACCTATATATATATACTTTAACCTTCACTATAATATAATAATCCTTAATAGAGTTAATCTTTAAGTAGTAATAGGTGTTAATTACTTATTTAATACCTTTATTAGCCTTTTATTTAAGGACTTCTATAGAGGTATAGTTATTATTATTATCTTCTTATAGGATAATATTCTATAACTTATAATACTTTTATAATAATTTTAAATATTATTTAGAATTTAATTATATATATTTATATATATATTAATATCTATCTTATTATTATTATTATTAAAGATATTATTTTAATATATCTTCTTAAAAGACTAATTAATAACTATTATATAGTATATATTATTAATTATTATAAGTAATTATTTAATAAAGTATTTATTTTTCTTCTTTAATAACTTATTATATATAGTCTTTTAAGTATATATTATATATTTAAAATTATAGGTATTTAAGTTTTAAGTATTTAGTTTTACTTAAAAGGTAAGTTCTTTATAATTTATAGTGCCTTATAGTAGTAAGGTTTCCTTTAAATATATCCTTATAACTTTAAGTAAAAGTTAAAGTACTACTTATCTATATAGTATATAAGGAGTCACTAGTAAAAGAACCACTACTATTTATATATATACTCTTATATAACCTACTTATAACGATATTATTAGTTATACTTAGAGTTATTATACTTTATAATCTTTATATAGGTGTATTAATTATAAATTTATATTTTCTTTTATAATATATTTAAATTAATTTAAAGATTTAAACTAATATTAATTAAGTTTTTTTCTATTAACTATTAAGTTACTTTCTATATTACTTAAGGATTCTTTTTACTAAGGTCTTTAAGGTAGGTATTAAAGGCTTTAACTTTAAAGTCTTATAGTTTATATAAGTACCTATAGTAGTCCTAAAAGTAAAGGTTATAAATAAGTGTATAGAAGTTTAAGTTACTTTTAACTATATAAATGTTAAAGAAAATAACCTTAAGGCTATTATTATTAAGTTTATATATAATTATATACTTACTTTAAGTCTAATTAACCTTAAAATACTTAAAGATTTATTCTTATATAACTTAACCCTTTTATTAACTTAGAAGGTTATACTTTAAAAAGAATTAATAGACTCCTTAAACTTTAATATATTTAGAAGTGTTATAATAGGACTAGCCTATAGATCACCCTATTATAAGTAAAATATTAAAAAAGTAGTATTATTTAATAGAGTGTTTAATTTTAAGTAGATTAATTAAAAAAAATATACTATATATTATATAGTTATTAAATAAATAAGGAGTGAAGTTTACTTATTTTAGTTGATTGAGGTGGTGGTTGTGGGGAAAAAGGGGTTAAGGTCGGTTTTTTTCGCCGTCTACCAGGCACCGTGCCCATCCGCCACGGACGGGTACCGCACAAAGATCGACAGGTCTTGAGCCGAGGGACGATCCAGTACGTCAGTTTTCCTCACACCTGAACATGGCAGTCGGCAGTTGGCAGCAGCGCTGGCCTCGCAGGAACAGGAGTGTACAGTACATCGCTTGAATAGCGTTGGCCCTACGCTCAAAGCTCCCCGTCGCCGCCCGCAGCAGGAAAAGTGTCTGTCTGTGTGTATGGGACGCGACGCGCTTGGGGTATTCAACATCCACCCCCGGCTCGCCCTGGCGCTAGGAAGCAACGCATGTAGACCACGTCTTTCTCTTGTCACTCTACATACATCCTTTGCACCCATAAATACAGAATGGGCTGTCTGATCTGACAGTCTGGCTGTTAAAACGCAGCATCGCTCTCTCGAAGGGTCTTTCCTTTCAAAGTAAGTGCAACGTCTGATTTGTCCCCAACTTTGAGATTGGAATCTCGAAAGTTCATCTTCGGTAGATCATTGTGTCGTCAGTCAAAATGCGGGATGTGCTCAGGGGTGATACAGAACCCTGCACGAGGGCGTTGGTCCCCAATGGGTAATTGTTGATAAGTCTCTCCGCTCTGATGAGTGGTCCGGCCCTGGTTTGTGCATATTCCATCCCCCACCCGGGCCACCCCCATTCACCTGCCCCCCGATGCAAGGCCTATCTCTGGATGATGAGAAATACAGCAAGACTACCAAGATCATGCTACATGCCCTAGTTCGGAAGTTTGCTTCGACTGTCAGTTCCGTGGGCTTGGGTGCGGGCGCGGGCGGGAGGTCCAAATACTTACCTAGGTACGTGTCAACATCCGAACTGGTTCTTCCTCGCCCGTCTCCCCGCAACGCGCTTCCTAGTTCACCTTGATTTCCATGCCTTTTGATCACCATCTGTCCCTATCATCTGGCACGTCGCTGCCTCGAAGGGCCTGCAGTGACTCTTTGATCACGACACCACGATTAGGACATGCCGCATTCGATGTGGTGGTGACATTGATGTCATGGCGTCCTTCCCCCTTGCTGCATGAAGATTAGCTGTCTCCAGACGTGATGGCTGTCCCAAACCCCTGGTACCACAGATAGCTGTGGGTTTTGGCTTCATAGTTGGGTACGTTTGGCCCTGGAAGCCACTTGTCCACTTCCACGGTGCTCCATATGAGACCATCAGGACTTGAGGTCCACCACATCGCCTCCACCCAAGTACGTATCTCTAGCACCAACCAGTGGGTTTGACTGTATGAATAAGAATCGTTCGTTGAGGTATCTATCCAGAGGGTCTAGCGAAGGGGCTTATCTTGGTCGTCGTTGTCTGGCTGGCACACATCCCCTCCATGGCTGACACTATCGTGGGATCTATCTTCAGCTCGCGTCGGGGCATGTCCCTGGTGGTTCCCGGTCACGTGAGAAATACACACGCATAAACACAGACTTCTCCCTCGGTGCCTGGACTTAGGCCACAGGCTCGGAAAACGGCACCCTTATGGCTTATCAACCATCTGTGCTAAGCTGTCTTCATATCTCCCCCGTACTCTTGTTTCAGTACCCATATCATAGCATTGGCGTCTTCGTGAACCACGACCCGTGGACTCCTTACGTCCCTTGCGTGGTGGGCAAATGGGTTTGCAACGATCAGGTTCGGCAGTCTCTAGTCATATCGCCAGGAGCAATGCCTCACAGCCTTGTCTGTGCGGCACGAGGCTGAGGCCACATGCCTACATATTGTATTCTCTCTGTACTATTTATCAGCATTATATATACATTTCACACTGGGTCTTGAGTGTTTAACACCGTATGAAGGCGCCATGTATGTCCTTGGATGTATGCAGAATGGAAGTGAAAACAGATAAGATAGCCTTTTATAGGATAACCCCCTATATGAAAGCCTTCTACAAGATAACCTCCTATGGGATAATATCTTGAAAAATAAGGCCCTACAACCTGACCTCCTGTATGAGGACCTCTAATAAGATATATAGTTCGGGTGTATCGTTTACTTTTGCGGCTGCGAGTCCCTGATCTCCGACAATGGGGTTGGGTTAGGCACTGCCTGGTAACAAAGAACTCCCTGCCAAAGACTAGAATTTCCAATCAAGAGACTAGAGCTTCCCAAAGGTCTATGAGCTTGTACAATTGTAGTTATATTAGTACATAGATATGGCAGCAATTGCGGTGGCACTGCAACATGTTATAGGTTTATTCGACTTTTTGGTATCCTCGGCTGTCTGGCTGGACGGGCTGGTTTCTACTGCACGTCTTCGGTGGCCTTGATCACCTGTACAGCAGTCAACAGTAGAGGCAGGCGCCTAAGGGAGGCAATCCGACTACAGCCTTCTGAATACCGACACTGGGGGCCACTGGGTCTATTACCGACTTCATGACGGCGTACCATTCCTTGTTTAGGCTTGCCAACATTCAGCCAGATCAAACAGCACTTGTCCGCGCCGGGGCAGGAGGTATCCGGCAGGCTGTTCTTCGGGTTGCCCGGTCGTGTGGTGCCACGTGATAGAGAAGTGCTTCATCTATCTCCCGGGTTAGATGCCTTGGGATCTTCGTTCTAGGCAGCCACTAATAATGTCTTTTGGAAGCCAGTGCACCAATTGAATCTCTGCTCCGAACGAAGTTAGCACTTCAAATAAGCGCCGGGAAAGGTGCCGTTAGTAGACATCTGTCCGGGCAAGATCTGTGGTCAAGAGCTCATCCGCACCTAAGTGGTGTGTGTAAACAAAGACTCGTCGGAAGCCTAGTGAACGGTTAGCTTTGATACCAACACTTGTCGACCTACCCACAAGCTTCATGTGTTTAGTTCAAGACTAGAAGAGCGGACAAGCCGGAGCACGTGCGGAGGTCCGAGGATCGATCATCTTGCCAGTCAGATGATCCCGCGCGGCGCTGGGATCGCGGATCTCTTAGCTTATTGATATGGAAAGGACAAAGCAAACCGTTACGGCCAGGCCGGTCCGGAATGATCCATTCCGGCTTCGATTATGTCATGTGGTCGCCAGAGAACTACGACATTAGATCCTCGTACTAGCCTCGGGAGGATAGTATACAGAATGCTCTAGAGCCCATCTAGAGCGACAGAATAGCGTCGGATATGATTTGGTGCACAGTAACACTGGGTAGGACTCAAAGATACCAGAAGTCGCGTGACACAGACCTCGATACGATGGTTATGCCCCTGTATGTCTCTCAGGCACTCATTTCTACAAATACGGTCAGATTCTCTCAGGCTGTCATATTTCCTTTACCACATCTCTTCAGCAACTTTCCAAACATTCCTTCTACACTCAAAACACTCTCTTTACAATAAAAGGACTCTCATTACATTCAAACCACCATCTTTATATTCAAACCGCTATCTTTATATCCAAATCACTCTCTTTTTATTCAAGCCACTATCTTTCAAGCACTCAAATAAGAAGTTGGCTCCATCACTCCAGGTTCTTACCAGCAACGATATGTATTCCATTCTTGCGCTAGCTTGTCTCCTTTCCAGCGCGGCTGCGAAGCCAACCGTACATCAAAATGATGCCGTCTCACCTGTGCAGGCGAGGGACGCAACCTGCGCCATCAACGGGTACGACAAAGGCACACCCGCGTCCTTCTTCACCAGCAACACCCCCGCCGATGTGACCTCGAGCGGCTGCGCGGCTCTCTGCGCAACCAAACAGGGCTGCGTCTCATTCGCGTACGGTGGAGGAAGCTGCCTGCTGTACGCCGCCGCTGTCGCCGGCAACATCAACGCCAGCCCGGGCAGTGCCTATGTGTTCAATGATCTGGCCTGTGTCAGCGGCGCTGCCACGACAGACTCGCCCTCTTCAAACAGTAATGCCCCGCCGTCAGGCGCTGCTCAGCTCCCTGGAGCCACCTGGACTACCACGGTGACGCAGACACCCTCTTGTGCGCAGGTCACTGCCACTACCACTACCACCACGACTACCACCATCCCTGCCAGTACCGTGACACAGACTCTCCCTGCTGGCACGGTCACAGAGACTCTACCAGCCGTCACGAAGTCAGTTACGGTAACACAGACCGTGCCGGCCGTCACGGCGACATCGACATTGACGCTCCCGGCTGTCACCAAGTCGGCCACCCTGACGCTCCCCGCTGTCACTTCCACCAAGACTGTCACTGCGACGATTACTGTTAAGTGTCTCGCATTCGGAATCCTTTGCACTACATCTACTTCCTAATGGCCCTGCGGATCGTTTCTTGTATGGTATATACGTCTGATTACACGTTGACTTGGTGGCACAAATTGAGAACCCTTTTAAATGTATATAGTTTAAAATAATACTACTAGTTAGTGCGTCGGAGAGCAGTGTTATACTGCTTTTATGGCTGTCCGCTAATAGAACTGTCGCCTCGCATCTTAGGTTTCCAGAACCGGCACCTGTTGAACAAGAATCACGGCATACCAGAAACGCATATCTTCAACCAGTAGCGATTTAGAAATCGTTGGTGATGTCAGGCGTCCCACAAACGGAAAAGGGGTTGATGGGGTGGCTAACTCGCTATTCATAATATTCCCATCACACCGTACATGAGGTTTATTCAGGTTAAAAAGGGATATCTTCTCACACAATGATCTTCTGATTTATCACTGTAGATAAAAGTTGACTTCCAGCGCCATGGATACATGGGCCATGATACAAGATTAACCGGAAGTTATTAGCAAGATCCTGGATACCTATAGACCCTTGCAACAATGTTTGACACCGGTAGGTTGCGCGTCTTCACACCAAACAGAGTCTTTTAAGGTCTGAGAGGTCGAATGAACATTCATGCACCTGCACAGTGGTCATAATGCGGGAACGGCGGTTGTCGAGTTTGACCCTGAAACGATGATTCTAGCGAGTGAAAGGAGAAAGCTACTTAAGTACTAAAGCAATCAAGCTCTGTGCCCCGGTCTCGTCTTGCAGTGGCTTCCTTACTGCCACTCCTATGATAGCCGTCGTCCTTCACGCATGACCAAGTTCACAATAGATAAAGCCGCTCTCATCAAAAACATCCCGAGGAAGGAGCCGCGGCGCCGTACTGAGTGAGATATAGGGGCGTGGTTCGCGCGCCGCCCAGTTGAGGTGGCACAGGGTTTGACTCCAGCGCCAAGCTCACCAATGGCGTGCCGGCTTACCTGTGTGTGGCTTGCCAGTTGGGATTTCCACAATCTGATAGAGCTCGGGTAGACCACAGAGGCCGAAGGGTGGTGGGCTTGGAACAGCAGGCATATTACAACAGCCGGCCGGGCGCACTGGAAACCTATCAATCTGTCAATCTTCGGTACGAACAACATGATCCCGAATACATCCCAACAAGACCTTGGTGCTCGATGTCGTTGTTGGGGTGCTGAGGACCGCCTGCGTGGCTGGTGCGTAAACAACGTGGGCTAGCTGTTTTCGGGGCGGCATTTTTCTAGAGAGGTGAAATTATTCTTTCGTAAAGAAAGTTCCCATCTCTGAAATCCATGTACCAAGATCTAGGAAAGGAACAACAGGGCCCGGGTCGCTTCCAAGCATGGCTTCCATGAATATTTTTTGCTGCTCAGGGTCCCGCCATGCACTCGGCTTGACCAACGTCAAATTCACATCAAGTGCATTATTACCTCGGGCAGCAAGCAGCAGCCAGCGAGACCAAAGCATGCTCGAGTGTGGTTGTGGGCAAATAGGAAGTGAGTGACGTAGGCCAACACGTGTGTCTCCATCGAGGCAAAACATTTGAGAGCCGGGCGGTTATCCTGGTGTAGCCAAAGATGAGATACCAAAGGAAATTGATTAAGCTGGATGTATGCCTAAGATCAGGAGACTTGGACGGTGCAAGTCCAGTTGGAATCGGAGCAAGAATTGCTGTCACCAGTATTTCCGCTGCATGAATGTCTTGCAACCGGGCCAACTTGTCCATGGCCCTCTCAACCTGGGTCGGGCAACATGAGGTCACACCGCTTCGGCTGTAAAGGGACAGGAATGTGCAGGCAGAAGCACACAGTAACCCAAAATGATCAGAGGGCCAGGCAAACAGACACGGGATAGCTGGTCAGGAGGTCATCGACTCAGAACGAGGCGAAGCCTTATGCAACTGAATAGAAGGGCAAATGCGTTGTTGCTGCTGCTACAGCGGTGCTCACCGATTTTGACAATGGACGACGCCATTGCCGTGGCATCAAAATATGGCAAGAAGATATTGTTGCAGTTCGTACCCCCACGCTGGGACCGGTTTTGACAGGCAGTTTCAAGTCTGAGGGAAGGCTCCTTCCCCTGCCTTCTCCTCCCCAGGTGGTTTCCAAGGACTTCTGGGCTGCATGCAGGTGGTCTCAACACTGCATCACTAGCGTGCTCTCGGCTTGCGTGGAATTCCAACCAAGGTACCTAGGTACCTAGGTACCTAGCTGGTTCCAACAGACCCACTCTTCCCTCCTCCTCCCTCCTCGTCCGTCCACTTCTCAATGGCTCGCCTGCCCTTTGGCCCTTCTTTCTCTAGCTATGGTGGCAGCCCTCGCCGCCATTTTGACTTTTATCCGGTGCCCATTGTCCTCAACACTTCTTCCACTCAATGCCCTGTTCTCGAGCAGACAGAGATACAGCGAAATCACTTACACCATGCCTCGAAGTTTGAGCGACACAGAGCTGCTTACAGCTCCAGCCCACGAGATCCAAGATCTTCTCATCAGTGGACAAACAACAAGCGAGATCATTGTTGGCAACTTCCAGGACCAGATCCAAAAGCACAACCTAGAAGGCCATAAGCTTCGCGCCATTCTCTTCACAGCCCCCAGAGAAGTGGTCTTGGCTCGTGCAAGGCAGCTCGATGATGAACGTGCTGCGGGTCATGTCCGGGGGCCCCTTCATGGCATCCCCATTATCGTCAAAGTCAGCACCAGCTACGTCTCTTGATTCTCTGTTACCCACGGCATGACCTTTGCTGAATCTTACAATATCTAGGATGCATTTGCCACCCATCCCGACTTGGGAATGCCCACGACCGCAGGCTCCTTCGCATTGCTAGGCTCGAAGCCAAGGCAGAATGCGGCAGTTGTTGATCGCGTACGTTGAATTGCATACACTTTCTGTTCCATGTGCCAGAATTAAGCATGATCCCGGTTACTTGATGCTGGTATGGTCGTTCTGGGAAAGACGAGCATGACGGTAAGCAACATGCCCCTTATATAAATGAATCCCACTGACCAGTGGAATAAAACACGACAGGAATTCTCAAATTACAAGTAAGATCAGGAAATCAAAAGTACAACAAGGTACTAATATAACACAGGGACACAGCAGTCTATCCAGGTTGGACTCCCATAGGTGGCCAGACTCAGTCGGCCTATGTGGTGGAGGGTACAAAGAAGGGAGATTGGAAGCTCAGTGACCGTGTGAGTAGGAGGCCCATTTACTCGACCCGCAAGTAGCGAAGCTGATCACAGTACAACGCAGAGCCCAGGTGGGTCATCCACGGGAGTCGCAGTCGGAATATCTGCTGGCTTCAGCCCTTTGGGTATTGGCACTGAGACAGACGGATCCCTGAACACCCCAGCCAGCCGCGCCGCTCTGTTTGCTTTGAAGGTATCGGTTGGCTCATCCTCATCTCAAGGAGTCATATCAATCTCCTCGACGTTTGACAGTCTGGGAGGGATGGGCAAGACCGTCAAGGACGTCGCGCTCTTAACAGATGCTCTCCTCAACAACAACGCCAAGGCAGGCTTCCCTGGCGGCTTGGTTAACTTCCTAACAGACAGCTGGAAAGGGATCAGAGTCGGGGTAGTTGATGCATCTCTGTGGCAACTTCCCCCGAAGCTGCTTGTCTCAGACGAGGAGTACAAAGAGCAAATGGTAATGTGTGATGTTTTATCCTCCGTGTTTCCTCGTATGCTGACCAAATATAGAAATCAGCACTTGACGGTGCTGCCCAAAAGATAAGAGCACAAGGAGCATTCGTTGTCCATCCCCTACATCTGCTTCCAGCGACCGCTCTGAAACTCGACGATGAACCAGCAATGCCCATCGTAATGAGTACGTCTTGCCATCAAGAATTTATTTGCTCATTCAGAGTTCATCTGTGCTGACTCAAACATGCACCAGGATACGAGTTTCGTGAGCTGATGGATGAGTATCTGTCATCTTACCTCGAGGAGAGTCAGGTACGCTCTCTTCGTGAATTGGTAGACTGGAACAAGGCACATGCGACCCAGGAGCTTCCTGAAGGTAACCCTGTGCTTCTACATCAGATATCGAATCTCCATGTCTGACATGTACACAGACTACCCAGGACAGGACCTCTTAGCTTCAGCGCTAGAAGACCAGACACCGCTCGAGAAGGTCTTGCGGGCCCGAGAAGCTGTAAGGCGCATCGCAACAAGCGGGATCAACGAGGCTCTCGATGAACACAATCTTCAAGCCATCATTGCCACCACGGACTCTCCCATATCATCGTTAGCATCCTCAGCCGGTAAGCAGCACAAATTCTTTCCGAAATCGCATTAATCCGTTGCTTGCCCAGTCTGACAGTTCTGCAGGGTATCCAATTGCGACTGTCCCACTTGGTCGCCGCAATTCAAATGGACGTCCATTCGGCGCTGCCATCATGACAAGGGCTGGTGACGAGGGGACACTGATCCAAATCATGAGCGCTTGGGAAGCCACGTTCCCGAAGAGAGAAATACCCACACTTTTCCTGAATGCCAAATCGGAAATCTGATGGAAAAGAATTGTGGCACGAAGTGTGCCATGCCATGAACTAGACACCTGGAGACCTACGAGATGCAATGCAAATGACTCAATGTTTTCCCAAACGAATTTGAATGGTATGAAGACTAGAATAGAAGTACCATGCTGTTCACGGAAAGTAACCACTCGCTACCAGACTTATGTTCGAGTTGGGCAGGGTGGCCTGATCCAACCCGAGTCTCTTACCATTCATTGCCTGGGGCTGACCTAGCATGGGCCAAAAGGCGTGGACCAAGGCTTAGCAGCCTTCGCTGATATTGGTGATGAGTGCACGTACTATGATGCTGAAGAAGAAAATAATGTGAGCGGCGCAAATACGACTGGAGGCGGGGAGGGCACAGATCCTTCCAACACATAATCTGCCGCAATTCAGCACTCCGATGCGATATGATGCACACCGTGTTGGCATCCCATATCACACAGCATTGTACCATTACAGTTACTTCGTGATATAGCATACAGTGCCGCAAATTAAAAAGTAAAGAGAAGTGCTGGGATCTTTATATAGTATAGTAATGTTTTAAAACTCGACATGGGTAAAAGAAAATATAGCTAGTGTAAATCACTGTGACCGTTGACTGCCAGTTACAGCCGGTACTCCAACCATTTTAGCATGCCCTAGGTGTTAGGGTCATCCAGAGCTGCTGGCATTGTTGTCAGCCCCGAAAGTTCGTAGATGACAATAATCCTACATGCTAATGCGGGAATGAGATATCGTGCCACCACCGCTATAGCATCCTGTGTTGAAATAAAGAACCTGCTTGTACACACTAAAGTCCCAAAAACGACATGCAAGATCGTAAAAGTTGAAGTACGCCAGGAGAGAACGGCATGCGGGAGAGCAATAGGTTTCCACAGGATGTTAAGTGCGACTTGAGCTCCACAAGGGGTGACTTCAGTTCTGAATATACCATCCGCTTTCTGCCAAACCCCCGTCGATTCTAGTTGCGATGGTTTTGCTTGGTCTTTGAGGCGCGTTCGAAGTGCGACAGCACCTAGGTTGTGGGCACAAGCCGCTGTATATGTCTACACGTACACTGTGAACATTGAAGGACCATTGAATGTACAGATAGTCCGATTTTCGAGCTCATAGGCCAGTTCGGTGACGTTTACAACAGCTGCGATGGCTATTGTATGTTCCAATGCAGATATAGCGGTGGACTTGCAGTCACGGCCTGGGGCTGCTGGCTGCTGTGAATTCCCACGGTCTTTCGAGCTTCGCAGTAGTATACCAAGCACCGGGTCCCAATGTTCAAAGCTTCGGAGTGGGTTTATACTCGTGCTCCCAACAAGGCGCATGAGGCTGAGCAGAGGTCTTCGCAGGGAGGGGATCGATGCCAGGTGTTTCTGTTCTGCTAGACCCGACTAAACCGAGTATCGTAGGCGCGAGGCCAAGCAAGACGGAGGCCGATTGCATTCCCATCTTGTCCGCTTCAACCATGTTACTGAGGACGCAGTTTGTGACGGTCATCGTTCTGTCGGGGCCGAATCCGGTCTCGGCGCAGGTTCGACGTCAGCTTGGTATTCTTGGTATGGTACCGAGCAGTTGTCCCTCATGATGCGTGTAAGTTTGGCCCGCCATTGCGGAAACCAATATTGGTATTGTGACGGCATTATTTGAGTGATAAAGTGTGTTCGACTTGCAGGGAACGGTATGAGGCTGAGAAGGATAAAGGTTTTATTCCCAATCTAGCCCCAACTGCACTTTTGGCCCCTATTCCAGCTACCCTATCAACCTGCAAACACACTGCTGCATGAGGTTTACTGTGCATTCAACTTTCTGAAGATGAATATTACTATAAGTGGCCAGGAGGCTCAGCTATGATCCATTGGATTTACCGTTCGCTCAATAGGGCTGCGGGTATTGGGCCTGATCGCCGGACATGGGTATGGAAGCCCTGGTCATGAGCTTTCTTAGTGGTGCCCTATTTTTGTGCAACATTACTGATCGGGTTGGGAGAAGCAAAACACGCACAATTTCACCAAGGCTAAGAATTGTTGATAATGGTGTGCGCAACCGATATATCCTAAGAGGCACGCGCCACTGGGCCTAAGTACTGCCTTCCGGTGTAGAGCATGGGTCCCCGGTATTATGGATGCGGAAAGAGAAGAAGAAAAGTGGTGTTCGCGGTTCAAAAGATATACATATAACAAATTAAAACCAGGAGGGACGCAAGGGCGGACCTACAAGCGCATGCTTGGGTATTAGTAGACCTAAGATTTATTTTCATAAATATGACATCACGGTGAGGCTGATGTTGAAGCTTGTGCTTAAATTATCCGAAGCACTGTCTCTGATATACTTTTACATGTCTAGGAATGAAGTCCAAATAGAACATTCCTAGTTTACCTAAGTCACGTCTTGTAAGTAATATGTTGTGAAAGGTGGCCCGAGATTCTCTATGGGATAGTGAAGTAGTACACGTTGACTCCAAGTACGTCGAATGTATTCAGCACAGGACCGAGCATTCTTTTAGTCTCACTCGGACTATTTTGGGACCGCCGCTTGATGTATCAACTCGGCGACCTCCTTGCGATGGTTGACGTAGGCCGCGTGGGCACAGGGAAACTTGTGAATATCAACATGCACGCCCGCGTTTTTCGCGTTGTTCAAACATATGTCCTACAATTTCAATCAGAATGACGACATGTATGTTTTTGGTCCAAAGAACTACGAACCTGGAACGACGGAGGCACCCATAGGTCTTCCGCCGAGTAGACGTACGAGCTCGGGACATCCCTCCACGGCTCATGCGTCGCCTTGCCCAACAGTGCCGTGAAATTATGAGGCCGTATACCTTCAACTTGTTCCTTTTGGTCCTCTGGATCTAGGTCGTGGTACAGGCCGGAAACGGCGTCCGTCGGAAGCCAGGTCCCATCGTCTTTGAACTCGACCAGCGTCCGGCGCTCAGGAGTGTCGCCTCCCGCCTCCACAAGGACGTCCCAGGCGCTTTGATCTTTTGCGAGGAGGTAGGCACTGATATAAAAAAGGTGAGAAATCCCGCCAGGAAGGTTCGCAGCCTGACGATCCTTCTTGGTGAGGTCTTTGGAGGCGCTGGAGCCAACCACGCCACCGTACGAGTGCATGACGAGGACCACTTCGTTGCCGGCTGTCACAAGTGGTTCCACTGCAGAGCGGACGACCTCAACGTCAGCCTCAAAAGTGTTAGGCGCCACGGCGCCATTGTTTGAAGCCAAGGAAGGAGAGTGAACAGTGTAATTATAAGGGGAGCTTTTCAAAATGTCAACAAGCTTGTGGTATGCTGCTGGGGGAGTCCAAGCCCCAGGGACTAGCACAATAACGGGCTTTGAGGGAGACATTTTTGCCAGGTATGCAATGCTTGATTGGGCGTGAGGAAGATGTGGGTGAAGATTCTGGTCTGGTCGAAACAGCCCTGGAGATTTGTGGCAGAGACTGCAGCCTTTTATCATGTGGCAGGGGAACTCCAAGGGACCAACAGGATATGGTGTGCACCAACAGACCAAGGTATCTAACAGATTGCTCAGAGCACTTGAGGGCTGTCGCGAAACAGTTGGGCAGGCTGGGTGACTGTGCGTGCCACTCCGCGCCGCAGCAACGACCTCGGTAAGTTGTCCCTGCCCGGGCTATGTCGCAATCGCAGTTGGGCCCCCAGCTGTGTGACATTTCATTGCGTAAAAATGCACTGTTTAGTGAGTCCACCGGCCTGCGAGAGGGTCAACTGGTTATGGACAACAACATCCTAATGTTAAAAAAATCTTGCAGATAAATTCTTAAATGAGGTATATTTGAAATTGTTAAAAATTATATATTAAATATTAGTTTGATGTATAAATAGGGACTTAAAGCTTAATGTGAAATTTATTATCTAACCTCGATTAACCCTCATCTTAGCTTGTAAGATTCACTGGCTTTAGGTTAAGCGTGAGCTGTCTTACCCACCTGTGCGAGTAAGTGGGGACCTAGTCAGGTGGAGGACCCGCCCAGGATTCAAGTACCTCACCATGCTCCAGACCCGCCGAGCCAGGTGAATTGAAGCCCGCCGAGCGAATGAAAAGTTGGAACTGAAACACAGGGTGCCAACATCTGCATTGTAACGTCGAGTCCTTCGCAATCGGGAAATCCCGCCTCGCTTCTCCTCGAAGGGGCCTAGGGGTGACATAAGAGCTCAGTTATACTGTGTCAACCCCACGACGCATGGTGTGATTTACAAGGGGCACTTGCAATGGGCTTGGGTCTTGCGCGTACTAGAGAAGGACCTTCTGCAAGGGAAACACGTGCGAATACGAAGTACCTGTTTCTCACGGGAGGTGCATAATAGGTAGTTACTTATTTCTACTGATCCACAACTGCAGGATTTGCCCGGTGGATGGCCTCCCTGGGATGGCACCGAACTATCACAGAAGGATCGCACGGTTTCCACAATTTGAGGTCACCCCGGTTATCTCCACCTCGATCAGATGCGGAGTCCCTTGGTATCTGCAGCACAGTGGTTCCATGATTGCTAGCAGGCTCCGGCTTCCGGGCTTCCGATGTACACCAGGGCCTAAATGTATCGTGACGGACTCTGTCCTCATCTGGCTCTGACAGAGATCATGTTTCTTTTCTCCACGAGTCTTAAATTGTTGAACATTATGTTTCAGAGGCAATTTCTAATAATAAACAGAGTACAAGCCACTAACTTGGGACAAGCTGTAAGTTGGTTCTTGAGTATTACCGCTGTTATTGTCCAAAGCCTTCTAGTTTCCCCCATAGTACTTCTCCGATTCATATCTATTGAAAAAAGTCTTCTCATTAAGCAGTGAGTTGGGGGGACCCAACCAGTGGCTCTCTCAACATGGCAGAAGAAAAGACTATAGATGAGTATTTCCTCTCGAGGGACTTCGTCGATATCAACAGGTAGACCATAACTCTATTCCGACCCAAGTCTTTCTAGATCTGAACCGTCTATTTCAGACTCAATCTTCAGCATTACCTCTATCGTGATATCTTCGGCTACAACCTTCATCCAAACATCCCGATACAAAATACGCCCAATCTATCCGTCGTCGACGTTGGCGCTGGAACCGCGTAAGTCTACCTTCAAGTCTGTTATTCTATGCAATCAATATGGTCTCAGTATGGTGCTTATTGTCCTGGGTGCTTAGAGTTTGGCTTCGAGATCTACACGCGACGCTTGACCCAACCACGCAATACCTTGGCTTGGACATCGACACCCGCCAAGCTGGGCCACCGGAATGGCTTCCCCCAAACTGCACAGTGAGACAGTGGGATGCTACAACAGACATTCCCATTGACCTTCTTGGGCGATTCGATGTTGTGAATTTGCGCCTCTTCGGGCTCGTCATCAAGGAAAGCCCGAAGCCCTTGCTCCGGAAGCTGATCAAATTGCTGAGTGGGGAGACACGTCCGAGACGTAGGACAGGTTTTCAACTAACCTATATCTAGAGCCCGGTGGATACATTCAATGGTGCGAGACAGACCAGCTTTCTCATCGAGTCCAGGCCGCCGATCCATCACTTCCCACCGAGAACTTGACGGAGCTCTGGCGCCAGACAACACTCATAGCGCCGAAGCTCATGGCACCGTGGGTAAAAAGTCTTCCCAAAGACTTTGAGGAAGAAGGGCTTGAGGACGTTGTGGCGGACTGGAAGACGGGCAGCCAACATACCCTGGTGGCAATGCACTGGTGTAACATGCCTCTGTACGAGATGATTGAACACCAACTGCGGGCCACATATGCTGAGAAGGCCGCTCTTTTTAGGCGCCTAATTCAAGCAAGTATTCAGGAATCATCCGCTGGTGCCATGTACGTTTTTGATCGAGTGGTCGTGGTCGGGCGGAAGTCTCATGAGACTCGGACAGGGTAGATTGAGATCGCCAATGGGATCCAAGCAATGATCTACAAATTCTATTTTTAGATTTTCTGGGTGATGAGCTTTATATGAACTCACCCATTAGCTTCAAAACAGCGGCCTCTACAACGTGCTTGTCTCAATTGTTGATTGCTATGCCTAGGAATACCCAGGGGTTCTCTAAAAGAAATTGACGCCGTGGGCCTGAGGGATTAGAATCAAGTCGTGCGCATTCAAGGGGTGGAACTCAGTGACAAAAATACCTTCTAGCTTGTAATACGTCTCATACTTCAGAGGTCATCAAGAGTAGGGTCGCTCATATCGTCCACAGAATGTCTTCCATGATGCCGTTGGTTGGTTCTCTTATATCCCCAAGCCGAGTCGTTTAGGCATAGTGAGTCTAAAGTCCATACACTATCAATAAGATGAGAATGGCTTGCTGTCTATCACCTGCTCCTTAATAACACAGCTCAGCTGTACTTACTCCCCTTTGTCCATCCCCCAAGAACCACTAATTTAAATAAAAGTATTCGTTGACTTTCTCGCTATGACACAAGAAGTTTTTGTAACGCCAGACACCGTCATATCGAGATCCACCGTGCATTTTTTTGACAATGATGCATTCTTATCCATTTACATAAGCAATTAGAACATTTATCATGAAAGGCACCCGCAGCAAACCGCAAAACCTGTAAACTGACTAGCTCATCTAGTCCAGCTATTCACAGAAATCTTTTGTTCGCCATGCCTTTTCAAATCGAGTCCATCCTCATTGATCACAGAATAAGAGCCGTCAGATGGCAGACCAAGGCGGGGTGTACCGCTCTCGCCAACATTCAAGAGGTTGATGTCGTCGTGTTGTTTCTGTGATCGCACTGTTGAGCGCATCTTTTCGGAGAGCACCCGGAACAGCCTTGCAGTGGGCGGCAAGCACGAGCATATTACTCCAATGCCACATTCGATGATTGTCCAGATACCAACGGCGACAATGGTCTCTGCAAGTCCAGGAGTCAGAAGACGTCCGCACTTGTGATGGTAGTGAGCCGTAACAATTATACATACCAGTCTGATTGTTCACGTCCAACTTGCGTAGAGATTCGGTCCTCAAGATACTGCAGATAAGCGTGAAGCCACCCAATATGAATATGAATGAGACTTGCAACTTCTTCCTCAGCGTCATTTGCAGTTTCCATATCATTGGTAATGGCAGAGCCAAGAGGATGAAGTCCATGAGAATGTTGGAAATGGCGACACCATTGTAGAACTTTGTAGTGTCGATGCAGGATTGCCGGACCTCAAAGTCCCAGAAGCTGTGCACAGGATAACATGAAAAGATCTGGAAGAAAAGTACTGTGATCCACCACACCACGAAGATTCCGGTCAAGGTGTAAGCGATGATTTGGAAGGACCGCGACGTAAATATGCGTCGTAGAAGAAGGAGGATAGAGAGCTTGACGGTGATAGTACAGCAGGTGTAGCAGATGTTGTCGGCGTAGAGTATGATGAGGTACTGTTTGAGCTGCTGCGCATCAAATTCCGACTGCGGGTGCCCGGCGGACCCGTAAGGGCTGAGAATGAGATAGTGGCATACGCTGACCGCGATCAAAAACAGGTAGGCCGAAAGAGCGGCCCAGTCATCGATTCCGGTGCTGTCGGTTCGTCTTCGAGCAAGAAACCGCAGTATGATGGCGATGGTAGCGGCTCCCAATAAAATCGTGACTGCAATTATCACTCCTACCGCGCTCGAGGCAACGCCGTGGACAGTCATCTCGTGTGTCAGTGCGCGGTGATTGGGACGGCAATTCAGAGGGTCATGAAGCGGGCCCAAGGGCGAGCAGGTGCTGACGGTAAAAGAACACAGGCGTGGTGGAAGAGCCGAGGGATAATTTTAAGAATGCCATTTTCTAAAAACGACGACCAGGGTCTGTCTAGGAGGGTGATGAGAGGGATGCCAGCAGTCGAAATCAGACGACCGGGGTATTGCTATTGCAAGGGGCAGGTATGGCTGCGTTGCATTCAACCAATGTAGTCAGCGTGTGAGGCAGGAGGATGAGCGGACATTCGGGTAGGATGCAACCTCGTTGTCTCGAAGCGGAACACTCTGTGCCACGATGTGAAATCTGACATAGTTGGCGACCTCGGCATCTTTTGACGAAGCGTGGACGGATGCGAGAATTATTTCCTGACGTGCCCCCACAAGAAGACCATTTGCACCAGCCATCGCACACGGCTCCTTGTGGCGCTGTGTGTGCCGAGGACCTGCAGGGCGGCTCGGCGGTACAATATATTTGGCCCCCAAATAGCGGGTGTTAGAATGGACTTGGTAAGGCACTGATCTTCGTGCATGGACTCGCATTCCTCACTCGAAAATCACGATAATACAGATGTGCTATATTAAGCTAAGATAATCTATATTAATAGTTTTGTTTAAAGTAATTTAGATTTTATTATCTTTTATATATAAAGTATGTTAAATTATTTAAAGTACTATATTTTAATAAAATATATAAAAGAGTTATTTCTATTTTCTAATATATATATATAAACTTTTTTTTAAAATATTATATTAAAGGATTTATAATTATATTTTTATACTTAATTTTTATTTAATTAAATTATTTTATTATAATTTATTTTATTTAATTTAAACGTTTTTAAATACTTTTTAAATATAAATTATAAATTAAAATATTTAAATTTAAATTTAAAATACTTATAACTTTTAATTTACTTTTAATTAAAATTTAAAATCTTTTAATTTTTTTAAAATATATTATTTATTTTAAATAAAATAATATTTTTAAAAGTAAAGATTTATTTTTATATAAATATAAACTTAATTATTAATAATAATCTTTTTTATAATAAGTTTATTAAAATTATAAACTTAAAAATTAAATATAATTATTTTATTTAATTATACTTTATTTTATAAATTAATTAAATAATTACTTTAAGTAATCTTATATAAATTATTTATATTTTTTTAATTCTATTATTAAGTTAAAAGTAAATAATTAAAGTTTAAGAAGATAAAATATAATATATTTTTAAAGATTAATTTAATTAAATTTATTATATAAAACTTTTATAATAACTTTATAATAATTTATAATACTATTTATTATTAAAAATACCTTCTTATCTTAATATATTAAACTATAATAGTTTAAGTTAGTATTATTAACCTTAATATAAATTAATCTATTAAAAGTTAAAACTATTATAAATTATAAACTAATTTTAATATTATTAAATATTATATATAAGATTATTATATAATTTAAGTATAAATTAGTTAAAATAAGAGAAAATAAAGCTATTATTCTTTTAATTAAGGTTTTAACTTTACTTAAATAAATATTTATCTATTAACTTTATTATATTATAAATAAAACTACTTAAAAGTAGTTACTTAATTAAACTAAAAGATAATTAAATAAGGTAACTATACTTTATTATTATATATAATATTTAAGTTTATAATTCTAATTAATTTATAGAAGAAAAATTAATTATTAATAATTAGGTTTATTATTATATAAAGATAGACCTTTATTTTAAAGAGAAGTTATTAATATTTAAAATAATTAATATATTTTAAAAAGTTAAAGGATTATAAACTTAATTTAAAGTATATTAAAATTTATAAGAATTTTAAACTTAAACTTAAAGGTATTAAATTAAAGTTTATACTTATAAAAATAAAAGCTTTTATAAAGCTTTAAAAAGTTTAAATAAAGTTAAATTAAATTATAATATAATAAAATAATTAAATAAAAATTAATTAAAAATTATAATTATAAGTTTTTAACCTTATATTTAAAAGTATACTAATTTTATATATAATATAATAAAGTTAATAGATAAATATTTATTTATATAGTAAAATTAAAACTTTTAAAGGAATAATAACTTTATTTCTATTTACTTTAATTAACTTATATTTAAAGGTTTAAGTTATATAGTAGTTTTATATAATATTTAATAATATTAAAATTAAGTAACTTATAGTTTATAATAGTTTTAACTTAAATTAAACTAATAGTATTAATTTAAAACTAATTAAATATAGTTTAATATATTAATTTAAAAAGGTATCCTTTAATAATTAATAGTATCATAAATATAAATTATAAAGTTATTATAAAAAGTTTTATATAATAAACTTAAATAAATTAATCTTAAAAGATATATTATATATTATTCTTTTAAAACTTTACTTATTTACTTTTTACTTAATAGTAGAATTAAAAATATAAATAGTTTATATCTATTAGAAATAATGTACTAAACTATAATAAGGGGGTTTATATTTGTTGATATGCGAAACGCGATTTGGGGACATTTTATCCTCACCACGGCCCAGCGCTTGAGACTGCCCCATGCGGTTGGGCTTCACCCGAAAAGGCCCGCAAAAATCTACAGGGCGATTTCGGATGTGCTGCTTTAAAGGATTCCAAACCCGGCCCTATCGAGGCCCACAGCGGTGTGTACTAGTATTGTGGCAGGTCCCCGAAGCTTTGTTCCAGACTCTTGTAATGACTCGTAAGACATCTTGGCTGTGCATTCAATCGCCGGAGCATTCCGATATAGAATCATACACGTCACACGCGCGCCTCGACATGACTGTCCGCCCCTGAACGCAGCGACGGTCGCATAGCGGATGGATCTGGCGGCGAGGCCCTGGGCAGTGCCAGGCAACAGAGGAAAAACGGTGGATTGAATGTAACTCTACTATCTGTTGCATTTACAATCAACCCACCGCATTACTTGAGAGTAGATCGATCTGAACCCGGAAGAGAATGGAAGGATCGGGAGTCTGGCTGGACAGGGTCATCAGTTGAGGACCTGAGAGTTCAACTTCCGCGCATGACGGCCCTGGTCTTCTCGGCGGCTTGAGCTGCGGAAAAATGTTGGCAGGTACAGGGGCTGGTCACTCGCAATTGTCAAAAGGCCTGCTTGAAAGCCAGCGCTCGATTCGAGCGGACCACATGAGCAATTGTTGTAGTGAAGCGACAGTACAGCTTGTTCCATGAATAAGAAATGTCTTTGTAGCTCTGTATACCAATATATCACCAGCTCTTCTCCATGAAAACCCTCTGGATCGTTCTCTCAAGACCCTTGACCAAGCCCATCAAATCAGCAGGCCGAGAAGCCGTCGGGATACCGTGCCCACTCTTGTGCACAGACACGACTCTATTCTTCTCCTCGCACAACGAAACAACTTCGTGGTTGCCAAGAAACCCCTCCATGTCGTTGCTACCCCAGAAATGAGCTGTGGGAATCCGGATGCAAACGCCGTCCGCTTCAGCGCTCAAGCGGCGCTCCACCCCGGACTCGAGGGCAGCGAAATCCCATGGCTGACCACATGACAAAAAAATGGCACACTTCAGCCTGGAGTCGTTTCCTGTCGTTTCAAAGGGTGGTAGAAGGCCCCGTGACTCCGCGGCAAGTAAAGTTGCTGCCAGAGCACCTCCCTGGGAGAACCCAATGACACCATCAAATGGGCCTTCAGAGTCTAGGTACTCAGCCAGATCAAGCACCGCCTGATGGATGCTTTGTAGTGTGCCATCGAAGTACGAGTAGTAGGCTTCTTGCTTGCCAAAGGCCTCCTCGATTCCAGGGGCAGGCGGCCAGACAAATTGGCCTTCCACGAATTCAAACTCGTGGCTGTTGTCAAGATGAAACCGTATAGAAGCTGCAGGTGCAATGTGGTCAGATCCTGAAGCAAAATCCCAGCAACAGTAGGGCACGTAGGGCAGGACTTTTGTGGGGCGGGACAAGGTCAACGGTGGAACGGACAGAGTTGTGCCTCGAGGATCTGCTCACAAGCTTCCGATCAGTATCTCATGCCAGTGCCAGAAATCGGATAGGTGCCCCTGGTCGCATCAAGACGAACCTCACTGCTTGTGCCAATTCCGTGCAAGCACAGGAAGCGCATCTTGATCACAGAAGTGTGTCGTGTATCAAGATCTCAAGGAAATGAGCACGCAAATCAGGAAGAAGCGTGACTTCAATCATTACTGCAGGAATTCTTCAGAAGTTCAAGTAGTAGAAGGGCTGCAATCCGGCATTCAATTTCACCATTGCTCAAACACAGTGACGCGGGTACAGTCTTCCGGCTGTCCGGGTGTGCCTGATCCACCAAACGCAAAGAAGCGGCATCTCCTCCCGCACATCTCGCTGTACTTGTGGGTGGTTGATTTGTACGATATGTCCCGACTTGTACCTATAGCTTACACAGTAAATTTCCCTTGCAGCCGACCGTCGACGATATGGGTGTTAGTGCAACCTAACTCGGCCCACGAGTCAGCTCATTTTGACCAGACATGGGGCACACAGCACATTGGCTATAAGTGTGCACCATATTTTGTGAATTTCACAAGGGGGCTGGCCGGGGGGGAACGAAAGGCCAGGGCTGGAAGGTGTACTCCGTAGGGCAGTAGGCTGATCTTGAGCGGCCTACAGGGGGATCCCAGCAGGCACCAACCCCAGTAGCCTCTTACAGACCTAGGCGCAGAGTTGGCCGCCCAGACTTTCAATACACTACTACTATGGTATAATTATATAATGTTTAAAGTTTAAGACTATCTTTAGTTATATTTTCTTAAAATATATAGTATATCTTTCTATATTAATATAAAATTTAATTTATTACTTATTAAAATCTTAATATAAGTTAAGAAGTTTTAAATAAATTAATATAAATAAAATATATAAGAAAAGTAAATAGTTTACTTAATAGTCTACTTTAAAAATTTAAATGTGTGATTACCATAGCTGAGGAGTAATTTATATCAACAGGACACTTTGTTCTGAGCACAGTCACTCAGTGTGTGAGCCGTGACCAACTCAGAAGTAATTACTGTGTGGATATGTTGATGACCCATGCATTGTGATTGAACCGTGGGGTCCCTGGGCAGTGCAGCCCAACCCCATTGCTGATGTGAAGTGGGCCGATCTGTCTTGGGCACCCGTACTATGTACTCCAGTTGTGGGCCGTACATGTTGATCTGAAGATTGTGAGATTGGGGGCAACGGTGGCGTGGAAAACATATCCAGGCTGTTGGTAATGCTGCAAGCTGTCCCGGAACAATGGCTACCAGCGATTGTTTTTGAAGAGTCACTCACGACTGTCAGTTAGCGATCCAATTTTTCATTGTTGTATAAGTACAGGGATGGTTCTGTAAATACAGGGGTGGTGCTGAATGCATTCGATCTGTAAAGATCAGAGATTCACCTTGTGATCGGTCTGTACGAAGTCCTTTTGGGATTCATTTTGAATATTCTCCTGCCTTAGATCATGTCCATTGTCTCCAAAGACCATTGTCCTGACTGAAGAGCCGAATATTTGGGCCTCTTCTATTGCTTAATATCTCATTGTTCAGCTAATCTCTTCCGCTAGGCTCGGTGCTTGGTATCCCCAAACCACTTCATCATGGGCTCGATTCCGTACCCGGCCGGCGATGTACCGGCCGCAGATGATGATATCGCCATCATCGGATTCTCCTTGAAACTCCCCGGAGAAGCAACTTCAGCAGAGAATTTCTGGAATATGTTACTCGCTGGCCGGTCAGCCGCTAGTGAATTTCCAGCCAACCGCCTCAACCTGAATGGTCACTACCACCCAGACAAATCACGGCTTGATCAAATGCCACTTCGTGGCGGGTATTTTCTGAGCGGAGATATCGATCGGTTTGATGCACCATTCTTTTCTATCAGCCCCGCTGAGGCTGCTTGCATGGAACCTCAGCAGCGGCACATGCTCGAGACAAGCTATCGAGCTCTTGAAAATGGCATGTTCCTTTCACGCGGACACAGCATTCTCTCGACCCCACGCGAATCCTTCTCTGCACATTGGCCAAGTCCAGAAACTGACAGCTTGTTCTAGCTGGAATCACTGTGTCGCAGTGCTCCGGGACCCGAACTTCGGTTCACACAGGGAGCTTCACTGACGACTATAGGAGCGTCCTGTTCCATGACAGGCTCGAGGGTCACATGTATGCCGCAACGGGTATAGCAAATTCAATTCTGGCGAACAGGGTCAGTTGGTTCTTCAACTTCACGGGGCCCAGCCTCAACCTTGACACCGCGTGTTCGTCGAGTATAACGGCTTTACACCTGGCTTGCCAAGACCTGCGCAGTGGGGTCACAGACATGGTGAGTGATATTATTCCTTGGGCGAGGAGTCATGAATGGAGGCTACACTTCACGGTGTGTAGTGAACGCTGACAGCACAAATCGTCTGTCACAAGGGTCTTGTTGGTGGTTGCAATCTTATCTACCATCCAGACTACATGGTGATGATGAGCAACATGAGTTTCCTGTCGCCCGACTCCCGCTGTTGGAGTCTTGACGAAAGGGCGAACGGCTACGCACGAGGCGAAGGCTTTGGAGTTGCCGTCATCAAGCGGCTCTGCGACGCGGTTCGAGACGGGAACACGGTTCGGGCCGTGATTCGTGCGACCCGGCTGAACCAGGATGGCAGGACTCCGGGCCTGACGAACCCGAGCGGTGACGCGCACAAGGCCCTGATCCGGGAGGCATACCGAGAAAACAAGATTGACATGGAGCCGACCAGGTTCTTTGAGGCTCATTCCACTGGCAAGTTGCATTGCCTTTGGGCTCTTGATGGTGGCCCACACTGACCCCTTATTTCACAGGAACCCAGGCGGGTGACCCTACGGAAGCCAATGCAGTTGGGGAGGTCTTCTCCACGATCCGGTCTGAGGATGACCCTCTATGGCTTGGTGCTGTCAAGCCTAACATAGGGCATCTCGAGGCTGGAAGCGGCATGGCCAGCTTGTTCAAGGCCATACTCGTGCTCGAAAACGGCGTCATACCGCCAAATGCCTGTTTCGAGAAGCTGAATCCGCGCATTCAAGCCGAGCGATTCCACCTCAGGGTTGTTCACCTGTTCTCATCACCTCTCAAAACAATAAAGCTAACATTTGATTTTGCCAGATACCAACAGAGCCTCGTCCTTGGCCTGTACACGGGCTCCGAAGAGTCTGCGTGAGTACTGTTTCTACACCTCCAAATCATAAGAATCTTTCTCATTCCTTGCAGGTGAATTCGTTCGGGTTTGGAGGCTCAAACGGGGTTGTAATTCTCGACGATGCGTATCATTACCTCCGATCAAGAGGACACAATGCGCCTACCCGTACCAGGCCTGATCCGCCAACCATGGGTGCGATCAAGGGTATGCGGCCACCGGATGCTGTTGTAAAATCTCTGGAAAAGAAACAATCCCCCCGAGAGCAAGGCCACGGGGTCCTGGTATGGTCCAGCAACGACGAAGATGGACTTGGACGTGTTCAAAATGACTTGTCAGCCTTCTTTTCCCGCCAGCCTCAAGGAAGCCTGTCCATGGAAGATCTCAAGGATGTGGCTTATACACTCGCAAAACGAACACAGCTCACATGGAGACGGTCGGTCACATATTCCAGCTTATTAGAACTTCTCGAGAAGCTCAATGGACCCGGTGGGTCTCCCTCTGCTCTTCCCAGCGAAAAGAGCACACGAGATCATAAATGCGGATTCATATTTACCGGACAGGGAGCTCAATATGCTGGTATGGGTCTTGGTCTCATGTCTTCATATCCTGTTTTCAGAACAAGCATGAAGCGCAATCAGGAGCTCCTGGACCGTATGGGATGTGGGTGGCAGCTGGATGACTTGATATCCGTGCCCGAAAGCCCAGAATCACAGCGCATCAACGAGCCACAGTATAGTCAGCCTTCATCGACAGCGTTGCAAATTGCACTTGTGGATTTGATGCGATCGTTCGGTATCGAGCCATCAGCGGTGGTCGGCCACTCCTCAGGCGAGATTGCGGCGGCGTAAGTACCTCTCCGTGGCCCAAATTCATGACTGTGACATCCAAGGTCAACTGACAGTGATTTCAGATATGCTACTGGGGCTTTGTGTCGTGAGAGTGCCCTGAGGGTTGCTTTTCATCGGGGTCGTCTCGCATCCGAACTGCGCGCGAGGACAGACCGCGCGCTCACCATGATGGCTGTGGGACTGAGCGCCAGCGCAGCCGATAAGTACCTTTCCAAGCTCGAACAGGAATTCGCTGAGGATGGGGGCCGGGATGTCGATATCGCTTGCATCAACAGTCCCCGTAACGTCACACTGGCGGGTGATGCCAAGCAAATTCAATTCCTTGAGGATCTCCTTCAAGGGGATGTCATTGCGCGAAGGCTCAACATCGACATGGCTTATCACTCGCATCATATGAAATCAATATCTGACGAATACCGAAGCTGCCTACAAGATCTCCAGCCCGATAGAGATCAAAAGAGGTCCACGATAATGATATCTTCTGTCACCGGCGCTGCTATTGATCGGGCATCTGACCTAACCTCCCCAGAATACTGGATTAAGAACCTTACCAGCACTGTAAGGTTTTCGGATGCTATCTCAACACTGAGTGCGCAATCAGGGAGGAAGCGCAAGGTTTTGGGCCGCAAAGCAAGCAAAGACAACGAATTCAAAATATCAGAGCTTGTCGAAGTTGGTCCGCATCACGCACTTCGGGGGCCTATTCGAGAATGTCTTGAAGCCATGAAGAAGACAGAAACCATCAAATACTACCCCACGCTGGTACGTCGTACTGCTTCCTCATCGCCGACACCACCGGGATCAGCAACAGGCGACATTTTGACTCTGGCGGGCAAACTCTGGGAGCTGGGTCATCCCATCGATCTCCTCGCAATCAACAACCTCCCACGCGAAATCCCGATGGCTCTGAGAGTGGACCTTCCTGAGTACCCATTCAATCATTCTCAAGTGCACTGGAGGGAGAGTCGGGTAGCAAGAAATTATCGCATGCGGGACACGCCACGCCACGACTTCCTCGGCGTGAGAAGCGACGACTGGAATGAGAAGCAAGCACATTGGCGAAACATGGTCAGTGAAACACGGTTGCCCTGGCTGCGTGATCATCGACTTGCGGGACAGTACCTCTACCCTGGCGGCGGGATGGTAGTCATGGCCGTCGAAGCAGCCAGGCAGCTGGTCGATGCGGAGAAGCATCCCGAAGGTCCGTCCAGCTTCGAGCTTAGAGACTTGCAAATCCTCAATGCCTTCCAGTCTGTCAAGGCGTCGGAAAGTCAAGTCGAAACCAGGTTCACACTTGTCCCAACGGCAGAGAACCCACTATGGTCTCAGTTTCACCTTTTCATTTATGAATCCAACGGTTGGGTTGAAGTCTGTCATGGTCAGATTCGTGTACATCACGATACCGAGGACGACGAGGAGGGTGGACATCAGGATGACCTTCACACGCGGTGGAGTCGCCATCTCCAGAATTGGAGGACGCAATCATTTGAGGGTGAGTTTGCCGAAAGTCAACAGACCTTCGATAACAAGACATTCTACGACCTCGTGGCGGCAGAGAACGATGCCGTCTACGGCCCAGCCTTCCAAACCCTCGATGACATTGCTGTGTCATCCGATGGGAGAGTCATGGCCAACATCCAAACTCGGAAATGGGCAGAGCACTACGGGGACGAGCACGTATCGTCTCACATCATCCACCCAGCGACCGTCGATGCCCTGTTCCAGATGGTCTTCCCCGTCCTGCTGGGCACAGGCGACACAATCGTACCCACTCGCGTCGGGAGGATGTGGATTAACGCACGCGGCCTCGACGGGCTCTCCCACCGCGGTTTATCCACGCTCCGCGCCCAGGTTGTTTGTAGTCGCAAGGGGGCCCGCGGCACTACCGTTGGCGGTCGTGTGGTGTCGCCGGATACGGGAGAGCCCTTGCTCGACCTGGAGAACTATGAGTCCACCATTGTGGGCACAAAAGATGACCTGGAGACAGAGCCTAGGAAGCTCTGTGCGACCATGCAGTGGCGTCCGGATGTCGAAGCCATGTCGCAAAACGAGCTGGCCAGCGTGCTTGCAGCTACCTCATCGCATGACAGTGAAAGTGACCAGGCTCAAGGCCAATCCTACATGGACCAGAACTTGGTGATCCAATACTTCCTCTCGGAAGCCATGGACCGTCTTGAAAACAAGGTCTCGCATCCTTCTGACAGTCATAGCCAGGGCATCGTCCAATGGGTACAACATCAAAGTTCTCGCACCGACAAAGGAGACGCTCAGATAGAGCGTATGAGAAATGATCCCGCATTCAGGAAGCGAATGTTCCATCAAGTGGCGAATCTTGGTACAGGCGGCGGGTTCCTCATGAAGCTTGCGGAGAACATCTCAGATGCCGTTCTAGGCAAACTTGATTTTCGGGAGCTTCTGAGCGACTCCTCGTTGGTCCAAGATTTTCGCAAGTCACATTTGTCCAAAGGACCCTGCATCCCGCCCATGAAGGGATTTTTGGAGCTCCTGGGGCACAAGAATCCTGCCATGCGGATCCTCGAGCTCCACGGTGGCAATGGCGATTTCACCGAGGTCGTGACTTCGGCCTTGCTCCATGAGGGGAGGCCAAGATGGTCTAGCTATGACTTTACTGATGTTTCCGCAGAAACCTTCCCGGAACTTCAAGAGAGATTCGGAGGTATTGCGAATTCTATGGACTATCGTGTCCTCGATACAGATGGTGATGCCGTCGGACAGGGCTTCAATGAGGCCGCTTATGACCTTGTAGTCACTTGTGGGGTAGGTCCGGTTCCTGTAATCTGTCATTTCGGTCACGGTCACTGAACACAGTGAACACAGGTGCTGCAAAGGATTGGAGACATGGAGAGAATCATCCAAACCGCCAGCAGGCTGCTGAAGCCGTAAGCATTTCCGTGTTTGACATGCCGGTCTGCCCTAGCTAGCTAACAGTCCAACTCAAAAGCCATGGGAAGGTCATGTTATTCGAGACGACAAATCCTGATGCGGTTCGGGCTGGTCTGTATGGGGCATTGACGGGATCCCTCTGTACCAGCACCACAGCGCAGGCGAATTATGCGCCATTTTACAGCACAAAATCATGGACCAATGCTCTCGAATCCTCGGGTCTTGGGCAATTGGACTTGGTCCTGCAAGACTCTATGGACCCGGAAACCTTCGAGAACTCTCTCATGATCGCGTCAAAAGCCCCAGAAGACGATCACATCGACGCCGTGGACGCATCTGAAGCGACGACGACGATTCTCGTGGACAGCCGGGTTCCCGAACAGCGAGATCTTGCCGAATCCCTGCAGCTGTGCCTTGGCAAGGGACGCAGCGACAAGTCCGTCTGCAGATGCGTAGATGTGCAGTCTCTGGCCACGTCGGCAGACATCGACCTCGCGCGCTGCATCTCCCTCCTCGACGTGGCCCGGCCATTCCTGTTCCACCTCCAGGAACACGAGTTCGAAACACTCAAGCACCTCGTTGCCTCCTCGGGCGAGATGCTCTGGGTGTCACGGGGGTGCTCGTCACCCACGCCCCCGGAGTTCAGCATGATCGACGGGTTCGCCCGCGTCATGCGCGGTGAATACCCGCTGCTGAAGCTCACGACGCTTGCGCTGGAGCCGCCAGCAGAGGCAGCGGGTTGCCACGGTCTGATATCAAGGGTGTGGCGCCGAATGCTCAGGACAGACCACGCAGGCACCGAGCTCGAGTACCGCCAGCGCGATGGCCGGCTCGAGATCCCGAGGGTGGTCCACTCGGCCGGCATGAACGGCGTGATCGCAACGCGAAGCAAAGAACGCCATGTGGTGGAGAGCTGCAGGCTGGGTGGCGCACCGCCCCTGGCCCTGCACGTCGGCTCGATCGGCACGTTGGACTCGGTCTGCTTCAGCGAGGTGTCCCGGCATGAGACTGCTTCTGCGCCCCTGCCTGATGATGAAGTCCTGGTCCGAGCTCAGGCCCTTGGTCTCGACCACAGGGACTTCCTCGTTGCTTCAGGCCGGCTCAACGATACGGGTCTCGGTATGCAGTGGTCTGGAACTGTTGTCGAGAGCGGCGCTGCGTCTCACCTTCGGCCGGGTGATCGCGTATGCGGCATTTCTCCCGAAGGGTTGCAAACCTTGGCCCGCTACAAGAGCGCGTCCGTGGCGCTCATTCCTCCGTCCCTGCCGGAGATAACTGCCGCTTTACTGCCGGTTGCTGCCATCGTCGGCCTTCACGCCTTGATCGGGTTTGGAGGCCTCCAGGAGGGCGAGCTCGTGCTGGTGCACAATGCTGCGAGCACCCTGGGCCAGGTGGCCGTGCAGATTGCGCAGAGCATGGGCGCACTGGTGCTGGCGGTGGCGAAGACACGGGGCCAGCGCGAGATGCTTGCGAGGGTCTACAAGATACCCACGCGTCAGATATTCTCGAAGGGGGATCGCCGCATTCTGGAAACAACACGAGGTCGAGGAGTGGACGTACTGTTTGCTGTGTCGCCGACTCAGGAAGAGACGGACGGTCTCTGGGATTGTGTCGCGCCCTTCGGAAGGTTTGTGCATGTCTGCGATGACGAGGCGACAGCTGCGTCTGGGAACTGTATTCCGGGGAATGCAGCATTCACTCGCATTAATACTGCCAGGTTTCTCAGGGAATCCCGCGCCCGGGTGTCCTTGCTTTGGGCGACAGCTGCGGCAATGTTCAGTGACGGCACGATCTATCCTGTGACAGGCTCGGAGATCCACGCTGCAAAGGATGTAGGAAACGCTCTGAAGTTCTTCTCCAGCGGCGAAGAAGCAGGTGGCAGCATTGTCGAGTTGGGAGACGATGAGTTGGTCAAGGTATGTTTGCTATCTCGTCTAGTGCTTGCTATGCGGGTGACCCAACAGGCTCAACTGACAGAGGAGTTAGGCGCACTTGCTCGTCAAGCCTCTATACCTCTTTGATCCTCACAAGACCTATGTCATCTCAGGAGGGCTAGGTGGCATAGGCCGTAGCATTGCTCGCTGGATGGTCGAGAGAGGTGCCCGTCACTTGCTGCTCCTTTCGCGCTCAGGGACAACAAGGCAAGAGGCACGAGCACTCGCGGAGGATCTGACTGCCCAGAAGGTGCAGGTCCTCGCACCGCAGTGCGATATAACTGATCTGAAGCAACTTAGAGCAGTGGTTGAAGAAGCCTGCCAGCAGATGCCCCCGATTGCTGGGTGCATCCAAGGGGCAATGGTGTTACGTGTACGTTCCAATGCCGTGTTCCCACAAATCGTCACTTGCTTGCTCTGTATAAGAATGCTCACAAATGGCAGGATTCTATCTTCGAAACCATGACGTGGGACGACTGGACAGCAAGCGTCAATCCCAAGGTGCTCGGCTCTTGGAACCTCCACCTTGTGATGCCCCGCGGCCTAGACTTCTTCACCCTCTTGTCCTCCATCTCATGCGTCCTCGGAGGCGTCAGCCAGTCCAACTACGCCGCCGGAAACGCATACATGAACGCACTGTGTCAGTACAGACACTCAATCGGCGAGCGAGGCACAAATGTTCCCAACCTGGGGATGATGGTGTCCGAAGGCGTCGTGTCCGAGAGCGAGCAGTTGCTGTCGAAGATGCGAAACATGGGCATGTTCATGGAGATCCAGCACGAGGAGATGTTTGCCCTGCTGGAACAGTACCTGCGGCCTCAACAAAGCAGCAGCGAGGACGCCCAGCCGATCTTCGGGATACAGCTGCCCGCTGCCATGAAGGCCGCTGGAAAGACGCTCCCTCGCCATCTGACGCAGCCCATGTTCAGGCACTTCCACTACACGGACACGAGAGTACAAAGTGACAATGGCAAAGCCCTAGTTGACGGCCATGTTGACTTCACATCTGTCATCCGCAGTGCAGACACGACAGAGCAGGTGGCCGCGCACATGACCGAGTGGCTAAGGGCAAAGATGTCACAGGTGCTGGGTCTGGATGTTGCGGATATCGATGTCGACAAGCCCATCAGCGCGTATGGTATCGATTCCCTGATTGGGATGGAAATACGCAACTGGTTTGAGAAGGAGCTTGGGGCAAAGATGGCTATTTTCGAGCTGCTCAGTGCCGGCACGAATATGGCGGACTCGTGCAGGACTGCCGCAGTGAGAACTCGTCTTAGAAGCAAACAGGTAGTTGGTGCAGTTTGAATCGGACAGGTCCAGCCGTTCATGCTATTTGTACCTGAGCCGTCTTGACATTTAATTATGATACCCAAAACCTACCATCCTTGGCCCCGGCTCGGAATACCGCTATTAAAAATTGGCACGACCAAGCATGTTCAGACAGTGAGAAACCCAGTCAGTGCAAGGGTCCCAGGGTCTTCCAAAATCGGTAAGAGGAAGAATTCATGCTCTCAATGACAACTCGATTTATCCGGGCGCGAGGGATTAGAGGAAATCATCCATCCATCCGCCTCAGAAGTGAAATTGAGAAAGAAATGTGTTCACTGTCAATAGCATGGCATGAAACTGATTCAATGCAGATTTATCATGTTAACGCTGGAACGCTTGGTATCTACCTAGGTACTTATAACCCTAACCTAGATACTAGGCCTGTCAATAAGTCAGGTGCCTCAGCACCATTCTATTCTTTCAAACACCCATCCACCCCACCTCGTTCCCAAAGACACCATACCACCCATCACAGCTCATCATGCCCTGTTTGCACACCAGCAAGCCCAGCAGACGACCGGGAGGGCCGGGAGGGCCGGGAGGGCCGGGAGGACCGGGAGGACCGGGAGGGAGAAACAAAGTGCGTAGACCGCCGAGGACGCTGCTAGTAGACATCTAAAACCCCCACCCACCGAATATCCCGACTACTCGCCCCGAGATAAAGCCAGTACCGCCCGCCCCGCATGACCCACTTCTGCGCGGCGACGTCCCAGACGCTCAGGTCGCGCCGCGTGAGCTCGAAGGCGACGTCGGCCGACTTCCCCGGCGCGAGGCGCACCTTCTCGAACCCGCGCAGCTGGCGCGCCGGCTGGCCCCCGCCGGGTATCCCGACGTACAGCTGGGCGACCTCCTCGCCGGCGTGCGTGGTGCCGTTGTTGGTGATTCTTGCCGTCACGGTGGCGATGAGGTCCCAGATCGATGAGTCGGCCGTGATAGTGCGCTGCGGCTGGCCGTTGATGGACGAGGCGGAGGCGGCGGTGGCGGGCCTGACGGACCCGAACGAGTAATGAAAGGTGGTGTAGCTCATCCCGAAGCCGAACTCGAAGCGGGGCTCGACCCCCTTGGCGTCGAAGTGGCGGTAGTCGACAAAGACGCCCTCTGCGTAGTCGCACTGGGGGAAGCGGTCCTCCGGCGAGGCGGGGGCGCACGGCGCGTAGAGGGCGCCGTAGTCGCTCTCGTTGCGGGCGAGGGTGTAGGGGAGCTTCCCTGAGGGCGAGACGGCGCCGTACAGCAGGCTCACGAGGGCGTCACCGGCGTCCTGGCCGGGAAGGTGGGCGATGAGGGCGGCCGTGACGTTGGGGTGGTCGATCCACTGGTCGACGAGGCGGATGCCCGCCGCGTGGACGACGACGATGGTGTTGGCGCACTTCGAGGCGACGTTCAGGACTAGGCCGTCGCTGAAGTCGTCGTGCAGCCCGTCGCGGTCCCAGCCCTCGGTGGCCATGGCGTTGATGAAGACCAGGCAGGCGTCGGACATGGGGTTGACGGGCGGGTTGCCCGACCGCAGGTCCCAGTTCAGGTACGTCCCTTTCTCTTTGGCGACCTGGGTCAAAGCGCCGAAGGGCTATTTTTCACTTCTAGTCAGCCTGAGCTCTAGTTAATAATAATTGGGGTAGACTCACAGAGTCGATGTACGATGGCCCGTTCGCACCACTCCTGCCACCTACAAACACGACACCGTCGTAAGCCCGCTGCGAGAAGTGCGCCTCGAAGCCCAGGACAGCGTCGTTCATCTCCGGCTGCGACTCGTAGCCCAGCTCAAAGAGCTTGTCGATGTTCTTGGTCGGCGGCGCCTGGGCGTCATAGCCGAAGATTGATAGCATCTTTGGGTTCTGGAGCGGCAGCGCGTTGTTGACGTTCTTGACGAGCACGTGGCCCGCGGCGGCGCCCTCCAGGAGGACGGGGTCGGCCTCTGGGCTCCGGGCGTCGATGAGCTCGTGCGGGAGGCTGAGGTTCTGTATGCCGGCGCCGGGGCTGGGGAAGCTCGTGTCATTCTGGCCGACCAGATACCAGGCGGCGATGATCCTGTGTCACACAAGCAGTCAGTCTTGAGTAGGCATGTATGGAGAAGGAAGTACCAGCTTACCTGTGGGCCATATCGTCGATCCTCTCCTCGGTGACCGAGCCATTCTTGACTGATTCGGTCAGATTAGCAGCCCAGCTGGTCCCATTGGGCATGATCATGTCCAGCCCGGCGAGGGGCCCAGCGATGCCACCGGTCCTGGCGTTCCAGTCCGACACGACAAAGCCCTGGAACTCGAGCTCGGTCTTGAGCAGGCCGTTCATCAGCTTGCTGTTCTGGCAGGCGTACGAGTTGTTGACGCGCTGGTAGCTGCACATGACGCTGGCGGCGCCGGCGCGCACGCCGTCGACAAAGGGCCAGAGGTACAGCTCGTGCATGGTCTTGTCGTCGAGGTTGGAGGAGGCGGCCTCGGTGTCGTTGTAGGGGCGGCGCCAGGTCTCCTGCTCGTTGGCGACGAGGTGCTTGAGGTTCGCGATGACGCCGGCGTCCTGGATGCCCCTGATGGTCTCGGCGTTGAGGGCGCCAGACAGGTAAGGGTCGGCGGCGAAGCCCTCCCAGTTGCGGCCGCCGAGGGCGGTGCGGCCCAGCGGACCGGCCACGGGCCCCAGGGCGACGTTGGCGCCTTTTTTGCGGAACTCGCTGCCCATCTCGAGGCCGCGGCGGTAGGTCAGGTTCCGGTCCCAGCTGGCGCCGACGTGGATGCCGCTCGGGTACGAGTTGGTCAGGTCGGCGGCCCTGACGCCGTTGCCGGCGTCCTGGAGGCACAGGCCCGGCCAGCCCAGGCGGGGGACGCTGCCGGTGTTGCCGCTGCAGGTGTTGGCGGTGGTGGCGTGGCCGCCGGTGACGTTGAGCTTCTCCTCGAGCGTCATCTGGCCCACGAGCCTCTCCGCGGCGGCGAAGGCCGACGCCCAGCTGCCGAGGCCTCTGGCATGAGCTGTGGAGAAGCCAGGTCAGATCAGATCAGATCAGATCAGTAAGGATAAAGGGTGTTTGGACCTACGGGCAGGGTAGACTGGGGGCGACTGGCCGTAGAAGTCGGCATCGGTGAGGGCTTCGGCCAAGGGAGAGCAGCAGCAGCTCAGAGCCAGGACTGGCAGCACATGCGAGAGGGTCGGCCGCATTGTCGTTGTCGCTGCATTGATCCAACAAGTGCGAGGAGTGGGGATGGGATGGCAGCCGGTGGAAGAAGCCTCCACGAAAGGCGAGGGTGCTTTTTATTTGTTTGTTTTGATTGATGGGCTGTCCCTGCCCTCGTCCTTCCTCGCCCTTGCCCTCCCATGCAGGGCCGACAGTGGACGCAGGCACGGCATCCGGGCGTAAGGCGGGTGCAACGGAGGGACAAGAAGCACGGCAGTCGTGCCCCGGGCCGGGTCGCGTGGCTGCCCGCTCCGCCAAGCTGCTTATTACGTGTAAGTAACAAGCTCAGCTCGCGTGTTGACTCTCTCGTACCATTTTGCGCCAACCTTGGGAAGCTCTGCAAAAAAGCGGTCTGCGGGATGGTCATCCGGGCAGGGGCGATCCAGCCTGGAAATGCTGGGGGACTGCGACTTCAATGTCACTTGTCACTTGCTGACAACCTGAACCCTGGCTGTGGACGTGCTCGGGGGAGGTTTGGCCGAGGTGGGGGTGCTCGCACATGTTGCCTGCAAGTTTGCATCGCCAAGTGCTGTCTGTTCGGATTCCGTTCGGATCCTGCATTTCTCGATGCATCAATTAGTTCGAATAGGAGTAATTAACCCATCCACTTACACCAAGTGATGCTGTCGCTCAACTTTAACACAGCTCTGCAGCTCTGCAGCTCTGCCACTCTGCCACTTTTCCCCACCGCCAGCCAGGATGCACCGCCACTCATGTCGACACTACTATGTAGTACTTAGTCCTCACTACTCAGTAGCCGTAGGGCTGAGCCCCATCACGACAACCCCAGCTGTACCAGCACAGCGGCAGTGCCGGCCGCAGGATGGCCGGCTGCTCCACCCCTGCCCAGCAGCATGCCAGCCTGCCAGCCTGCCCAGCAGCTCACTGCCCTCGGCTGCCTCGATGAAACTCGGCGTGGCAGTCGGCGTGGTTGGAGTCGGGCCAGCAATTTGATGAGAGTCCCCCGGGCCTGCAAGGTTCCGGGCCTCTGTGGCCCATCATTGGGTTATCAACTCGTCCATGACAAGACGAAGGATCAACATGTAAGCCCAACTCCCCTGCTCCCACATCAACAGCGTTCCCCTGGCACGATTAATTTTAGGCTGCCGGATGAAAGAGATCCACCCGCTAAAATAAGGCAGTCAGCGCGACGGCCTCTTTCTTTTCTTTACTTTTATCTCTGTGGGTGACACTTCCTCCCTCTTCCTCGGAGAGCGTCACTCATTAAACAACAGGAAAAAGGACAAAACCCCATAAAAAAATGTCGCGACCCTGCCACCCCACGACGACGGCGGCGGCGGCGCTGCTGCTGGCCCTCTGCGGTCTGGTAATACAGGGCGCCATGGCAGGCGACAAGGACCCGATCCGCTTCCTGTACCCGGCCGAGGAGGGCCTCGAGTTCCACTACCTGGACCGCGTCGACGTCTCGTACCTGAGCAACTTCACCGAGCCATACCTGTACATCTGGTGCGGCCAGGGCAACGCCAAGCAGAAGCAGGTGGACCGCCCCAACGGTGGGAACGCCACCACCGAGATCACGCTCCAGTTCGAGGCCGACCAGGACCTCGAGGACGACTGCTGGTTCAACATCCGCATCCACGACCTGTCCAGCTCGGTCCAGCAGGGCAACAACTCGAAGGCCTTCACCTACCTGCACACGGCCAGGGAGGGCGGTCCGGTAAGCCTTCACGGCCTGGGATGAATTGATCCATAGGCCAACACAAACTCATACACACAACAAGACCGAATGCTAACCAATATCCGGCCCTCAGGCGACAATGGGCCTCCCATCCGCCACAACGACATCCGTCCCCGCCCCGACGGCATCGAGCGTCACAAACCCCACAGATGACTCGGCACCCTCGCCCTCCTCAGCGACGACAACAGACCCCGCCGCCGCCGCCTCCTCCTCGTCCTCCTCCTCCAGCGGCGGCCTCTCGGCAGGCGCAACAGCCGGCATCGCCGCCGGCGTCTCCGTGGGCGCCATCGCGATCGCCGCGGCCGTGGGGGCCTTCTTCTTCCTCCGGCGGCGGAGGAGAAAGAACGGCGGCGCCTGGGCGGCGGAGAAGCACGGCGGCGCGGGCATGGGGCGGACCGACACCAGGGACGTCGGCGGCAGGGGCGCGGATTACCCGGCCAGCGAGCTGCAGGGCCACGGGCACGCCTCCGAGATGGCCGGGGGGATGGCGGCGTACAAGGGCAAATACGCCCCCGTCGCGCCGGGGAGCCCCCAGGAGATGCCCGCGGACCACGCCGCGCCCGAGTTCGAGCGCCATGAGCTCCCCGCCGGTCTCGATGGGGGGCGGGACGAGGGGAAGTTCCGGCCTTGAAGGGGGGAGAAACCCGACCGGGGCTGGTTGGCGGGCATGTAATTATGGCGTGATGCTCTTGGTCGAGCTGGTGTTGATAAATGAGGAGACCAAGATACGGTTACGATTAAGTCATGAGCGTCTTTGGATATTTTGGGATGATACCACGGCGTTTAGATGCAGCAATTATCTATCTAGTGAGACAGGCACTGAATCATAGGGCTTAAACAAGCTGTAATCGTGTAACAACAGCATAAACCTTAGTGAGTAAGAATCTGGGGGGGGGGGGGCTAGGTAAAGAGTCCATTGCTTCGTTCTACTACGTAGTCAGCATGCCAGAAGCTGCCCCAACTATCCCTTAATCCCGCTCTCAAAGGCAGGATTAGCAAGAAGAGGTCGTATTTGATGGTTTGAGCACTATAACATCATTTTAGGCCTTCTTGTTGTCGCCATCGGCACTATCGTTAACGGTGTCGCTAAGCGTTAGGTCCACTGGAAGGTATGTACCATAGTTAACAGTCCTCTTTACCCCCATCTACTTCTTCTTAGCTGATAGTCTCGAGCTTAAGGAGATTGTCACTGGTGGCGACGTCATAGCGAGACGTCACTTGGGCTTCACAGCATAGTGGCTCGATGCTCGAAAACAAGTAGATCTGCTTGAGGAAGATAGAGAGAAGGGAAGGCTACCTCTCGGCCTCGAGGGCATAAAGTGTAGGTGTGGCAGCTTTATTCACTCAGTATATCCCCTGCAGGCCCACCTCCTACCCGCTGCGTCTGCACCACTGCCCTACACTGAAACTCCCCAGGGCAGAACAACGATTAACTTATACCCTTGCGCATCTTCAACATGCATTTCCGCTAAACCAGGATGAAGATATCACTGCGCGGGTTCAATAATGGAACCTGGGTAGCCGACAGTGCAATCGGCTCAGTGGTATCTCTCATAGACGGTACACTCAAGATGTAGTTGTGCACAAGTGTTTTGGACATGATGAATAGCCCTGTAATCCTATTGGTAGTAGTGTTGAAGCTACGTAGGTGGTAGTGTATTGCCCATGGACTAGAAAGTATGACTTTCCCGATCAATGTGAGCTGGGCATCTTTGAATCTTATTAGTAGTTTTTAGTTGCACCGCGCAAGTGGCCGCTTGGTTACACGACGGGCCTAGTCTCCTGCACCCCAAAAGCATGTCTCAACTATGATGGCTCTTCCATCAAATCACCTTGTGGCCTCAGTCTCGGAAGCCATGTCCATGTGGCTCGGCCGCACAATAAGGTTCTGAATCTCACCTTGTGTCACAATACCGAGTTAGCGCCAAAGCTTCGGGTCACTGGTAGGCTGGAAGTCTACTGTGAGTTTTTGGATGGTATCATCATCCCCTTGTCACATGGGGCTTCCCCGGCAATCGGTTCACAGCATGTTCAACAGCACGATGCGATTCTGACTTCCAAGGTTGTGACGCCGGCTTACAAAGCTGGTTATGATCCTGCGGTCCGGTTCAAGTTCTAGGATCCGGCCACGTCAAATGAAGAGGGTGAGAATATGTCGAGCGCCTACTTAAGCCGTCCTCGATTGCCTAAAGCGACTCCTGGAACTACTTGTATTTTCTGAGTTCCTCTACTGAGCCGTAACAACAGATAGTTCACTAGAACCGTTTATATACTCCTTTGTACCTGCTATCTTGACTCCTCTCGTGCGAATCCGGTATCCTGTAGTGCCAAACATGTCCACCACAATTTTGCAAGAAAGCAAGGCCTTCCCGTTCGCGTTGAAATTGGATGTCTGGAAGCACTACCTACGCAACCGACCCTCATACCCCGACTCCCTGTGGCGTGAATGGATCGAGTATCATGAGGGCCCATTGAACACAGTGCACGAGCTCGGCACAGGCTGCGGCATCGGCGCCGCCAGCTTCCTCTCCAACTCCTACGCGAAGAGCGAGCCCGTCAAACACATGATTCTATCGGACCCATCGGAGAGCAACATCGCAACGGCCAGAGAACTAGTGCGCGCGGACGACTACCCCGACACCAGGCTCTCCTTCCACCAGCACAGGGGCGAGGACTCCTTCCTCGACCCTGGCTCCGTCGACATGGCCTTCGCCTGCGAGTGCCTCCACTTCACCGACGTCGAGACGGCCATTGCCAGCATTCACGCGGGCCTGCGGCCCGGCGGGACCGTGGCGTCGGTGTTCTACGGGGTGTTGAACGCCACCATACTCGACAACGAGCGCGCCGACGCGGCGTGGAGGGCCCTTGGGCATATGCACTTCCGGCGCGTGGCCGACGAGAACCTCGAGACGATATTCTCGCGGATGAAGCCCGGGCAGGTGGGGCTGGGGCTCAACTTTGTGCCGCTGGACAGGGAGCTCTGGCGGGACGTGAGGAGGGTGTGGGTTAATGTGCCTCAGGGGCAGGCGGAGTGGCCTATGGAGGTGGGTCCGCCGAAGGAGGCCGGGGTCAGTCGGCGGTCTAGGATTGACCCTGAGTATGAGAGCTTCGAGTGGAGGACTGATACGGATGGTTGGGCTTTGAAGGGTTGCACCGCCGAGCGCATTAAAGAGACGATGGCGTCTCTGTTTCTGCAGTATGGGGAGAAAGATTGGCGGAGTGCTGAATGGAGGGAATTTGAGGCCGCAATGGACGAGGGCGGCGGAACGGTTGATTTTGCCATTCCCGTCACGATGATCATGGCCAGGAAGAAGTAGCAGTTCATGATTGAAAAGAGATGGATGTTTTGTTGAACCACACAAGATACTTGATCATTTAGTACTTGAGGTTCCCTACTGTTCCATCAAAATGGGTGGCGTTGGCTCATGCCAACTCTCTACAGCAGCAGCCAAATTTTGTATTCAGTTCACCTGATCCAAATCTACCGTTGACCCAGCAGTATATTTATCCTCACTCTTAATATCTCCTATTGCCGTCAAGACAAGGTAGCCCTCACCACAAATTTCTTCGGCGATACTCACTAGCCGCCCAGGTGCCTCAAAAGTCTTTATGTAGCTTTGCGGCACCTGATCAGAGAAAAGGACATGGATTGAGACGGCGCTGCCCGACTTTTGCAGCTGGTGAATATTGACGAGCGCAGAGCAGGCGTAGGGAATGCATGTCGCGTAGAACACGTACCCAAAACCAGCATCTTCCGCCTCCCTCTTCGGTATGGGAGGCCGGGTCTTCCGTAAGATGTTGTTGAGTTTGCTCAAATAGTAGATCCTGAGAATATTATGATAGGTAAGGATTATGAGTAAGGCCATGGCGGTAAGCGTCCAAGTCTTACCGCGTAAGAATATCTTAACCATGATTTTCAAAATGTTTTTAAGCAACCATTTGAGATTTATGAGGAATTTGCAGAACACGATTCCGTGAAAGTTGACGATATCGAGAATGTTTGACCTTCGTTTAGCCATTGCTAGCCACCGTCTCTGAGACATGAAATGACGAACTGGATGTTTCTAGACAAAAAACGCTGGGACCTTCAGTCTTGTGGGCGACACCTAAGACCCGCTAGCACAGCCATGAAATTCGGAAAAAGCTCGTGGCTTTGACTTGGGGAAAAAAACAAAAAAAAAGCAACATTTAATAGACGATATGCGATGTTGCACCAAGCCACTCCTGCAGCCCTTATACTATCAATATGTAGTTGGCACTGGCCTGAGCACCACAGTTCGGATCCTGTCCGATCTCGCCAATCACCTAAACTGTGTCCAGAAACAATTTACAGCTGGGCAAACTTGTCGATCATCTCCAGCAAAACCATATTGACTGCTTTGGCATGAGTGACGCTTAAGAAATGGCTTCCGCCCTCGAGTACAGTGGCTTTGGTCCACGGCGAGCCCGTGAAGAGCTCAATCTGCTCACGAGCGATGATGTCTGGCCATATCGCATCTTTTGTTCCCTTCCGCAGCCAGGAGACATCAGCGGCTGTTCATCGTGGCTTGAGGGAGAAGGTGATCTGATGATGGTTATTGGGAGACCAGGGAGATACTCACATGTAACCAATGCACTGGGCATTTGACATCTGGTAGCCTCGGGAGAAGGCCATCTCTTTCGACCAAGCACGAGATCGCTGATCTAGCCTTCTTGCGCCCTTCGTCGCCACTATACAGCGTTCTCCAGGTGTCATACCAGAATTGTAAGGCCTCTGGTGTGCTGCCGTCACCGAAGGCGAGGGCTGGGACGTTTCTGCACCAGTCTTCGTCTATGACGAAGTCCGGAGTAGGCGTGGGGCTGGACCAGCGGTCCAAGTATGGGTCACAAATAGCGTGAGCGTCCCAAGACCCTTTTCTTCGTGTCTCCTCTGACTCGTCGTCCATTGATGTACCGATAGGCACGATTCCTTGGATCTGATGAATGGGGGCGTTTTAGCATCCGATTTCGACAGAGCAAAGACTTTAGGTTATTAAGGAATAATGGACAACACTCACCCTATCCGGGGCCAAAAGAGCCATCCGCGCGACTACGAACCCGCCTTGACTGGTGCCCATAGCGAATGCCTTCTCGACACCGAGCTTGTCCATAACCTGCAGAGCCATGGTTGCAGTATCCCAATAGGTGAAATCATCAGTAGAGGACACCGTTGCGCCATGGCCGAGAGGCTCAATCGCAAGGAGATTCGCCGCGCTCGTCAGCTTCTCGTCTTCAAACTGTGCCCGCCAGAACGCGACTGTGGTGTGCAGGGCGTTGATCAGGACACAAGTGGGCTTGCCATTCTTGAACACATCTGAAGTGCCGGCTCCTGAAATGGCGTAGCCAACTTCGATCCCGCCGAGATGCGGGACATGGACGGTGCGTATGGCTGCCATATCTAAGGGCTTCTTGACGAATGGTTCGAATGCCGTTGGACAAGGACCTGATAGCAGGGTATCCGCCATACTTTTAAACGACTGATGATGTTCTGTACGCTAGCACGGAATAACAAAGTGCCTAGGTAGGAAATAACGCAGGACGGTCATACGTTTCGTAGTCCATACTCCTGTAAGTAATTAGCACTTGAGTGTAACCTCGCTACCTTATATGCACCCAACGATGGCTCGAGGTTATTAGTCCCCCAGGGCTGGCATCTCCCCATCGGGGCAGGCGACTGAACTCTAATTCCTCACCGGTCGACCAAGTCAATGCGGACACGGGCAGGTGGTCAGATTTAGTTCAATTTAGTCGTCCTATGTAACTTTCCGACGATATTAAAACATTGCTATGTCTGGTGCCGAGCCGCAACATGTGACTGATGCGACAAAAACAGAGTTTGGTAACGCCTTCGTAACGCCTAGCCATAAACCACGATCACACTGTGAATACCCCCTCTAATCAGCGCTTCCTTGTTGTCCCCGTAACCAGCGTTACCGTCCATGCTTGGTGCCAGTAGCATGGGAGGGCATCCTAGTATCGACACCCTCTAGGGCGGAAGGGGTCCTCACACCGGCATCGAGCCGGAGGTTCGTTGCACCGACAATACTCGGTAGTGACTCGAAAGCGGCGCCAGTCATCACCTGAGCGTCGATTTCCTGCCTCCCACTCGCGATCCCACTCGCGATCGCGCTCCCGATCCCGCCTCCGCTCCCGCTCCCGATCCCGCTCACGTTCCCGCTCACGTTCCTGCTCACGTTCCCGCTCCTCGCGATCCCGCTGACGGTCCCGCTCACGATTCCGCCGACGGTCCTCCTCCTGCTGGCGCTCCTCAGCCTCCCTGTCGAGTTGTTGCCTTCGGGTCCTCCACATTTCGTCCACCTCAGCATTGATCCGGGCTTCGTTTTCTCGGACAGCCCTCCTTGCATCCTCGACGCCCCTCGCATAGACTTCACCATCGTGTCGCTGCTCGTCTGCCCTCCGACGATCTTCCGCCTCCCTTCTTTCCCGGTCCTTCATGAGCTCCACCTCGACCTCGTGGGCGATCTCCGCCTTGCGCTGGCGCTCTTTTCGCTCCTCCTCATGCCGATTTAGCTCAGCCTCCAATCTCATCTCGTCCCTGATCCTCTGCTCGGCTCTCTTCTGGTCTTCCGCCTTCCGCCTTTCTTCCTCTGCCTTCTCCCGCATCTCGCGCCTGGTTCGGTCGGCGACGTCCTTGTCGTGAGCTTGTTGCCGCTCGTCCTCACGCCGCTTCTTGTCCTCGCGCTCTCTGCGCTCCGCCTCCAGCTTTGCGACCTCCAGCTTTACGCGCTCGTCGAACTCTCGCTTCCGCCTGTCTTCTTCTTCCCGTTGTGCCCGGCGGCGGCGTTCTTCCGCGTTCTGCTCCGCGACCCGTCGGATCTCGAGCTCTGCCAGCCTTCTTCTGACCTCCTCCCGGATGTAGTGGTCGCGGCGCATGCGTCGGTCTTGGCGCCGTATCTCTCTCTCTTCTTCTTTCATTCTCTTGCTTTCCTCGGCTCGTCGCTTTTCCTCTTCTTCCCGGCGGATCTTTTCGCGCATCTCCTCTAATTGATCTAATGTCCAGACAGCCCGTCAGGTCAGCTGGAACTGTGAACCCGGAAGGGAAGACGTGCCCGAAGGAAAGGAAGGGATGATAATGTGCTTACGTTCAGAGCAGATCCACGGAAGACGGTTTGCATCAACGTCCCGTGGCGCCTGGCGCATACAGCCTTGGACCCTACACTTCCCATGGACGGCACAGCACTTGAGGTGGGGCTCTCTTGGTGTGGGACAGAACAGCAAGTGGCCGGAGCTGGTGTCGGCTATCCATTGGCACGTGTGGTCCTGGCAGTAGTGTGAATAATGTTTGTCGCCTCTGTACGTCTTGCGAACCCGTTTTGCTCCACACCCGCGCTGGTGACAAGGTCTTTTAGGAGCCATGATGGTATGTACTAGTTCTCCTCAGTCGAAGGCCCGGATGGGAACCTTGGGTGGAGTCTCGATATATATCTTCTTGTGACAAGTCGAGATTATTGAGGTTGGATGGTGGGAAACTCGGCTGAGTGGGATCGTTGAGTAGACAGGTATAATGTTTCACAATACGGTCTACCGTTAGGATGAAAGAATCATGTGTGAGATGTTGTCAAAGATATGGCCGGCACGGTGACTCTTTCTTGCTCAAGAAACCAACCACAGGAGCCAGGCAACCTGTTGGGCCCCTCCCTGCTCTGATATACTCAGGCCCGGAAGCAGGTATCAGTCAGGGCAAACCACGCAGGCCCTCCAAGAGGCAACCCGTGTCACCATACCTCAGATCCTCCATCGTGGCTTTGGGGGTCGGCGTCACTTCCAGATGCTTCCAGTGAGTAACACATGCAACAGGCAGGCGCCTGTGAGTTGGATCCGAGGGGCGGCGGCTATCTTGGTACCTCCGGGCAAAGGGCTGTGACGTACACACCCATTCCAGCACTTTGGGGCTTGACTTGCCAAGTGTGGGAAGGTATGACACCGTCTCCGGCACAGGGACGAACTCCTCATCATTTGGCCTCGTGGGCTGAGCGGTGGGCTGAGCCTGTGGCCTGTTGAGGAGGGCCATCAGGAAAATCCGCCTTGTACCTCCCGGTGAGTAGATAGTAGGCGGGGACTGCAAAAGTGTGACTCGGGTATACCCGGCAGGCCCCTCGCTTGGGAGTCAAGAGAGGCGCGAGAGGCTTCATGATGGGTGGTCATGCTCTCAACAATTGTGACTTCATCCCGCGGATGAGAAGGGGTGGGGGCGGGGGGGGGGGGGACACTCGAGCAAAGCCTCCACCGCGAGCAAGGCGGAGTTTGTTGGTCGGGTCTCGTGGACACCGAGGAGAGTGAGTGCGGGCAAGATTAGGAGGGGGACGGGGGAAGGTTCGGGGTTGTTCCCTTTTGCCATTATTAGGTCATGCTGTTTCAAGGCAACCAGGCGGTTAGGCGAGTTGGTGGCCTTTTCTACACATCCAAGTGCGTGTTGCGCGGACTAGCCAGCTGCGCATCTACTTCAACTGGTAGTTCCACGAGCTGAGGAAGACGAAGAGGCCGAGGTGGCTCGGGGTGTAAGAGCGCACAATTGGGAAAGAGGTGGTCTGAAATGGTCTGAATTCTGGTTGTGGGATCTCATACGTGCACGCACTTACACACACACTCTCTCTCTCTCTATTCAGAAACAACGGGATGCGGCCACCACCCGTCCGGCGGCTCAGTGAAAGGTGGTGGGAATATCTGAGAAGGGGGTGTGGATATGGGCCGGCTCGGGGGCCGCAATGAATAAGTAAGCAAAGCGGCGCGCAATGGCTGCGCAGCCGCAAGGAATTTTGGTATGGATTACTACGCGCGTGCTCACCCAGAAGCAAGGAAGCCAGGACGAGGAGCTGAAAGCACTTGAGGGCTAGGCCATATTTGTGTCACCCACCTTCACCACAGCTGAGGCGCCAACGACGCTAGCTGGAGCCTTTTTCTATACTTCCAGGATCCCACTTTTTTTGGAATGGTTTCCCGGAGCTGACACACATATACACACCACCCACGGCACAAACTTAGAATCCCCAGCCTGCCGAGCCATCAAAGAAATGCCTGCTTGGTCGCAGCCTGATTTGTTGCACCTGAGCGGGCAGCTAACTTGGAGAAACGCCGATCCAAGGCCCATCATATGCAGGCTGGCTCCACTGCCGCAACATGTGATACTGTCGCCTAAATCCGAAAATAGTGCACGAAATGGCCGGACAACAACCTGGGAAGATAGAGGACATTTCTGTTCATGCGTGCGACTCCAAGTATGCACAAAAGGCCCGGGATAACGTGGGGGTACTCCGTCCAGATGCAATTCTCACCAGAACTCGGAGGGCCATTTCATCTGGCTGCCGCTCTCTTGGTCCTGTGGTCAGATCAAAGCTGACCACTCCGCGACCAGATCAGCCAGGAACGTTGATCCCACGCACGTGGCCAAGCCCCCAGTCAGATTCAAGAGCCGAGAGCCTGATTTCAGACACCCCCGGCGCTCTTGCGATGCTGCTGCGGCCGCGGCCGTGGCGGCGGCGCAACCAGCCTGCCCCAGCTCCAGTGCGCCTTCGGGTCGGTTAGCAGGCCTCGCATATTTTCCAGATCCTTCTGTCCTGCGCCACCCTGCCGCCGCAAAGCCTCCAGGGCCCGCCGCGCGAACCTCGTCGCATTCGGCGCGTCGCCAAAGACCGCGAAGTTCAGGGCAGCCCTCCTGTAGGCGTATCCGACATAGACGTCTAGCCGATCCTGCTCGTAAAGCCGCACCAACTCCGCGCCCGTCTGGGCCTTCAGGTCGCCGGCCGGAAAGCTCTTGGCCGGGTGGTCAAGGGAGTCTTCCAGCGCCTTGATGCGATCGAGTCGCGCCTCAGATGCTTCGGCCTCGGCGGGGGCGAGCTGGCATTGCTTGCAGGTGCATTTGAATTCCCAGAGGGCGCTCAGGCCCGCCTGTCGGTGGCGAGTTGGGAGTGTCGCGTCGATGTAGCTCAGGCTGAGCTCCTCCCCTGCCTCAATGTCCCGGACCGCGATGGTGATGTGAGTGATTCCACGGAAGTGATATGCGAGACTAAGCCCAGAGGCAAGTGTCAGCTTTGGCTCACTCCCACTAGCAACTGCAATACTGGCCTTGGTCTGCAATCGTGATTGATCAAAGCCTGCTCTGGAAAGGCGCCGACGTATCGTACGTCGTCATCATCCCGACCTGTGTGAATCTCAAAGCCGTTGCGATTGAGAATAGTAGTGACGTCGTCCCCAGCCTGGGATAAGAATTCGTCCCTGGCCTCACGTGGCAGATTCTCCAGGACCATGTCATATAGACTGGCCCGCCGTTCGGGTTGAAGCTCCAGATGTGCATGGATAGGCAGTGCCAGGATGGCATCTTCAGCTATGATTTGTTCTCCCTCGAGGATCTTCCTGCTCGCTATCAGTCCCCTGCCCTTCCCAGGTATCTCGGCAACATGACATGGAATGGCCTCTAGAAGTGTCTCTGGGTGAATTGGGCTTTTCGGCCGGATGTAGAAATGGGACTGGACATGTTTTGCGACTTCAGGCGTTGTGCACAAGACAGCCCAACGGTGTTTGGATACGGCTTGGTTAGAGTACACGCAGAATTCACCCTGACAATCAAGGGGCCCATCCCATGAGCTGGAAGGCGAGAGTTTGTCATGACGGTAGATCCCCAGAGCTTTGCTCGTGGCTGCACATGCGGATGGCCCGGATGCCAATTGGGATGATGGGCATGTTGCACGGGTTGCAAGGCCATGAACCACGTTGACGAAGGTGAAGGCGGCGATTGCGATTGTGGACTTTGTTAGGACCAGCATTTCTGAGCGCTGACATGTCACCCTGACTTGTCATTCCGACATGTCACACTGAGAATGCCGTCTTGATGTCGAGACCTCAGGCTTGCAGTTACTGAGATGGTGAACATGCCAAAACATTGCGCATGTTCGAAGCTAATAAGCACAGCCGTCGCACGACCGAACCTTATCATCATCGTGTTGAAATAAATGCCCGTGACAGACCCGAGCAGGGATGCATGATTTGTGGGTGCGATTCTCCGATCCAGTCCATGAATCTTATCACGTGCAATGGTGGGAATTGTGCACGGGAGTTGAAGCTGTCGTTGTTCGAGGTCGACGATGCAGAGTGAAGCATGCATTTCGTGCTCGAGGTGCTGTGCCTGCAGCGATCATTGATGGACCCGAGACTGTCACAGGAGTATCCCTGCAGTAGAGCTCGGGTGGCGGGGTCTGGGTCTCCACCTTAGCTGCCGCGTTTCCCCAGAGCCTGCCTGATGCTGGGGGCCTGTTGCAGGTGGGACGTCATCCTGAAAACCTTGGAACGTCCAGCGCGTCTCGAGTCGCGACACTCTTCAACTGCGATACGGAATATCAACATATCGCCCTTGCACCCCCCTTAAATATACGACCAGGACAAGAGGACACCAAAAATGCCACCTGATCGCCCCCGAGCGAGTCTCACGGGCCGCATCAAGAACTCGCACTTCGTGGACTACGTCTGGCGCGCCTTCCGCTCGGCTGCTTACCCGATCCAGGGCGTCTGGTACTTCTCGAAGCAGGGCAAGTTCTGGCCCCTGTGGGCTGGACGCCTGCTGCCGTTGTCGCTGGTGTCTCTAACTGTCTACCTGATCTTGTTCCTGTTTGCATACCTCCCGCAGGTTGCTTTCCTGGCCATATGGCAGGGCCGAGGAGCATGGTTCAGCGCCATGATCTTGACCTTGGGAGAAGGGCTGGTGATCATTCAGGCCCTCTTCGAGGGCTTCTTTGTTGACGAGGCGCGGGTGGATGTTTTTGACGTGAGTTCTCTTTTCCAACGGGAAACCACTACGGAAGCTGACATGTCCTCGTAGGCTACCCTGATCGATCACGACCTTGCCAGCCTCGTTGCCCCCCACCGCCTACTCTTCCCCGACGCCCCCAACTCTGTCAAGATGCTTGGGAAGCCAACGTCGCGCGCCGAATACACGCCATGGAGCTTCAAACAGATCATAGAGCTGGTGGTCTTTCTGCCGCTCACCTTCATCCCTGTCGTTGGTGCGCCGGCCTACATCGTCATCACGGGGACACGCTTGGGGAAGCTGAGCCACTACAGGTGGTTCAAACTGCGGGGGCTCAGCAGGAGCGAGAGGAAGGAGGAGGCGAAGAAATACTCCTGGGACTATGTATGGTTCGGCACCATGGCCATGGTGCTGGAGCTCATCCCGCTGCTGAGCTTTTTCTTCCTGTTGACCACCACGGCGGGTTGTGGCCTGTGGGTTGCGAAACTGGAGGGCAAGGCGAGGGGCCATTCAAATGAAGAAGGGGCGAGGGCAGAGGAAGGACGGGCTGTTGTGCCATCGGAGGCGAGCGGGCGAGGTGGTGCTGCGGTGGAGGAGCGCGATGACCCTCCACCGCCATACTCGGACGATCCGATCTAAGTGGCTCGAATGAATGGATGGGTGGGTGAGTCGAGATTTTGTTTTTATCCGAGACAAATCCCACAATTCTTGTCAACAATCTCAGATGGTTTCAAGTCTCCGAGACTTCTGGAGGGCTGTGATCAGGTTTGCAATTTGTAACCTTGGCAGTACGTTCGTCTCGTTCTTTTATACCAGCCTCGGCATCAAACTTGCCCCAGAGAAAAAGAGTCTCTTCATGTCGGACAGTGTGACGCAAGCACACGGCTCGAATGCAAGATTGACGGATTGAAAGGGGCTCCGTGGAACGCTCTTGGCCGCTGCATCTCAGGCACTACCAAATTGGACGGCTGTGCGCAGATGGCAGGTCAGGTTCTGTCATGTTTGGCAGTAGTTCCCTATGCATCCAATTTACCAGCTCTCTGGGCGGCGCAAGTCATGCATGGGCACGGCAACATGTACACGGGGAGCAGCATGGCACGGCAAGGGGGACTGCTCGTCGCACCCACGGGTTCGTCGGGAACACCACACGGTCAGAGGCGAGATCATCAAGCGGCGCAGGCACACAGTCCATCTCTACCATGGGCAATGTGGTATCCGAAGTCCCACAGTAATGTGCCTTGACGAGGAGGAGCACACGGGTGGCACTGGGGAAATCATGAGACCTCTTCTTTTGTCGATATGCCAGTCTCCACTGTCCCTTCCTTCCCATGCACGCACTCACCTCACCTGCCTGCTGCACCGGCATGAACGACCTCCACTGACGTCGAGATTCTCGGCCGAGCTCTGGCATCGAGCACGAGCTTGCCAGGGAGGTTTGCTTGCTATTGGTCGGTAGTTGGGAAAGAGAAAGAAGGAGTAGATGGCCGCACCCATACATGCCTCTGCCTGGTCGGGAAGCGCATTGCTCCTTCCATATACAGCACAACTGCTCCCCTTCCACCTAACCTAGACACTTCCTTCCCTTCCGACTGAGCATTGCCCTCAAGGTGTCAGTTCCCTTCTCTTTCGCACCTTTCGCCCACCTCTTCGTCCACCTTCGTTCCCATCCACGCTCTCGACCATCCACCCTCATCATCCACCCTCACCCATCCCCTTTACTTCAGCACCTCTCCCACAGACACCACGGCGACAGTGTCTTCTGTCTTTCGTTTGCCATCAGTGAAAGGCCTCATTCCCTTCCTTGTCGTTTCTGCATCTTGACGGCTTTTACATCCTTTTGTGCCTTAGGCAATCTTCAGCCACACTTTCTCCCCGTCACCATCGCCACCTCAGCATTCTGAGCGGGTTGCGACCGACAAGATGCGTTTCAGGGCGTCATTGGGCCCTCTTGCGGCTTTGGCCTTACTGCCACTTGCCATGGCCCAGGCTTCTGACGAGTAAGTTCTATTTGAGGCGATGCCTTCAAGCTCCCTGGATGGTCTTTCCGTCCATCCGCACGAAGCGTCTCGGCCTTCTGGGCAGATGCTGACTGCCTGCCTTCGACCTCCAGCGGCGCCGCAACCTGTGCTCCCGAGACCGTTTTCATCACCGTCGGAGCACCTGTGCCTACCCTTTCGTTCGCCACCACTGTCATGAGCATGGTCAGCACCGAGACCGTCGCCGTCTCCACTGTTACTGTCTTTCCTGAGTCCGAATCTGTCACCACTTCTGTCTCTACCAGCTTCTCTGCAACTGCGTACCCGCTTCCTTCCGAGTCCACCCCGTCCACCCTGGGAACGACTTCCACCTCTTCAGGTAAGTTGAGTTGGTAACTTTTCATGCTCTCGGTCTTTGTTCCTTGCTTGGCAAATCCGATTGCTGATGACCTCTGTCCCTCAAAGTGTCTATGTTCCCTCCACCTCAGACAATGACCTTCGCGGAGACTTTCACAGTCCCTGTTGGCCCTACAAGTTCCATGTACATTGGCACCGTCACCCTCACCGAGGGCTGCCCTGCCGAAAATGGTTGTGAGACCGGGTCCGGACCTCCTGCGAGTGTGCCAATTCCTACAGGCTCAGTAATTCCCACAGGCTCAGCAATTTCCACAGCCCCAGCAATTTCCACAGCCCCAGCAGTTCCCACAGGCTCAGGTCTGACGACCTTCTACCTGACGACAACAATCACTTCAGGGTACAGTCCCCAGGTCGTTGCGACTAGCACATACACGGTCATTGAGCCGGCTCCCACTTCAAGCTCCAGTCACCACATGGTCACTGCCAGCTTTACCCTCACTGTGGGCACTGTGACCGGGCCTGGGTCAGCAGAGTCTACCTCTACCTCTGCTCCTGTGGCCTCTGCAGAGCCTCCGCCAGGGTCTGTTGCCAGCTCACTATCCGTGCCTTCTTCCTTCACCACTCTCACGTCGGCTGCCTCCCTTCCATCTCCATCGGTCTTCACCATCACACTTCCTGGCCTTCCTGGATCATCAGTGCAGGTGATTACAATCACAGCGGCCACCCCTATCCCTGGTGGCCCAACCGCTAGCAGCTCGTCGACTGAGGAGGCATCAGCAACTGGGGTCCCAGCAGTCGTCACACAGACGACCACCTTGTTCTCCGGGACAACCGAGATCCCAGGCCCTCCACCCTCGACAGTGGTCACCTCTGTCATTTTCACCTACACAGTCTCGAGAGGGGATCTCCCCATCGCCACTCTCACTGAGTCGACAGAGTTCACCTACGTTGCTTCGGCTGGAGCCGTCGGGATATCTCTCACGACCGTGGCAACCGTGACCGCGTTGAGCACCGAGACCGTGCTGGCTTCAACCGGTATGCTTTCACATATTCCCTCGTCATTCTTTCGCTTTGGCCAGATCACTGATTCCTTCCAGGTCCCTCCCCTCCCGCTTCTGAGCCGACCACCACGCCTCCACCATCACTGTCGCCCAGTGCCTCGGGTATCCCCTCGTCTCCACCATTTGCCAATAGTACCACCAGCATCCCAGCGATTGTTTCGACTGTGTTTATCAATGGAACGGCCGTTGCCACCAGCCTCATCGTACCTCTCAACTCCACAACAGCCGTCGCTCCACTGCCCACTGGCTCAGACACCACGGCGCCTCCTCCAGGCGTGGTCACGGGCAGCCTCACAACCATCGTCACCAATGGTACAGTTTCTGTCACAAGTGTCATCGTCCCCCCAAGCCCTACCACAGCTGCTGCGCCCCCACCCTCTGGCAGTGAATCCTCTGCTTCCGTCCCACCAAGTGAGGTTTCGTCTACTGGTGCCCTCACAAGTGTCACGACTATAAGCATCAGCGGATCAGCTGCCGCAACAAGCTTGATCATTATCACTGACTCGAGCACCGTCTTTGCACCACTACCATCCGAGGACACGTCCCTACCGCCACTGCCAGGACCTTCTACCACACCTCCTCCCTTCCCGACAGGCAATGGTACAGCATCAGCAATGCCGCCATCTGATACTGGTGCCAGCTCTCCGCTGCCTACCTCCGCAGCCGCACCGAGCAATGCGACGGAGTCCGTCCCGGCTTCGACTAGCGCCTCTGTGCCGTTGAACTCGACCACCATAATCACAACGAATGGAACAGCATCGACTGCCACCAGCATTATTGTGTCGCTGAACTCCACCACCTTGGCGCTCCCGCTTCCTACAAATGTAACGGCTCCTGCATCTGGCAATGGTACCGCACCCACCCCGTTCCCAGGCAATGGAACCACGGCGTCAGGCACTGCTCCTTCACCTTCCGCAGCCAACGGCACCGCTCCTGCACCGACAGGTAACGTAACGGCACCTGCCATTCCTGGCCCTTCTGCAAGCGGTGCAGCTCCGACATCTGCCAACGGCACTGTGCCCGCCACACCTTCTGCAAACGCCACCAGCGTAGCGAACGGGACTGCGCCTGCAGCCTCCGGACCAGCTAACTCGACGGCTCCCACTATTCTCCCAACAGGAGAACCATCGCCCCCGGCCAATTCAAGCTTGCCCTCTGGACCCCCAGCAAATGCCACCGGTAGCCCACTCCCCACCTCAGAGCCGTCATTGAACACAACTGCGCCCGTCAACATCACAAGTCCTGCTCCCACATCCCGGGCATCTACATCCGGTCGTCCTGGTCAGGGCGGTCAAGGTGGTGCTTCATCCAGTGCTCCCGCTCAAGGTGGCCAGGGTGGTCAAGGCGGCCAGGGTGGTCAAGGCGGCCAAGGAGGTGCTTCTTCCACAGCTGCTCCACAAGGTGGCCAAGGTGGTCAAGGTGGACAAGCTGGTCCTACTTCCAGTCCTCGTCCTCAAGGCGGCCAAGGAGGCCAAGGAGGTTCTTCCTCAAGCGCCGCTCCTGAAGGTGGCCAAGGCGGTCAAGGCGGACAGGGTGGACAAGGCGCCCCTACTTCAAGTCCTCGTCCTCAGGGCGGCCAGGGTGGACAGGGCGGCTCTTCCTCGAGTGCACCCCCAGAAGGTGGCCAGGGTGGACAAGGTGGACAAGGCGCCCCTACTTCCAGTCCTCGTCCCCAAGGCGGCCAAGGAGGGCAAGGCGGCTCTTCCTCCAGTGCCGCTCCTGAAGGTGGCCAAGGCGGTCAGGGTGGACAGGGTGGACAAGGTGCCCCTACTTCGAGTCCTCGTCCTCAGGGCGGCCAAGGTGGACAAGGTGGTGCTTCCTCAAGTGCACCACCTCAGGGTGGACAGGGTGGTCAAGGCGGCCAGGGGGGTCAAGGCGGCCCTACTTCAACTCCTGCACCTCAAGGTGGACAGGGTGGTCAAGGAAATCAAGGTGGCCAGGAGAGTCCAATTCCTCAAGGTGGCCAAGGGACTCAGAGTGGCGAGAATGGCGAGGGCGGACCAACTCACGGTGGATCTAAGGGTGCCGTACCTCGGCCTCGTCCGAATCCTCTCCAGGGCGCACCTGTTCAAACCGAATCATCGGAGTCGTCATCGCATTCGACTCGATCTCATTCGACTCCAGGTCAGAGTGACTCGGCCGAGCTCCACCAGTTCGAATTTGTTCAAGGACACTCGACACTTGCTTCAGTTCTCAAGGCCCGGTCACAGCCAAAAGAGACGGCAACACCCTCCTGCGTCAACTTCCCCGGCAACAACAACATGGTTATTGATGTGAGTGCCTCTTGGATTACCATAGCTGATGCCTCGCTGACCACTGAGACAGTTTGACGATCTCCCTGGCCTGCACATAGCACCTGGCACCGACCTTGATAAAATCGACCCTGATCACACTCCCAGTCCTTACCGCCATCTCACTTGGTCTGAGGGCATCAAGATCATCCCTCGCTCAGCTGCGCCCTACCAGCCATCTTCTGGAGACCTGATGCTCCAGGTTCCAAATGATTTGAAAGATGATCAGCTGGCAAGAATTAGCGTTGGTGACCTTCAAGCCAATCCATGCTTCCGGTTTGACTTCACCGGTATGCAGGCCGGATGCGCGTCCAAGAAAGCCAGTTGCATGTTCAACATCACCGGCCTTTCGTGGGACGAGGAAGCTCAGGCTGAGGTCGTCGTGGGGAACTCGGTGTCCAGCACAAGAGCTTGCTCCCGCCAAAACAATTGCATGCTTCGGCCTCTGATCCCGGACTCGACAGCCGGCCTGCAAAATCTCACCTCGGTTCTCATTGACGTCACCGCCAGGAACCAACCACAGAAATGGTGGGCAGACGACGTTGCGATCACCTGGACCGACGCTTCTTGCGATGCAGCTTCCTGCCGCTCCAATGTGAGAGACATATACCCTCGTCGTGGTCACAGTCAGGGTATGACCCAAATTGTCAAGCTGGCCCACCCCTGAACTGTTACATTCTCGTTCCAGCATGTTTTGCTGATGTTCAAGACGTTTGTGTGGCCCATGGTCGGCGGCTTCTCTTGTGCATTGTCATTGCGAGACACGACTGTTGCTATCTCAGTGTTTTTTTGGAGCCATCTCTTTTGAGAGGTCGTTTACACTCGGTGTAAAAAGATTGTTCGGTTGTTCATCTGACCATAATGTATTTTGGGGCAAAAACGTCGAGGAGTAATGGTAGAGGGAGGGCTACGATCAATCCATGTTCCAACCTGGCGATGAGAAACTTTGGTCTGTGCGAGAGATAGTCTTCGAGCTCCTTCAGAATTTACAAGGCACAGAATCCAATTGACTAGTTGCCATTCACCTGATTCGAGTCGTCCATGCAATAGGTGCAAGTGCCGACTTGCTGTCACGCGTGGCTCAACCTCGCCGAGGTCGGCCTCAATCGGCTGTCGGCCAGTGTCCGCATCATTGGGACCGGGCTTTGACAGCCGGGAATAAAAAATAACCAGCATATCCCGCCATTTGCCCCGTGCAGTTTACGCCCTTCCCCAGAGACCTACGAGACTCCCTTGCTTTCGGAAGCATTGAGTTTGTCATAACTAGCCCGGAAACCTGGGGAAGGAGGATTTCGCCCCACACAACCAACCGTCTAGCAATGGTTATCGATCGGAAATTCCTGCCCGAATATAGGGGCTAGTAAGGATTAAAAGCTGCCGTTCTCCAGCTAACAGATAGTTACTGGTCATCTCTCGTATGCATGAGTCAATGGCAACCACAGCAGTTCTGGAATTCCTTTATCCGGACATAGACTTTTCTGTGTCTGCGCCGGCATTCTTCCCCGTTCAATGCTGCATTTTCATCGAGTCAGGATTAGCTCTTCAGCATCAATAAGGATGAGATCGGGGCAGAGGTTCCCTTCTTAGATTCACACTCCTTCGCTCTGTCGGGTACCCTGAGTCCCTGACATCGATCTCGGGACCCATCCTGAATTCGGTCGTGACGCAGCATCGCCAACTGGGCAGCTCCCGGCAGCGACTGCCGACCGAAATACAATGGCTCGCTCCCCATCAACAACAAGCAGCATTAGTACGGACCTCGATCCGTCGACCAGTCCCGAGCGAGAGAAGCACATAGACTACATCGACATAGAGCAGGGGCGAGGAAAGGGCGATGGCCACATGCACGGAGGCGACCCGGAGAAGCAATCTGCTGCCGGGGGGCTTCGGCGGCCGACGCAGGACTCAAATACCGAGGCCATTCCCGGCGTGAGGCTCGACGACAGCGACGACTTCAAAGATGGCGGCCGCGGCGGTACCCACGAGGAAGAAGAGGAGGACGCCGCTGTCGGCGCCAGCGCCACAGATGACGACGATGACGGCCGCGCAAGCAGGCACCGCGGAAGCCTCGCCGCGCGCGTCATAAGCCGCACCACCAGCAAGTCGAGCTTCAACCCTGGCCCGCCGCCCGACGGGGGCCTGAGGGCGTGGACGTCGGTGGCGGCCGGCCACCTGGTCATCATGAACACTTGGGGGTATATCAACTCGTTCGGGGTGTTCCAGACGTACTATGCTAATGAGCTGGCGCTGGGCCCGCCCGCGACGATTTCCTGGATCGGGTCTATCCAGGTGTTCTTGTTGTTTTTTATTGGGACTTTTACGGGGCGGATGACGGATGCTGGGGTAAGTTCTGAAGGTTTCAAGGTTGCTTGCTGTTCGTTGTTAGTTATTGTATCTTGGCCTGCGGCTTACACTGAACCTTGTGCCGCATGAGCTCTTGTCGTGGTTGGTCACCTGGGACAGGGCGGCTCCGAGTGGAGAGAGCCTTGGAGACCGACTGTTCGGAGGCATGGTTACATCTGCTTATTGCTTATTTCGACCTACCCGGCCCAGGCGCCACCATCGCTGACCAAGAGGTGCCCCTTAGTACTTCCGCGAGGTGTTCCTCCTCGGGACCACCTTCCAGCTCCTGGGCATCTTCACGACGGCCGTGTGCACCAAGTACTGGCAGCTCTTCCTCGCGCAGGGCGTCTGCATGGGCCTCGGCAACGGCTGCCTGTTCTGCCCCACGGTGGCGACGGTGTCGACGTACTTTAGCAGGAAGAGGGGGCTGGCTATCGGTATGACGGCGTGCGGCAGCGCGACGGGCGGGCTCATCTTCCCGGCCATGGCGAGGCAGCTGCTGCCCTCGGTCGGGTTCCCCTGGACCGTCCGGGCGATCGGGTTCATCCAGGCCCTGGGGCTGGTTCTGGCCAATATCGGCCTGAGGAGGCGGATACCGCCGCGCAAGGCCGGGGCGCTGGTCGAGTGGGCCGCGTTTGGGGAGCTTGAGTATACCTTTTATGCGGCCGGGAGCTTCACCGTGAGTCTGCCCCGCGAAACGCAGCACCGTCTATCTATCTCATGTCCCCCATCCTTCGTGCGTGTGAGGCTGACCTTCAAACCCAACCCACCCCCCAGTGCTTCCTCGGCGTCTACTTCGCATTCTACTACCTAGCCTCCTACTCCCGCGACATCACGGGCCTCTCCTACACGGACTCGCTCAACCTCCTCCTCCTCCTCAACGGCATCGGGATCATCGGCCGCCTGGTGCCGAACCACCTCGCGGACCGGTGGGGCGCCCTCAACGTCTTCGTCCCCGTGGCCGTCGCGGCGGGCATCTGCCAGCTGACGTGGGCCGCCGTGTCCGGGCCCGCGGGGCTCTACGCGTGGGCGGTCTTCTTCGGGATCGCGGCGGGGGGCATCCAGTCGCTGTTCCCGGCGGGGCTGAGCAGCCTGACGACGGACCTGCGCAGGGCCGGCACGCGGATGGGGATGGTGTTTACTATTGTCAGCTTTGCGACGCTCACGGGCCCGCCTATCGCCGGGGCGCTTATCAGTGCGTGTGGGGGAAGGTATTATGGCGCGCAGGCGTTTGCGGGGTCTGCTATGATTGTGGGCGGGGGCTTCATGGCTGCTGCTAAGGTTGTTAAGCAGAGGAGGGTCGGGGGTGGGTGGAGGACTAAGGTGTAGGTGGTTTCGCTTCTGTTCCGTGTACGTCTGAGGATATATATACATGGCGCCTACATACAGTGAGTGGTAAGCGCTCAAGACCCGGCGCTTGAAAAGGAGACGATGTTGATGACTATATTCATAATATGGTAGGTGCTTATGGCCTCAGCCTTACGACTCACAGACAACTTGAAGGCTAAGGGGCACCGTCTTGACGACGGCGTTAACGAGAACGCCATGATGGAGTACTAAGGTCTAGATGGTTGGGTGGGCGGGTGGATGGCGTAGATGGCACGGATATTCATGTGTCGGTTGCATCGATACACGGGCATAGATGTCTCGGCATTGTTCTTGCATCAATGATAGATAATACTTACCTCTGCCTCATGTCTCACCGGCTCCCCATATTCTTTTGCTGCCAGGCTGCCTTTGGGCTTTGCTGTGCTCTCGCCTGGGCCGAGGATCGTGCCAGGTGACTGTCCCACAGTACCTCGTTCTATCTATTTGACAGTATCGGGCTCTTGTACTTTCTAGTATTTGGTACTAGGACAGCGTATATCACAGCACACGGAGGCTGGAAATCCGAGAGTATACTATTTGGACCACAAGGGATGGGCATCAACAATACGTGCGTCCTGGGGCAATGGACGCTTTTAGGATATTCGCATCTTCTCTTTCAAGTCTGCAAATGTTGCTTTGCGACAACTCCCTCCTCGCGGGCGCAAGAGGACGGCTAAATACCACCGCCTTTACTTCGACCCGGGCCCTTTGAGGAACAGACCAAACACATCCAACAGCTTGTCAAGCACGCTCGGGTCTCGGCCTGCCAGCTTGTCCAAGATCTGCCTGCGCCCGGTGTCTCCCCCACTGGACACTTTGACCACACGCGACTCATCCTCCTCCGCATCCGCTGCCGCCTGGTATACCTTGGCGACGCCGTCTCCCCCAACGGCATAAGGCGCGAACGGCTCCGCGCCGTTGGCAAAGGCCAGGAAGTCCCCAGCCATCTGCTCAGCGGTGGCCCTCTGGCCCGGGCCGAGGAACGCGTTGTAGTTGCCCAGCAGGATCGCAATGTCCAGCGCGTGCGTGGCGTGGCCCTGCCACAGGCCGGGCCACGGGTTGGGCATGTTGAAGTGCGCGAGGAACGAGCGCGTCCCGAGCCGGGGCCCGGCGCCCGCGAACGCCCCCGCCGTCGCCCTCGCGGGCTGCGCGAAGCCGATGTCGTTGATGAAGTTGAGGACGGGGACCCTGTCGGCGTTGGACTCGCTGATGCCGTAGCCGTCGAGGAGCGCCGTGACCGTGGCCGGGTCGTCCGCGAAGACGGCCTCCAGAGCGGTCCTGAGGGACGCCGCCAGGTTGTCTGTGCGGGCGGCGAGGGCCGTCAGGCCGATGATCATGCCGTCGAACTGGCCGTCCTCCACCAGGACGGACTTGCAGTACGCGGTGCCGGGGAACTCCTTCTCGAGGGCGCCCGTGTCGGCGAGCGCGGCGAACGACGTCGTGGAGCGCACGACGTCGCCGTCCTCGGCCGCGGTCAGGGGCACCGGCAGGTGGCCGACCCTGGCCAGGAGCTCCCCCGCCGGGACCGCGAGGAGCGACCTGACCTGCTCGGCCGGCGGCTGGGCGTCGATGCCGAGGATCTCGGCCGCGATCCCGTAGGCGGCTTCCGAGACCTGCAGCGGGACGGGCTGGATCAGGGGGCTGCCGCCGTACGCGGCCAGCCGGGTGAAGAGAGGCTCGGGGGACTGGAGGTGGAAGAAGCCGGATGCTATGTGCTGTCACTTCAGCTGGGGGTCCCCTCGGGCTCGCGGGACGCATTTCAGTATGAACCCACCGGCGCCGGCGCTGCTGCACAAGAGGGTGACCTTGGCAGGGTCGCCTCCGAACCCCTTGATGTGCTTCTGGACCCAGCGCAGACCGACCTTCTGGTCGTCGAGGCCGTTGTTGGCTCCAAACCCGGCGTCCCTGAGGGCCGACGAGGTGAGGAAGCCAAACGGGCCCAGGCGGTAGCTGGTGATTTGTCACCGCGTCAGCACTCTCAGATCGTGTACTACTACTACTAGTACCGTACTCCTATACTAGATACTCACTTGATCCCCACGGCGACCACGGGGCCGCCCAGCTTGACGCTCCGCTCGACCAGGGGGGCGAGGTCCCACTGCGGCCAGCTAGCGCTGCCGGTCGCGAAGCCGCCGCCGTGGATGAAGACGACCACGGGCAGCGGCGCGGCGCCCGCGCCCCTGGCGTCGAGGGACGGGGCCGAGACGTTGAGCGTGAGGCACTCGGTGGCGCTGAAGGCGTACGCCGGGTGCGGGAGGGCGTGCTGCAGGAGCAGGTGCTCGTTGTCGACGTTGTTGGGGTCGGCGACCGGCAGCGGCCTGCCCAACCTGTGTCAGCCAAGGGGTGACTAGATCCTGATCCGGGGTAATCACGAAGACAATGGTTCGTCGTCTGTCTCACCCGGTCTCTGTCGCCCGGATCGGGCTCTTGTACGCCTCGACCAGCTTGCCCCTGGCGAAGGCGTTCTCCAGCGTCGCGTACTGGATGCCGAGGTACTGCTCCACGTGCGCCTGGCCCTGTGGCTGCACGCCGTGGACCTGTCCCAGGGACGGGTGCTCGAGGATTGTTGCCTTTGATGCCATTGATGTTCTCCACGCTCCTTGGTTGTTGTTGAATACTCGGATATCTCAGCCGGTGTGTGAGAGCGCCGGCCTGGTCCAGGTGGGACATACGGATATATCCATGCGGCCCAGGGATTGGGGGGGAACAATTTTCCCTAGCTGCGGCATCTGGGTTGAGTTGTACAGCATGCTTGCATGTCAATTGGTACCAAAACACGTGCGGGGCCGGGAGAAGGCCACGGAAGGAAGCGGGGATACGGAGTAGCTGCGCGCTCCGGCGCTCCGGCACCTGGGACGGCCAGAGGATAATTATTCCAGGCTTGAGATTCCCACCATGGTTGGCTGTGAGAAACGAGTGACAAGCACCTTCTCATAACCCCAAAGACAATTTTGGAAATATAACGTTCATAATGCGCTCTTTAGCAACAGGCCGACGCCTTCGGTCTCCGCACGGCTCAGACCAGGCTCGGAATACCACAGCCACCGCAGCCAATTCCGGTCCGTGGAGCGGAGCCAGCTGGCACGCCTGTGTCGAGAAGTCCCGGAAATAACGGCACCGGGAGCACGCTTGTAAGGCTCAGACATGCTCCTGGGTACTACTCGATTTGAGCCTGTCTCAGGTGCACTCCGACTTGGGCAGCCCGGACCATGCAATTGTGTTTTTCAAGCTGTCCTGCTTGTAACTTCGGCCTAAGCTTCTCGGTTTCAAGATATTGATCACTCAGAGACAAACCATCTCCGACAGCTACGTCGGGGTGCGTAAGCCAAAGACGTGCAGATGGTCACGGTCTGGTCTGCTGATGAATGGCAGCAAAAAGATGGGCAAGGGACGAAACTCACTGCTACCTATCTGCATACATACAATACATCAGCAACAATGCCCTTCTTTGAGACGGTACCTGGCTTCAGACAAGTCTGAGCCAGGAATATTCCCCCGATGAAGCAATGTTGACACAGTCAAGTTGTCGAGTGTTCTCATCTTTACAGGATGCCCAACCACACTTGTGGCGTTTCACCAAGCTTGTCAGAGTCATCGCTGTGGAGACACTGGTATTTCCACCATGAGAGATGCAATTGTCATGTTACCACCAGACAACTTTTCCATCGTGTCTGCTCTCACGTAGTGGTGTTTATTGTTTACTCAAGGTATGACGAGATGGAACACCAGCTTGAGCAGAGGGCTAATTATTGCACCTTGGTCCAACGGAACCCGGGACTCGGATCCTGCTGCTGGACAGGCCAGTGAGTGACGCAAATCCAAGGCGCAGAATGGATCTCACGCGACTGGTTTCAGAACCGCCCGGCCCTTTCAAAGGTTTGGTTTAAGCTTTTCGTGCGGCAGCTTGAAGTGCTGGCTCGTGTAGTGGTGTTCTTCGGCCGCGTCGCTGCTCCCGGCGCTGCACACGCCTCAGGCTTGGGTGCCCACATATGACCCACAGATTGGTAAACCATTCTTCCCGGATGATCCAGACCCAACAACAATGTCATCTCATGTTTTATTAGGAACCACAACAGTGTGGTTCCGATACTGCCTTTCGCACAACAGCTGGGTCTGCCGCCGTGCAGCGGCCCGGCAGCTCGACACCTGAGGTACATTTGAGGGAAGAAAAGGCAAAAAGAAAACATACAGCACCGGGTATTCGCTGGTCGTCACCGACCCAACTACTAATCCAGCGATTACAGGTTTGACTAAGGGAGAGCGGACGGGATCCCGTATTTTCCTGTATCTATGGCCGTATGTGCTTGGATGTGGCCAAAGATTTCTTATATACCTAGATAGCAAGCTTGTGTGACTCAGAACAAAAAAAGGGGGGGTGAACGGAAGTCCCATATTCTTCCAAGTACAATGTGACTAAAAGGGAATGAAGACCTCATTTCAGCTGCAAATATATGACTCGTGGTGCCTTGACAAAAGACACATGCACACCGACTGATTTACCAGAAAAGGTTCTCAGTTACTACACCGAATTAGTTCTGCATATTATACCGCAGCCGAGTCTTCCTCAACCTCACTTCTATCATGTCTATTCGACTGGAAATGCTCCTTGTTGTTTTCCGCATAAACAAATATTGGCATTTACAGGCCGAAGCCAGATTGGAGCGTTTAAGCAGTAGTTGCCCCGGGTTCACTACTCACTTGCGCCATTGGAATCCGCCCTTGCGCCTCGCTGCTGAAAGCCTCAGCTGCCCTCTCGGCTATAACTGTTTCCAGCCGCTTACCAGCTTCCTCCCAGCTATAATCATCCTGGTTCCACTCCGGATCCTTGTCACTCGACAAACTCGTGAAGAATAAAGATTTAAGCGCACGGCCTGCGCCGGGATACTTCTTCTCAAGTTCGAGAAGTACGCCCTTGACTGTCCATTTGTTCTCATCTTTGAGTTTCGGATCTCTGAAACCGAACTTGTCAGGTTTGGCTTGAAGCGGCACACCATATGCGGCAGAGCTCCTAGAAACATCCCTAGTGTCCCAGCGCTTTCTCCACACAACAGGCGACGGAGATTATTCTCTGCCGGTTTGAGCCTCGAAATGGTGGTCAGATACTTATCATTCATATCTCAATCTCTTGACGCACTCGGAACGACACCATATATCGCCATTGAGTCACGTGAGAGCCGCTGGGCTGGGGAACTTGTCTCAGAACTCTCTTCCTAGTTGCCAAGTTGCGCGGCTGCAGATCATGGCAGACGAGGTTTCTCTGAGCCTCGGCAAGGGAAACAATGTACTGTTCTGGATAGACACACTGTGTCTACCCATAACCAGAGATGGGACAGGGGTGGCTTCGACTCCTGTGCGGCATATCTTCTCTGTTGCAGAGGCCGTTCTGGTCCTTGACCCGCCTCTCTATGAGCACACATTCAATTCAAGCCAAGAAGCTCTGATACGAATTCGTTATTCTCGGTGGAAAGAGCGACTATGGACATTGGAAGAGGGGACGACTGCACGACGCCTTTTCTTCCGTTTCTCGCACGGCACATTCACACTAGAGAGTCTTTTGTCATCCATGGAGGAAGGCTACGACAACGACCTTTTGAAATGGGTTGTCCGGCAGACCCAGCCTTGGGGACTGGCCCACGACTTACCTGAGAAAATAGCTCTGCCTCGACTTGTGGAGTGTCTTGCGGATGATTTACAGGCCCTAAGGGGAAAGTGGAAGGACGCTCGGGAAACCACAGGCCTCGATAAAGAGAAGCTGAAGAGGATACTGCGGTTGGGCTACCTTGCCAACCCAGCATTCCGCTACCTTGCTGAAGAGGATGAGTATGAGGGGATACTGGCGATCTGGGCGCCTTTGATAAAGATCTATGGCGGCCCAGGCTATGAGAGCCGGAGACTCTCCAGAAGTGGACATGATTTGACGGATTTGGTGGATCGACTGACAATTTTAAACTGAATTTCACTGGCAGGGGAGTGAAGGCAAGATCCTAGAGACGCTTTTAAACCTTTATCGGCCTTGTATGTTTTTTCTTTCCTCGTACGCTGGGTCTCTGAGCGGTTACCACTGTGTGAAGGCGCCGTGTATGTCTTCGGACTCATGCCAAATGCTACCGAAACCAGGTACTTCAGCAGCCTTCCATTCACCTCCCCGGGGCTCACAAACAGGAGCTAGTTGGACTTTCTTAATTGGGTAGGCATTAGAGGGTACATATGTAACGTCAGGCGTTGAGACGGTCAAATGGAATGATAGACATGTTTTCAATTACTGCCACTAACTGCTTCTGGTCCATAAACTGAAACTTCTGTGTGAAGTTGAACATAGCAGCCGAAACGAGAAAGAAAACACCTAGGTAAGCCAGCTGTTGTAGGAAAGCGACGCGTTTGCCAGAACACTAAGTCTACACATCAAACTGCCAGTCGGGCCGACCGTCCCTCCATTCGTCAAAGTCTTTCTGGCCAGGCATCTCAGTCCCGTCGGCCAGCCTCAGCCTCGGAAAACTCATCTTGTCCCAAGCATACGCAGACTCCTTCCCCGCCAGCTCCTCGTTGACCAAGACCAAGGCACCGGAGTGCCACCCAGCAGCACTGACCCCCAGTGCGAAATACGCACCGATCCCGTCCTCCTCCTCCATCTTGTCCCAGGCCCTGCTCTCCTGCTCGACCCACTCACTCACCTCGCCTTGCACATTGCGGTTGTTCTTGAACAGGGTCCTGCGCTCCTCGCTCTCGGCAGGGTCTGTGCCGCCGCACACCATGTGGACGAGCCAGTCCCTCTTCCTGTCGTCGAACCATACCTGGCGGCCGTGGGTATAAGCATGCGGCAGAAGCTGTCCCTGGCGGCTGAAATTTTCGTAGACCACGCCACGGGCGTGGCCACCCATGCTCGTCCCGTCGCCTAGGCCCAGTGCGCCGCAGGCGCTCACCTCGGTGCCATACGATGTGATCTTCCCGCTCGCGTGCAGGGCCAGGTAGTGGTAGTCGCCAAAGGCAACTTGGATGATGTCTTTGTGCTGCAGTGCGGGGATTCTCTTGAGGCCCTGGACGTCAGCCTGTTCGGGATCCGTGTGTTGGGCTGCCCAGCATGCATCGAGATAGTCCTGGTCGGCGGTGATGACTTGCCCCTTGCTGAAGACAGCGAAGCTGCGGAATGAGCCTTGCACGTCGAATGGTGACGCCTCGTCGCTGCGCAGTTGTTGTAGCTCGAGGATAGACTCTACGCTGTTGTTCTCGCCCAACTTGCCGCAAAAGACCTTGCCGAGATCGGTGTTGAACAAGACGAAGTGCTCGAGTACGACATAGTTTAGCACTGCTCCAACCTCGGCCCCGAGCGTCTTCTCATACTCTGACTCAGCAGATGTGTCTTTAACGCGTTTGTAGCCAGTCCTGGGGACCTCGGCGTGCTCTAAGGACAAGGGGCCGCCTGTCTCCAGGTCTCTGCCCTCGACGGTGTCCCACAGCACGATGCCCACGCCGTGGACATAGGCTGAGCTCCGACTCCAGCCAGCGACAACTTGCCTGACCAGACCGTTGGCGGATGATGGCTGGCGGTCTGTACCTGCGGACGGAGTCTCCTCTACGTGCAGGTCGGCAAACCTGACGCAAACGGCAGGCTCGTTCGCATCGGGCCACGACCAGATCCTACCGCTGTCGGAGAGGGCCAGTACATGGGACCGGCCGGCGGAGAACTGCCGGATGGAGGTGGCATGCTCGTCGCCCTGTGCCTCGGCTGGGAAGGTGAGTCTCTGCAGCCGATGGGGCGCGCGAAGGACCCTCTGGCCGTTCATGACACCGGCAGTGTGGAGGGTGCCCTTGGAGGTGAGAAGGGTCGTTGACCAGCCACTATTAATAAGAAAAGGTAAGCTGCGTCCATGCCTGCGTTTTGCCTCCCTCGCACTACACTAGCACTGGCAATGACATACCCGCACTGCATATCCGCTATGACACCCAAGCTCCGCGTATCCTCCATCTCGATGGGGAACCCGCCGCCGGGGCCCCGGTTCTGCCGGCGAGGGATGACTGGGATGCCCGGCCGGATGGCACGGGGGGTCATGAGGCTGCGAGCGTTTGACGCATAGCTGTGGCCCAGTCGTGTGTGGCCGTTGCTGCCCCAGGTGAAGACCCTGGTCTGTGTGAGCAGGCGGCGGTACATGTGCTGCCACCGGGCGCCGTCATGCTCGACGACGGGCTGGTTGGGCACGCGGAACGTGCTTCGGGTGGCCTGTCGCCAGTACGATGGCTCGAGCCGGATCGAGGGCTGCTGCAGCGCCTTGCAGGTGGCGCATAGTGCGAGGAAGCTCTTCGGGTCCAGGTGTGGGAAGATGAGGAGGAGGATGTCGAGGGGCAGGTTGGTGATGGAGCTGGGCTTGTCCTCCATGGCGATACTACTGTGGTGGTGTTTACTTCGATCAGATGCTGTACATAAAAGTGGGTTTGGCGGAGTCTGTCCTCTAACTGTGCCACTCTGAGGTGGCTTATTAGTGGCATGCGCGGCAGCTGACGTCATGTTTTGGCATGTGTCTCGGTGCGTTTATACGTGTAGTTGACCCGTGTCTTACACCCACGTACCAGTCTTATGCCGTTTATTAACAACCACCGAAAATGCTCGTAAATCGTATAAGTAGCCTCTCATTTATGAAGAAAGAAGAACAAAGAGGGAAGTTCACAAATTTTGTTAAAAAGTTCAGCCACTTTGATCACACAATGTATCCCAAGGTCAATATAGAAACATCAATTGCACATGTGATCTTTGCTAATTACATTTCATGCCATGTTGATCCTAGAATTCGTGTGATTTATTAGACTCAACTTTTCCGACAAAAACATGAGAATGGGAACGAAGGCTTCACAAAAGACGCATAGCCGCTTAGCAGAACACGGCAGTCCATAGTCGTGCCGCCTGGGGGTCTGGCCGATTGACAACTCCATAACTCCATCCGCTGCGGTCTCCGACACCTGTTCCAGAAGCTCATCAAGAGCATTTGATATATATTTCCGAGGTGAGGAGACATTAATTCGCCGATGACACAATTCCGGCCTTTTAACATGAAGTGGGTGAATTCTATCAGTACTGATTGTGGTAATCATGATCAAATTCCGGCCACAACGGTCACAAAATGATGGCGAGCAAAGAAACAGAAATTGTTGCAGTCATCCTTATTATCGGTGCGAGCTAGTTACTCAATCGCAATTATTGTCGACTCAACACCAGGCAACTCCATAGCTTCTCCATTCAGGAGCGACGAGATATAGCACGCGCCTACAAGCACGTAGTTCCCAGTTCCTTCTGGCCCTTCCTTCTTGCGCACGGCATACGGGAATTCCATGCCATCAAACACGCATATTTGGTCCCCATCTTCCGCTACCAACGGCATCCATCCTAACCTGTCATTTCGCGTGTGACCGAAACGTCTGTACTGCATATTGACGATAAATGCCGAGATGACCTCGACGGACTTGGCCAACTCAAAGGTCATGCTTTCTATAATCTCCAAGGCACGCTTCTCATCCGAGACAGCGACAAGGGACTTCTGGATTTGTCGGTACTTGAAAAAATCCTTCTTTGCAGCTGCGGTGACCTCTGCGGACACACCAAGGAGACTGTCGATCAGCAAAGCCTTTACAAACTCCTGGCCATCCTGACCGGCTGACTTTGCCATTGTTTGACATTCATCAAGCCAGTCATCCCACATTCTCAATGTGGTTTTATTCCGCTTGGAACAGTCGCCGTCGTACAGGGGACGCCTTGTCTCAGAATACTGCGTAGTCGTAAGCCGTCCCAGGTGCTCTACAGCATCAATGATGCGCCCTCTTATCAGCAGCGTGTCGCCACTGGTGGTTGCCTCGATTTCCGTACTCCCACAAGCATCTGCCAGCCTATAGGGCCCCGGAGCGGGAATACAATTGTCAAAGGCGGGGAATTTCAAAGCCAATTGTTCTATGTTTGGTATCCATGAGCTCTTTCCGCGTTGTTCCACCGATAGCATGTCAAGGGTGGACCACAGAACCCTGAGCTTAAGGGGATGGTCGAGATGGGCAGACATCAGCCGGCAATATAGATCATCGGTAGAGATGTTATAATCGATGAGGCCTTCGAGTGTTGATGAGTCCGATGCAATACCCAGTAGAGAAATGATGTGATCGCTGGGGACAGCACATTTGAAAGTGGCTGTAAATATCAGAAGGTTGCATATGGGCGTGGTCGTTGAGTATTCTGAACCTTGGCCGAGCATCGACCCGCGGTCAAACATCTTGTGGTAATCTATGTCGCCATGTTTGGGAACCGGCGTCCTCCAAGGGCACGCCAAGAAGAATGTGTCTCTGGCGTGCAGATTCATCGAGAGGAATTGGAACCAGTAGCTTAAATTACTCCAATGCGTCCAGGATTTCCCGGCCATGAAGACCAGCCCGTGGTGTTTCGACTTGTCCACCTCCTGGATCACCCATTTTCGCATGAACCAGGGCTGGCGCAGTAGGACCCAGATGTCTTCCATCGCCTTGGTCTGGCTCTTATCGTCACCAAAGGCATCTCGTAGAAGTCGGCGCGATTCCGAGTTGTTGTCCCTGGATAACACATCTCGTAGCGCATCCGATGCAGCAGGTGCAGAAGGACCCAGGTATACAGGGAGATCGAGGGTTTCCCGCAGAGTCTGCCAAGTTTCTCTGAACCGTTGGATGGCTACGAAGGCACGTGTGATATATTCGTTGTCCCATCCTAGCCAAATCACCGTGATGGACGCCCTGGCGTAAATCTCGCTCATCATGCTGACTTGCGCCTCTCGCTCCGCGATATCATATTGGTTGATGCACACTGCATCGGCCCATACCCAGAACGTATCTCCTGGATGTTGTTGCCGCATGTGCCATAGAGCACCATAAAGACTTGACCCAATGTCGATCCGGCGGCCAGCGCAACAGATTTCATATCTCGGCCACGGTTTTCCCCAAGCGTAGGAGAGGGCTTCGAACTCTGGAGCCTCGTCCAGTAATACGGGGACTAGGTCGACAGATAGTGATGTGTCCTTCGAATTTGTAACGGGGTGAAGCTTGAGTAGGCGAATATGACCGGTAGAGGGCAGCGGTGCGTATTCGTATTTTTCCATGGTCATCTTGTGCTTCAGGTTGCTCACCGCCCTCTTCGGGATCTGCAGGCCTCTCCTTCTGAACTCCTGGCCCCGTTCCCTCAGCGACTCCATTGTGCATGAAGCTCAGGCTTATCGCCAGGATCGCCTATGCATCGTAAAGGGGGGAGCGGGCGGTGGGCGTCCTCAGCACTGCTGGTGATGATGATGGTTGTGGAAAGGTTGCCATTCAAGCCCGTTTGTTAACGTTCCATTAGGCACCGAACCCGTGGCACACGTGATACCGGACTGCTGTGCCGCAACATCCCATCCTAAAGTCCCCACCCCTGAGGGAATACTCTCTCAGCCTACCCGCTACTATTACCAGCCACCAAGTGGACGGATACTGATTCAAAATTATTGGTCAAATCGATTGATTATATTCAGATTTTTGTTTGACTGTCACTTCTTTTACTTTACTTGGTTTGAGTTATAAGCTATCCGGGGTTCTCAGGCTCTCAGACACTTGGAACCAAAGACGTAGTGCTTTGTTCTCTAGGCCGCTAGGCACAAGAATGAGCTTGACCACATAATAAATCAGGTGTAAGTCCGCGTGATTAGGCTTGGTGTTCCGGGATGCGATGCGCACGGTAAAGCACCGCGAATTTGTTTGCCCAGGTTGCCCCGGCCCAATGCCTCTCTGGGGCTGTGAGCGTGCCGCTCACTCGGCTGGCTGCCTGGGTAGCAACTTCAAACAGGTGAAATGAAATATCAACATTGGGCTAGCGGATCCTGTTTTTCCTGGATCCGGTGTGAGCAATCATTTCCATTGCCACCTGAGAGCTCTTACCTACATCCAGATAGTTGCGGCAGATCTTGCTTTTCTATAAACAGATCGGCCTCTTCCTACTAAATCACATCAGCAAGCCTCAAGCTCCAAAACACGTACCCAGCAAGTACTTATGCAAATTTCCATCAGTCTGACAGCAGAACATAGCGGCGATGTGTTCAGACATTAGTGACAAACCATCCTCTGGATCCTCAGAAGACTCCGACTGGGATTACGATGCAAACAGGGTCAAAAGCAAAGGCAGAGACGCACAAGATGAGGAAAGTCTCGAAGAACGGTTGGAAGCTTGCCGAGGGGCAATTCGCAGGGAAACTGTGCCAAAGAATACCGCGTGGCCCCGAAAGCGCATCAGTGTCATTCGGGGTATACGGCACCACCCCGGCTTCGCCGACCAAGATGCCATCAAGCGCATCTGTGCTCCCTCCGGCTGGGATGCAATGTTCACGCGGGCGAGAAATACACGGTTGATAATGAGCGGCATCATAACTGAAATGGGAAATGACGACGTCCAGCCTTATTGCATCTGGTATCCTGACCTAGCCTCCGAGGACACTTATCGACTCCTGGCTTCCCGCTACCCCAGCATGCGTTATCATGTTGGCAGGGCTTGTGCAGTAGCTGGCTATTCCGACCTGTTCGAGGAACTCGGGCTTTTACCGGACGTCTCCATCTGCGAAGAGGCTAGAGAGAGCCAGGCCGACGGGAGCAAAATCATCTACAACCGTATCCTGAGCCAGCCGGTCCGCTATGCTGTAATGAACGACTACGAGCGATCGGTCAACGAGGATGACCCGAAGCCAGGCGCCCATCTCAATGGAGACACGGTAACGCTTTCATATCTCCGTGTTACGCAGGATGTGGAGAGCTTTTTGACTCCGCGTTGGAAACGTCACTATTTTGACATCACCGAAGATGCCAACGTCGGTCTGGTATTTTCCGAAGCACTACTCCAGCCCAAATTCCCAGTAGACCACGCTCAGTTGTTTTATCAGCCTCTGCCTTCCGACCTGCCGACGACCAACAAAGACGCGCTCATCCTGATGGCAGCATACGAGGGCAACGTGGACCGCTATTTTCACTTACGGCGTCCCGTGTTGGTCAAGGACGAGCTAGAATACATCCTCAGGGGTATTTATCACCACACCACCTTCGCGAAATGGTGGGCACACTGTGATGACTACCCTAGGGTACTCAAGAGTCTCTGGGGCCTACACGACGAGTGCGATACGCGCAGCAGTTGAGGCAAGGTTCATCATGAACAATGAGCTTGCAGGCATATACCCCAGGACTAGCGTTACGGAATCACACCGCAATCCTTTTTTGGTTTGGTGGCCCCTTGTCCCGCACGAGGCAACACTGCGGGAGCTCGTTCGACGGAGACCAGACAGTAGGTCCTTTCAACCCTCACACCCATTTACCACTTTTCATATTCCAAGAAGTCATTTTTTATTGCAGGTTGATTCAGTGAAACTTCAAACGGCTCTGGCCTGCATTGCTGGTGACTATCATGTCACGTACAAGTTGCTCGACGTCGAGCCACACCACTATCTGTGGAAGCAAGCACAGCTCTGCTCCGCCAACCCCTTCTACCTCCAGGATCTGGAGAAACGGGCAGCTGAAGCTGGGATCGACCTCGGCGTCGGCGTCGACGGACCGCCTCCAATAGGGTTGAGTGGCTTCTTGACTGCACTGGGTCCTATCAGAGAGCCGACCACCCTGCAAATGTATCCTGGCGTCATGGTAGAAACATGGCTCTTTGACGACGGGGTGTATCCAGGACACTACAACGTAAACGGTAACCTGTTTGAGACATATATCTGTGCCACTGACGAAAGCAGAAGGAGAGCAGAACAATACGAGGAAAACCCACCTGAAGAATACTGGAGAGACACCTTACAGTGGTCTTAGTGATGGTTGTGGCTCCCTAGAGGGAGTGTCTCAGAGTGGTTGGAACCGGATGAATCTACATTTTGATGATATGCGAGGCAAAACAAAGTGCTTGCTCATTGATTCCGAAACTAAGGGGTGATCGCTAGCTTTTGTCACCTTTGAATGTTCATCATTTGTATTTTAGGCCTCTATCTGGTAAGAGCTCTATAATCAGCTCTCGAGGTCGTCATCTACCTCCAGATCATCCCACACTTGGTTGCCTGGCAGCTGTACTTTGGGGAAATCCACGGCTCTTGGACAGGCAATCTGGGAGGATTGCCCCCTCACGTTTTCCCTAAATCGGATGGCTCGAGTAGTTCGAGTCACACATAATTGATGTTACATGGTGTGTTGAAGAGTTGCATAAATAGCGCAAGGTGCGCAGCACGGTTGAGCCCCAACCACCTGAGTTGTGTCTCTCATCTGTTCCGGTCCTGCGACACTAAGTGTCCCTGCTTCCATTACAACATCCCATTGACCCATAATATATTGATTTAATCACGGCCTACAAGATGCTGTGCGCTGTCTGCCTATCGATGTTTTCCAAAGAAGAGGCTGAGGGCACGCATCATACTTGCCTCGAGAATCTGCGGCGAGCAGCGGAAGGCGGCTGCAAAATATGCGTTGCCCTTATTGTGCGCCGTGATAATTTGGGTCCAGATCCAGAAGCTGAAGAAATATCTGTGCCTTTCTTGCGATACTATTGGGATCGCTCCCGAAATCCGCCACAGTCGACAGATAGGTTTAAGGCGTGGGAGATAAAGTTCGATTCGAATATTCACTGGTTGAACTGGGGAACATTGCCCTGGAACGTCATCGATATTCATGCTTCTCCTATCGGTGAATCAGTCCCCGATTGGTACTTGGATGTCACGAAACAGGCTGCAATCGACCTCGACTCACAGCCATGGATGGTTCGAAGAGACCTATTCCCTCTAAAGCCAATTCCAGACAGTACTGGACACAGCAGTGTCCTGGAAATCGCGAAAACATGGCTACATAATTGCAAAACCAACCACCATTGTGAGACATTAAGAAGTCGGAGTTCACTCGATTCTAATTGGCGGCCCAACCGCTTGATCGATATCACGCACCTGGCTGTGCCACGACTTTTCGAAACGCACTCAGAGCGCCCTCGCAGCCCATGCCACTACGCAACTCTAAGCCATTGCTGGGGCTCAGACCCAGACTTCATAAACTTAACGACCGGGAATTTTGCCGAACTTTGCAAGGGGGTCGTCATCGAAACCTTTCCCAAAAGCTTTCGTGAGGCCATCATGATCTGCAAGCACCTGGATATTCAGTACATATGGATAGACAGCCTATGTATCCTGCAAGACTCCAATCAAGATTGGCTGCAGCATGCAGTAGATATGTCTTCGTTGTACGAAAACTGCTACCTCAACATTTCCTTGGACGCCGCACAAAACCCCGGACAAGGTGCTTTCAGATTCAGGAATCCCGATATCCTCCAAGAGTGCTGCGCATTCTCTACTATTCCAGAAAGGCTTGAGCTGGCTGGTGTGGACAAATCCGACTCAGTCAGTCTAGAAAGCGGCTCTAGTGGCGATGCTTCTGGTTATGCCTCGGATTCACTACACCATGATGAGGCAAGTGATGAAAGAAGCATTGGTGAACCACATGCAGCAGAGGGAAAATCATTCAAGACAACAGCAGACGTGCTTAAGTGTCGTGTCTTTGCTCCAGACCTTGATTACTCGACTGCTACGTGGGACCTTCCACTTTTGAAAAGGGGATGGGTTGTCCAGGAAAGACTGCTTTCCCCTCGGATCTTGCACTTCACAGATGATCGGATAAGATGGGAGTGCGACAGCGAAAAGTCCTTACATGAGGGCTTCCCCTGTGGACTCCCTGAGACAGGTGAATCTTTCGACCAGAATGCCAAACACGAATTCGATTGCCTGCCGGCCAGATATCCCGGGCGAAGCAAGCGGGAACAGAAATCGTCCGTATTTACAGCCGGTGCCATCTCACATATCCGGAGAAAGACAAGCTCGTCGCTTTATCTGCAGTTGCACAGCGTTTTACTAGCGTTTTCAGCGATCACTACTACGCCGGACACTTTCGGGAGAATATGCCCTTCGACCTAGGCTGGCAAGTGCTCCGACGAAGCCCTGGGCAGGACTCCACAGCAAGACGGAATCCGACGTGGAGTTGGACGAGTGTTGATGCGGAGGTGACAGCCTCTTCCATTCAGTGTGATCTTAAGCAGCCTCTGGCCACTGTGGAGGGAGTGAGCGTAGATCTGGAGGACTCTACCTACAAATATGGGCCCGTGAATGGGGGCAAGTTGGTCTTGAAGGGCTTGCTTGTAAGATGCAAGCTTGGGCCAAGAGACCGCATTTTTTACGACAATACTTCTGCTTATATAAGGACCGTTACCCTGGAACAAACAGTAGGATGCGATAGCTGCTCAGTGCAGACGCTTCTGGTTGTCAGTATGGACACGCCTGAAGAGTCGAGTTTGAGTGACGCCTTCCTTTTACCGCTAGCTGAGCGCACTGTGGTTACCCGAGGGCATCCAAGAGCGGTTATGGGCGTTTTATTGTCACAAGAGACGGACGGCTTGTATAGAAGAGTGGGACATTGGGATTCCGACCCAGATAATGCCTTGCATTTGGATACTGAGCCCTTGTTCAAGTATATAGATAGATACTCGCATACCTCTCACAGGGTGGTGGTAGTGTAGTTAGTTAGTTCTGTGGCGCATGGACTTCCAATATACCAGAAATGGTATGTCAGCACCGAGTCTCTGACATGAGATCATGTAACTTTTTCGGGGCGCTGCTGATACGGTGATAGCGTGTTTCAAAGTTGATTGCCTATGACGGACAGACATGGCAGCATATATATCAAAGGAACCTTGGAAGGCAGAAACACAACTTTTGCCAGTATCATTTCACTCCGTCAAATAAATGACGTGTCTCATATCAGTTTCCAATTGCTCCAGGCCAGGACCGCACACTACGCCACAAAATCCACAATCTGCCTTATAACAGCTGGTTCTGGATGTCATGTGAGCACGATTTCTGCAGAACCACCCGCTCCTCGGCCCTCGCCCACTTCTGGAAGCTCTCGGTAATCTTCATCCTGCCCCTCAGGTTGGCTGAGGTCGTGTTCCTGACCGGGACGCCCTCCAGAGACAGCGCAAGCTGGGCAGCCAATCTGCCAGCAGCCTTGGTGTTGACAGTGATGGCGTCGAAGTCGATGTTGGTGATGGTGTCACAGGCAAGGTGATAGCAAGGGTCTGTAGGGGCACCGGCGCCGGTGAAAATGCCGCTCGCTGGTATGCCGAGGTTGTTGAAGCCGACGTAGTCGGAGCCGGTTCCAAAGGATCTGTGGCGGTCAGCATTCGGCTCTGTAGGGCGTTGAGGATTATTTGAGAACAGCTCACCCAAAGTACGCGTCCTTGCCCTGGGAAGTGAGATATTCCACCAGACCCTCTGCGGGTGAGCCACTGATCTCGTTTTGATAGACGGCAAACACCGGGAACGGCGATCCTATCATGTCGTAGTTGAAGTAGTACTTGATCTTGTTGACCTCCTCGACTGGCAGGCCGCGGGTGTAGTACAGACTGCCGACCAGCCCGCTTTCCTCGGCGCCCCACCACGCAAACCTAATCTTGTTCTTCAGGCCAGTGTACTTCCTCACGCTGTTGATGATAGTCAACAGCCCCGCCGTCCCACTCCCGTCGTCATTGACGCCGGGTCCAGCCTGCACGCTGTCAAGATGCGCACCGAGAATCACCACGCTGTCTGGGTCACCCTCCGTGGTCTCGCTGAACACATTCCACGTCTCACGCGTCTCGAAGATGGAGTCCACCAGCAGCGTGACGGTCACCTCCTCGCCAGCAGCCAGGCTCTCCTGCCAGGCCTGCGCCACCTCAAGCGGGATCAAGCCACCGGGCACAAGCAGCCCGATGTTTTCAGCCTGCAGCGTGGCAGAGGAGAAGTTGGTGCCCGGCTGCGGCTGGTAGACGAGCGCGCCGACGGCACCCGCGGCCTTGGCGAGCTTGAGCTTATCGGCGATGGCACACACGCCCCGCTTGACGAGCGCGATCTTGCCCGTTGCGTCGATCCCCTCCCACTGGTCGGCGAAGCAGCCCGAGCCACGGGCGTCGTCAACAGGGGTGTCGACCAGGGGGCCAGTGACGCCGTCCGGCACTGGCGTGGCAGCGTTGTACAGGAGCGTGAGCACATAGACGTCCTCGCCGTCAGGGCCCGTGACGCTGATCTCACGCGTCTGCTCGAACGTGTGGTTGAAGGGCTGCACCCACGTCTTCAGGGCAGAGGTCTCGTTGGTGAAAGTGGTTGCGCCGCCTATCCTCTCCAGCACGTAGTCCACGCTGGCCTGGAACCCTGGAAGGCCGAAGGCCCTGTTGCCGCCATTGGCGTCCCCGATGTCGTTCAGGTCCAAGAGAATTCCTTCGAGCCTGTGCGGGGAGTCAGCTTGTTACTCGTCGTGTCTGCCGTTTGGTGTTCTTACTCGGCCGTGGTGATGTCTGCCTCCACCAGATCGGGATCGATCGTGTTCGTGGCCAGGCACTTTGAGGCCGCCAGGCAAGCACCGACTAGATATCTCGTGGTGGGCTTCATCGTGCTAGAATTACCACCGAGGCCAGACCTGGAGCCTTCAGAAGTGATATGCCTGGGTCAAAATACGAGGAGCACCTGCCAGCGTCGTGACACAAAGCACTCCCCTCACAAGGTTGTACTACCGAGTGCTCTTGGCCCTTATATATTGAGCCAAACCCTAGTGGCGCTAATTTCATGTTCTAGAAGTTTACGGTGGTATTCCGGAATAACACTCGGCCATGAGCCAATGCTTGCGAGCAGATAACTGGCCCAGGTCATCACTGCTGCAGTGATAAGTATGTTCGCCCGTCTTGGCTCTTGGCTCTTGGCTCTTGGCTCCCCAGCTTCAAGTGGAAGGTGCCAAGATCTGACACCATGCGAAACCCCTCTGCTCAGCTTCCTACGAGAAATAGTCCAAGCACGCGTCGTTTGCCACCACGGGTTGATGATGCACTGGCAGATAATAAATTATGAGCCATCAACTTGTTCCTACTTCCAGCTAGCCCTACCGTACAGTGTTTGCGAGGTCCTCTCGGTTCCTCGCGCTGATCATCATCCGAAACATATATTTCACCATTCGCATGGTCCAGTGCGTACGTTTAATATCGAAGTGGAACGGATTGGTGATGCCTTCCACTGTCCGCAGCAGTGTTGTGTTCCTCCATCCGTAAAGCTATCCGGCTGCCTGCCTCAGTGGTCGGCGGCCCAGGGCTGTTTGCGGAACCCCGGCCTCACTATCTAGGTAAGCTACCAAACGGGCCGCCGTGATACCGACCAAAGGACGTAGATCAAGTATTGATTGCGAGAATTTTGAACCCCAACCGGTCTGCATCAACGATCGAGTTCCTGTGGAGAATGTCTTGTAGGTGCCTCGGGTAGAAAGATGAGAGGCGCGCCGGCTTCTGCAAGTGCGCACACCCTCTTGCCGTGAGCCCACTCACTTCCCGCCGAGTTGCATGATGCCTGCATCCGTTCCGCTTTCTCCTGGAGCCAGTGCAGTGCAATCGCTCCGTTGGTTGCGTATTGCATTTTGCCGGCTTCGACGTTCATTGGCCGGCTGTCAATATCACACCTTTGATGGCTGTGGCTCGAAGCGCCGTGTTTCCTTATATAACAGAATGATCTGCAATAGACATCAGGAAGGTCAATGTGATTTTCTCTCCATTCTTCTCTAGAGATACAGCCGCAACAAGTATAGCAGATTGAGGTGCATCTATCCAGATGTCATTAAGAGGATTCTGTTGCTGTGATAATCAAAAATAGCTTCAAAAGCCGCTCTGGCAGAATGACCAAGAACAAGTAAGTCTTAGTTAAATAACTTTTACCTTCATCCCTCTCAACTTTTGAGTCTGGTCTTGCCGGCTCCCAACGCCGTGCGTCTTCATGTCAATCCCTGGGCGCTTTTGTAACTGACCTGGGGCGAGGCTTTGATAAAGAAAAGCCACCAATCCTGGTCAAAAGGCCATACCACCACTCCGTAAACCAAAGTTAACTCAACAATCCAAGTCTGGTGGAGGGCGTGGGCCGAGAAAGGCTCCGCCCAGTGCCGGTACTGTAGCTCCCCGACGTGCTACAAGGTCTACGACCAAGCCAGGAGACCTCGACTCTGGACACCGAATCCAAAATCCATCGCCAAAGCTCAGAAGCCGAAAGATCGAGACGGTAGTGCCCCCGGCTAAAACAGGCTCAGATAAAGGGCAGAGAGTACTCCGAAGTGTGGAAACAGGGAGTTCTTCTCACTCTCAAAGAGGAAGCGTTGAATTCACCCCAGACTGGGACTCTGATGAGGCTTCCGTCGACAAGGATCCCCTCCAGGTGTATTATGAAAGAATAGGATACTTGCCACCACTTGATGACGCCACGGTGGAGGTCCTAAAATTCCTCAAAATGTCCTGTCCAGATTTGGACGTGGAGGCAGGTCGCATATCATCATCTAACGTCCCCGAATTCAGGCGAGGATTGCAATGCCGCATGGTCGACCTCCTGCCCAAGGGTAAAGATGACTTTCAGTTCAAGGAGTTGGAGAACCACGATGTCCCTTGGCCTCTTGTCCCCGCAGATGTCAAAGACTACGACGACAAACTGTGGGAAAAGGATCTAGAGAAGTGTCAGAATCAGGAGCAAGAAGCCATCTTCCAACGAACTATAATGCTCTCTATGATTGATCGGTACCGCCTCTTCTACGGGGGCAAAGAAAACCAAAGCTCGCTTGAATTTGCAGTCGAGACTCCATGGACCTGCCTTCCGATGCCTACACACGCCGAGCGCCGAGGGAAAAGATTCCTCACGTGTCCAAAGCCGGACCTTGCTGTTGGATTCCGTCGGGAGAAACTGGTTGAGACTTGCGATTGGGAGTCTTTCCCAGAAGAAACACAGAAGCTGATATGCTACGAGGGCATCAACCCACCGAACCAAGACAGAGCGTTTTGTTTTCTGACGATCGAGGCGAAGCGCGGGTGGACAAGCGTCGATGATAAAGTTGCGCTGAATCAATGCCTCAACAACGCGAGCCAGGCTCTGCATAATATGTTCGAAATCTTCAAGGAGGCAGACAGGGAGATAGGTGAAGGATCCCGGGTCAAAGGCGACAAATACACCAAACAATTCTTCGAGAGAGTCCGCTTCTTTTCTGTCGTCGCGGTTGCTGGGGCCATGAAGATTCGAATACACCGTGCCTGTCGCCTGGGCGAGAAAGAAATAGGTCCAAAGAGCGATTACCCACTTAAATTCGCCTACTCAAATTACAAAGTTGTCCAGAACGAGGACTTCACACGCCGCCAAAGTGTAGTGGAAGAGCTCACCAACATCCTTCACAATTACGGAGTCAACGAACTCGAAGGTCTCCTGAAAAATGTGATCAGAGAGATGAACGACAAGTTCGTTGCCTATAACATCAAAAAAGGCTATGTGCTGAACAGAGGTTCGTTGTTCTACTCGTACAACCAAGCCGTGCCGCCATCTAGGAAAAACGGCAAGGCAACACCTAGGACGACTCAGACGCCGAGTGGGGCAGAGACACCTGTCCAACGCCGCTCGAGAAGTTTCCATCGGCAGCAGTCCAGTCTGTCTCGTTCGTTCAGTGACAACTTTGGCCAGTTCAATGTCAACTCGGGTGTCTATGCTGATTCTGGGCAGGTTTGGGCTGCCAGTGGTGAGATGTCTCGAGACACAGGCATGTCACATCAACAAGATGTTCCCGAGGCGGATGTGCGCGGGTCTCCAAGCAAGAAGAGGAAGAAGTAGCTACCTGCGGGCAGGGTTGTCAATTGGGCGAGTAGTGGATGTTCCCTCATTTCACATTTCTCAGATGATTCTTTCATTTACAACAGATGTAGGGACCACCTCTAGTTAGTCAGAAGCCATGGCATTCTCTCCTGAGCCTTGGCACCCTCTGCTCAGGTCTCAACTGTTTCCATAGGGCAGCTGAACTGTGCTATAAGTGAAAGGTTGACAGCCGAGGATTTAACTGAGAATTGATCAAGCAGATGCTGAGGTACTTGTTTTCTCTTCCTTTGTCTTTTTTTTTTTCGGGGGGTGGGTTGTCTTCTTCTCTTCTTTTTTTACCATGTCCAATGTGCCTCACCACTGTGTCTGGTCAACAAAAATGGTCACCAATCTAATCAGCCTAGGCTTTGGCCACATTATATTTTTTATTTAACTATTTATCTATTTATTATCTTCTTAACTTTTAAACTAGCTATTAACTTATACCTTAAGTATAAAGTTAATAATTACTTAATATATACCTTTAAATTTATTTATATATAATAGAGTTACTAACTTTCTTTATAGAGCTCCCTTTTCTATTATATTTTTTATATATTATATAGAAATAGATAAATCTTTAATAATAAAGTAGTATATTTAAAAGAGGAAAATTTAGTTTTTAAATATTTAGATTTTTACTTTTTTATATAGTATTTATTTAATATATAGTAAATAAACTTTATTTAGCTTTTAAAAGAGTTTTAATCTTTTATAGAATTTATATAAAAGGTTTTTTAAATAGGTTTATTATTATAATATTATTATTTTATTAATAGCTATATATTTAAAATAGGAACTATATTAACTTATTTAATAAGAATAGATTTAAATAGCTATATAATAAGTATATTAATAGGAAAGAGCTAGCTTATTAGGTTTTATATTATAAAATTCTTTTTTATAAGGGCTATTTTAAGATTATTTTAATTTTATTATATAACTACTTTACTAGCTTTAACTCTAATATTATAATAGATTAACTCTTAAGCTATTTATATTAATAATTTTAATATAATATTATTAAGAGTAATACTTTCTAATTTTATTTATATAATATAAAGTTTAGCTCTATATTTATATATTATATTTTTTTTATTATTATTAATACTATATTTTTTTAGATATTAAGTTTTAAGTATTTACTATTATATGAAGGTACTATATATATTTTATATATATAGGGATTAAAAATGAAACCACTCTAATCGGCCTGATTATAAATCGGAACTGGATGCATGGACTTCTTATCATGAGAGAAGGAATCATTTACCTGGCCATCTATATTCTCAACCCCTCTTTCAAATATAAACTTCAGCCCATACTTGTTATTTAAGGCTACCTGAGTAATTATGACATGTCAATCGCTCCGAATGATCAATCTACAACCGCGAATACGAGATGCGGACGTGGTCTCTCCAGCTTCTAATCCAGACCCACATCTCAGCCCAGTCCGGAGTCACGCGAGCCCAGTTCTTCCCTGTATTAAGCCACACTAACATCCTCTCAGCCCGAGATAGTGTAATCTGTTCTCCAGCATACAAATTGTCTACCGCTCTGAGATACCAACCCCTCACAGATTTCTGATATAACCAGCCAAGCCAGGATGTGGCCACCATGAAAAGCGTGGCTGCCATACCCATTGTTATCCAGTTGCCTGTCGAGTTCCTTGCCTCCTCAGTGTCACTTGCCAGGTTCACATAAGCCTGGTCCAGCTTAAGCCACTTATCAGTGATGACATAGCAGAAGCAATTCCTAAACACCCCAACGGTTTGCATAACTGTACCTCCGATGCAGCAGAAGCCCGAGAACAACAGAGGCAGGACATTCCAGATGTTATGTGCCAGGATACGCTCATGCCAGGGTCGTTTTCCGACGGGCACATGGGCGTTCCGCTGGCTGCAGATGTATGTTGTGCAAAGAACGATCTGGCAACCGGCGTAGATGATGAAACTCAGAGATCGACAGCTCCATCCGATTGGTGGTGTGGCGTATGACACGACGGCCCCAGCCGCGGGAGGAAGCGCCACAAGGATGACCGCAAACACCCAGATGAATGACCAGGACCACAAGGTGAGCTCCAGAGCCTCCGGATATCGACTTTGGCTCGATAGTCCGAGGCCCTTGATCTTCTGCCTCTTCTTTGCGCCGCGGCGCCATATCCATACTGGCTGGAATGAACCCTCATAGGCGTCTGACAAGCAGTAAAAGATGAGCAGGTCTCGCCAACGGATGATAGGGTCGACTAGAATGTACCACATTCTTGTAGTGACAGGGTCTGTCCAATCCCCCCGAGCTTTGAAAGGAGGAGGCGAAGGTGTTTCCGAGGGTTGTTCCTTGTACTCTCCAACGATAGCGGTCGATGTTGCGGGATTATTCGCGGCAAGAAGACAGCCACTGACAATCGCGACGTGGACAATAACCATCCATTCAACACCGTAAGCCAGTGAAATGGCTGAGTCCTGGTCGCTAGGGTCGCTCTGAAGGTCAAGAATAGTATAAATGAACGCTCCGAGGTAAAATAGCACAGGGGCACCGATGGCTGTTCCAAAGTCAGCTTGGGCCCTCAGCAGGGATATCAACCGCGCCTGTGACTGCCGTTTTTCATCGTCGGTACCGTCCACCGAGAGTCTTTCAATGACCTTTCTGATCGGCTCCCCTTCGTCTTCGAGGTTGCCTAGAGCCAAGACAGTCAAGAGCTCTCGCTGTTCCTTCACCTCCTGTGCTCTGTCTTGTCGCCCGCTAGGGTCCGATCGACGAATCGACTGGATAATTAAGTGGTCAAGCACAGCTTCGTACAAGCCTCCTACCAACATTGGCCCGGCACCTATCACGATGATGAATATCCATATCAGGTTGTCCACAAAGACGATGAACAAATCCAACATTTGTCGAGGGAGCCATGTGACAGTCTTTGCGAGGGTATGGTTCCCCCATGGGGTTCGATTTATGCATGCCGCCAGTATTGCACGCGAGTTCTTGAAAGTGATCAGTCGTCTCCGGGGGACTGTGGCGCTAAATATGACGGCAGGTAGAACAAATTGCACAATTGGACCGGCCCACTGCCCGGGGTCAGAGATCTTTGACAGCCCGATCCCACTGCAGTTTTCGCGGCAGAATCGATAGCTGACGTAGACTTTTGGTGCGGGAGTGTAGTTTCCGTAAACCTGGCCACACACAGGATGCAGAGGAAGAGGATATGCTGGAGTATTTGCAAACGAACGGCTCTCTTGAGCAAGAAGGCAGCAGCTAGTCCCGTCGTATGCAGCTACCACTCCTGAAAAGGAAAGCCATAGTAAGCTGAGTAGCGCAAAATTGGAGCTTCTGCTGAGACTGTGCATTTTGGCGCCCGTAGGCAATGTTTGTTAAAAAGAACAATCCCGCGTCACACATCATACCAAAGACAGATGGAACAGTTGTCCTGATTAATATTAAAAGTGATCTGTTCCAACCGTCTCTCCTGTGCATTGTTGCCTGGCCTGGAGGGCTCATTTGGTGAGTATACCAGGCGCAGCAGTCATTGTGTGGGAGGTAAGCCGCCACAACCCCAATAGTAGCATCACTAGGCAGCCCTCCCAGGATAAGTTGGGTGGCCATGCTGTTGGGAACTAGTGACTCTACCTGCAAGCTCCGTGGGGTGCATGAACGTGGACCAGTGAGGCTGCAGACAGACAAGACAGAACACAATCAGGTTTCTCCACCGGGGTGACCTACCTAAGTACCTACCTAGGTAGGTACACCTAGGTAGGTCCGCAATCTCACTCTAACAAGCATGGCCGTCAACATAAATGCTCGGCGTCGAGTAGTGATCGGAATCCGCTTAGTCTTTAAACTGCATCGGATTCTCTAGGGGTGCGGCATTGTCTTGTAGAATTTGGGGCCCAATATACCACTTGTTATGCTTTGTCTCCCAAAATGGCGTTGATATCAAACACCACGCGACGCCACAGGCTACTCAGCCTACAAGCCACGAGGCCATAGCCTGCATAGCCCCAGAACCCCCGGGGCCTACAAGCAGACAGCTTGCTTGATGTGCCCCCATAATGATGTAAGACCCGTCTAGGGTGTAAACGATTTAACGCTAGTGCTAAAAGGGTTATTCAGAAAAGAGATATAATCTATATATTCTAATATTAAGAATACCTCGACGCTATTAGGCTTGTATCACTTTGGAAGGTATGCTGAAGGAATTAGAGTATAATTCTCTATTTACCTAAGGATGTATCCTTCCAAGTTGCGCCCTGCAGGTCCGCATTCTTATCAGGATCTACCCATAACTAACAATGTACAACCGCGAACCGAGATACGCGATACTGTCAATGTATCGGATCGACGAGTGATGATACTTCAGAGCACCTTGTTTTTACGGTGGGCACTCAATGACAGTAATGTTGTAACCATCCGGGTTGCAGTATCCCCCCAACTTGTGATGTTCTCCCTTGTTGCAGTTGTCTGGGTCGGTAGGGTCCCTGGACAGGCGCGAACCAGTGGTTATTACACAAACTCGATATTGGAGGGCAGAGTGCCTGGCTTACCGGATGATATCAAGCGTGCACCAGCCGAGTGTGGCCAAGAACTGTCCGTCTCCTCTAGTTCTCCAGATGAAATCGTGAGCTTCCTTGGCCTGGTAGCAGCACTCGTTGTTCTGTCTGGTCTCGATGGGGCTGGCCATCCCCATCAAAGGGGCCACCAGGGCAATGAGGGCGAAGAATTGCATGGCAGGCGAAGGGCTTGGGCTAGGAGTTCTGGGACTGTCTGTAGATTGTTGGTGGATTAGGTCGGTCTGAAGCGAATGATGAATCGAGAGGCACACCGACTACCGAGGGTGCCGAAGTCTGCTTGCTTTTATACTACCTCGACATACTATAAAGGGGCTTCGGACTCCATGGAAAAGGAAACGCCAAGTGCGAACCCTTGGGAAATCCACCTAGTCTGTTTCCTGCCAACACTTGACCCCGGGCGACCACAATTGTTCATGTGCGCTCGGGCTTGAACTGTTATTAGATGGCAAATTAAAAGTCCACGAGCAGGATATTGTTTCAAGAAACGCACGGCTTGGTACTTGCATCTATACCATTTCCTTCCTTTTGCCGAGGCGGAGGTCCTCCCACCTTCCCTTTTTACCATGCGGATACGCGGAAAGAGAAGAGCTGCCTGAGGCTTAGGCTACGTTTCTGGCCGAGTGGGACCGGTCCCCTGATGGGGTTCTCATTTCGTGAAACGTTAAATCCTGATTCGGGTAGCACCGCCAAGCTCATGCTGCGGGGCGCTTAAATATTTTCCCATTCACAACTCCGTCACCTCAATCAGGCCATTCGGGCCCGGACATCACATCAATTCTAGTTAGCCTGGCTCAACTATGGATCATTCTGTCTTTCATAGCCTCACAATTAGACTTTCTCCTTGTCATGTAGTATATGGTTATTTCAAAGCCAAAATCAAGTGCCAGCGCAGTCAACATCCCGGAGTCATGCCAAACTAGACTGGTTACCGCTCTCGGATGCCTACATCTTTTGCCCGAAGTGAACGAGGGCCTCGGGTCAATGTATTCAAGATTTACACGCTGACATCGAGTGACCTCACAACCTCTGGTCAAACACGTCGTCTTCCTACTTCATGGATTTTGGCAATTGCATGGGCCTCTCTCAGGATTGTAACTATGATATCGTAGAGTCACGCTGTGATATCCACGAGCTTCACACAGGTCTCTGCTTCGCAGCTACGGAATGTATATAGTGAGTGCCGCGAGCCCGCTCTGTAGGATGGGCCCGCGGAAGCCGTGTATAAAGTTGTATAAAATAGGTACAATCTTATGCAAAGTGGCGCAGGGTGAGGCGTTTTTTAATGGGTAAAAGCATACCTACTTAGTCAAGCCGTAGTTCTTTCACTACATGACGTCATAAACCTCTTTTCAAGTGGCTGCTTTACGGTAATAATACATGTGATGGATAGGGACTGAAATAGTCTACTAGTATGTGTAGTGGGCAATATGGTAGTCATCCGCATCGGTTTACATACCTAGGTAGTCGACTCGGCGGTCACCTGCCACGAGGACAGATGATCCGAAGCCTGAGCCCAATCGTCCCAGATCGAATCGTCTGGGAAGAACAACATTGCTGCACGTGTCGGGCTTGCCGCCGTAGGCTGACGTGGCCTCGTCGTCCTGCTGCTGGAACTGCCACCAACCTCGGAAGTCCTGTTGACAAGGGCATGGTGCAGCCAGAAGACAGGCTCGTTGGGCGGATTCCCAACCGCCGTCTGAGCCGCCCGCGCGCTGACGTCCTTGCCGAACTCTCCGACGCCGTGGCGGGGCTCAAGCCACATCCGGAAGCCGTCGGAGTCGGGGCCGAACTCAGTGACATTTCCGGTGATCTCGACTTGGTTGAGAACCGCAGGTGCTTGGCCCGACTATTGGGGCGCGCGCTGATGATACACGGTATGTGTAGCTTCTACATGTCCAGGAGGTTATGTTCAGGTCCTTTTCCCTACCCTCCAATATCGGGTTTGCGGACCGCCCGGCCTTCATTCCGCTTAGGTTGGCAATATCCGATTTGCATAAACGTAGTCTGGGCTTTTTTGCCCCTGCTGCCACGCGTAGCACTTTTGGGAGATGCATAGTACCGACACTTGAGAAAGTGCCAGTGGTGATAGTCTTCACGCGCCCAGGAACAGTGAAACGCCCAGGAGACTGTCACAGAAGAACCCACCCGTCTGTCTTCCAGGATTCGCTTGAACCTTTATATCCCAAAGTCGTCCCCAGAATTAGTTGCCAGCATTCCCAAGTCCAATTCGGTTCTTTGTTTGCTGTATACACCTAGCAAACGGAATATTACAACTCTGAGGCGCACTCGTCCTAGGTGATGCACATGGATTGCCGCAATTTTTGTTTGCCTTACCAGTCATCTGGGCCCCTGTAGATAGCAGCCCTCTCTACCTTGCCTTTCCGATAGCTATCACCATACATCTCGAGCTCCCAATCCCCCCACTTCTTCACCTCGCTCACCGATACAAGCTCAACCAGGAGATTTCCTCTTTTCCTAGATACCGCCCTCATTGCCTTCATCTCGGGCGAGCGGTCCACTAGCTTGTCCAAGCGCAGTCTGCTCAACTTGGGCGCCAAGTTTTGCCTTTCAAGCAGCAAGGCAAAGATCGCTCCCGTCTCGTTCCCCGCCCCCCTTGAAACGCCTGTGATCTCTACCTCCGATAGGTTTGGGCAGCCCTCGAAAAGGGCCACCAGGGCCTCGTGGGTAAGGCCAGACGTTCCTGGTAGCGTGATGCGGCGGAGGCTGGGACAGCTCTGGGCTAGGACCATACCGTGCGTTGGTGGGTACTAGAAATAGTCACTAGGGCTATCTTTCACTTTAGAAACCCCTTATATATAAAATTAACTTTATATTAACTAATGTAAATAGTAGTTTTATAATATAAATAATTATTTAACCTTTTAGTAATTTTTATATAGTTAAATAGTCTTATAAAAATAAAGGTTATTAAGAGAAGAAGGGGTTATAGAGAGAAGAAATAATTATTAAGAGAGGGGCAGAGACACTAGCCCCGATTAGGCTAGCCTACCCACGGACGAAGGGCGAAGAAGAGAGAAGAGAAGAGGGAAAGGTGCTTAAATTTCTAGCTCCTAAGGTTGAGGCTTTTCACTAACTATTTATATATATAGTAGCTCCTAGAAGTGCCCTTTTTAGAGGCCCACATTCCCTATACCCTGCCACATTATAGAGAAGTCTTTATACCTTTCTTTATATAAGGAGAGAAGGAGTACTTCTCCCTTCCTTCCTTCCTTCCTTCCTTTCTTTAACTTTAACTTTAATTTTAATATTAAGTTCTTTACCTTCCTCCTTTAACTTAATTAATTAAATAATAATATTTAAAAATTTAAATTTAGAAATTTAAATTTAAATTACTTAAAAGTTTAAAACTTAAAAAAAGTTAATAGAAAGAGAAAGAAAAGGATTTATTTTTAATTAGTTAATATATTTAAATAAAAGATTAACTATAAAAAAATAAAGAAAAAGTTGTTTAAAAAGGAAGAGCTTTCTTAATAAGTTTATTTTTATATTTATAACCTTTTTTTTATAATTATTTTTAAATTTTAAAGATTCTTTTTAACTTTTAAAATAACTTTAAAATTATTAGAATTTCTTTTAAGTATAATAATATATACTATTTTAATTATTATATTAAAAGGAATATTATAGTAATAGTTTTAAAGATAGAGAAGTAGTATAGTAGTTAAGAGGTGGTAAAGAGGAGTATAGGTAGTTATAGTGACTATTTCCAGTACCCACTAATACACGGTATGGGAGTTTAATACCATTGTCTGTCAGATCCGCCGCTGAGTTGTGCGCTGTATAGCTGACATCGGAATATCCGAACTCGATTTCCCGCAGTTTCTCGCAGATGCCTTTTCCCATGGCTCGCAACTCTTCGATGTGTTTGCTGGTAAGAGAATTTTGGGCATGATCAGCACCGCGCTTCCCAATCCAGGCTCCAGTGTTATGAAATGCTTCCGTGCCATCGAGCATGACTTACTTGGTCAGAACAAACCCATACACGAACGATATTATCCTCGTACTGGGACCCAAATAACTGGCACGAACTTCCCATTGCTTGTTCCGGCTAAATTCAACATGATTTATGCCGACGGTGGTGGGTCTTATGAATACCGTTGCTGCTGTTGCACTGTTTGTCGTGACGACGGCCGTGGGTGTTGTTGGTACCTGTCCCGCTGGTGCATTGTTTCTGCTACTCCATGGGAGAAGCGTTTGCCGCATTGCGGGCTTTGCGGTAGCTCGGGATGTGGTTTCGCTTCTATTCCGTATACGTCTGAGGACATATATGGCGCCTTCACACGGTAGTAAGCACTCAAGACCCAGCGCTTAAAAAGAATATAATGTTAATAACAATATTATATAAATATATTTAAAGGAATAATATTTTAATTAGAATTCCTTTTATATAATTTATTTATCGTTATTAAGACGGTGCCCCTTAGCTTTATCTATGCGTTATAAGGTTAAAGTTATAAATACTTATTATATTATAATTATTATTATTAGTATTATATTCTTTTTAAATATTAAGTCTTAAATGCTTACTACTATATTAAGGCGCTATATATATCTTTAAATATATATAAAATAAAAGTGAAACTATATATAATTTATTTATATAATAATTATTTTTAAATTTAGTTTTATTATTTAATTCTTTTATAATATATTAATTAATATTATTATTAAAATAAAACTTTTTAATTTTATTTATATATTATAAAATTAAAATTATAAATACTTATTATATTATAACTATTATTATTAATATTAAATTCTTTTTAAATATTTAATATTAAGTACTTATTATTATATAAAGGCGCTATATGTATCCTTAGATGTATATAGAATAGAAGTGAAACCATATATTCCTACCTAGACATCATCACTTGCTCCAGTCTTTCTTGATGAAGTCCGCACACCTCTCACTGACCATGATCGCTGGCCACATCGTATGGGTACTCAGCATCCGCGGAAACACGCTCGTGTCCGCGATGCGCAAGTTGCGTAAACCGTGAACCCGGAGCCGCTGATCGACGACCCCGTGGCGTGGGTCGTTGGACATGGGACACGTGCAGCTGGGATGCAGGCTGACGGTAGCCACGCTGCGGATATAGCGATCGATTTCATCATCCGTGACGGTATCCCACGTCTTCCCAGGAGCTGAAGACATCGCAGCTGCAGGCTTTTGAATTGGACTGGCAGACGCCGGTGTCACGACTGGCGCGGCTGCCGCAGTCTGTTCGTCCTCGGCCGTTCGCTCCCACTCGGCGAGCTTGTCCAGTTCATTACCAGGCGCAAAGGCGATTGGGGCCGGGTGTGGGTAACCTGATCTCTGGAACTCCTGGGCCAGACGCATCGCGAACCGGATCGCCTTGCGCGCGATGGGCCAGTCATCCTGGCTGCGTAGCAGAGGATGAGTAACTCGGGGATGAGAAAGAGGGTTCGAGTCTGCCAGCTCGACTCGGCCTTGTGAGTGTGGTTGGACCAGACAAGGGTAGAGGGTCAAGAGGTTGCGGCCAGGGACAGGTCTCTTGAAGCCGGCGACTGCAAACATCATGACCTCTATATCTGGTATGTTTCGCGGCTGTGAGATGTCTATGTTGTCCAGTCGGTCGCCGTTGCCGTCAGATTTAGGTTCTTGTTCCCGTATGGCCATGGTCGTGTCGTCAATAGCCCCACTGCGGACAAATATCGTACTGGGGATGCAGTTGCTACTCATCAGCCCGGTCCTGAAGAAGAACCAGAGCAAGATGTGCCAAAGCCCGTAAATTGCAGTTTGAAGCATGTGCATTGTTTCTTTCTTCGGTAGGTCGAGCATGATGGGGAAGGCAAAATGATCAGACAGGGTTTGGCCGACAGGTTTTTCATTGACGACAGGAATGCCGTTCGCGTCCAGTTGGTCCCGGGGCCCGATTCCACTGAGCATGAGGAGCTGCGCGGTCTTGAGAGCACCGCAGCAGACGATGACCTCGCGCCGCGCCTCGACGCAGAAATCGCCTGTGGATTTTCCGGGGACGGCCGGACGGAAGAAGACGCCACGTACGGAGCCTGCATCTTCATCTATCTTCAACCGTGATGCTGCGGCACCAGTGCAGACTGTCAGGTGGCTTCGTCGCTTGCGGGCAATATCTTCATTCAAGAAGGCTTGATACGACGTGTTTCTCTCCGCCCGCTCATCCACGGCCTGGTCCAGCCTGTAAAACCCCATGGCGGGCGCGGTGGGGTCGTTGACATCGTCGATGATACGAAGACCAAGGGCCTTCGCTGCGCTCTCGATGCTGTGTAAAAGGAAATGTGGGTTAGTTTTATTAGTGGCCCCCATGTGAGCAGAGTAGGGAGACTTAGACCTACTATGGTCCCCAGGTAAAGGATGTTCTGAACTGCCTGATCTTAATCGGACCTGGGGGTTGTAGCTTGATAAGCGGTACTGATCGACGACATATGACAATAAAATAGATCCGGCTGCTTACCATCATGGCCTCTCGTCTTAGACCGGGGCCGGCCGATGTTGTTTTCGCTCTTGCGAAAGAATGGTTCGACGCGATCCCACGCCCAGTCATCAAGAGACATGTCCTGGGCCCAGGAGTTGTACTCTGCAGGTGGGCCTCGGGTCATCACCATTCCATTAATCCGTGATGCACCCCCAAGGCCTTGCGCCGTCCAGAGCTTGAACTTCAAGCCATTGGCCTCCGGCGAGGGCTCGGAGAAGTGGTCGCTGATAACTTGAAGCTTGTCGCCAAAAGTAAAATTCTGGCTCAGAAGTGGACTGCGAGACAAGAGGCTATTCTTGACACATCCCTTTTCAAAAACCAGGACCGAGACGTCTGGATCCTCAGACAGTCGCGAACCAAGCACACAGCCAGCCGTGCCGCCTAGGGAACGTCAGACTCTTGCCATACGGCTTGAAAGGTGTGGGTAGATGTGCTTAGATTTCTATCGATATGACTTACCCCCGACGACGATATAGTCATAAGTTTTACCATTTACCTCCAAGGGGGAGACCTCAGGATAAGACGAAAAGGGCCACATGATCACTAGTTGAGGTGAATCGTGGGCGCTGTGGTCTGGCTGGACTGTAGTGGCACTTTCAATTGAAAATCTTTGAAGTGAAGTTCGATGGATCCTAAAAGAACATGGAAACTGGACGGGCACTACTCTTCAACTAGATGTTTGCCTTGTATCACAATTCCAAGCAGAGCATATCGAATAGAGCAAATTAACTAGTTATTTAACTATAAATAGTAAGTATAGAAAGCCTATTCTTATAGATAATAGAGCGTTATAATAAATAGACTTAATTAATTACTTATAGCTTAATATACCCTTTAAATAACTAATTAGTTATTTAAATAGAGTATTATATACTTTCCTATTATAATATTATAAATAATAAATTAATTTTATACTCTAAATAAATTTAATTAAACTTTTAAATAGTAATAAATAGAATAATTAATATTTATTATATACTTTTAAGTATTTTAAATATATAAAACTCTTAGTTTATTAATATATTATACTTACTAATTTTATATAAGTAGGTAAATCTTCTTTTATATTTTTCTTATTATTCTATACTTATATATACCTATATATATATATATATATATATATATAATATTATCTTACTTAAAGGTTATTAAATAAAGTACTTATAAAGCTATTTAAATTATTAATAAAGTAATTTTATATTTATTTTAAATATTAAATATATAATATAAGTATTTTATATTAATATTTTATATAGTATAAGTTTATTAAAAGATCCTTAAAGCTTATATTATCTATATAGTTCTTTAAAGTAGAAAGAGTAGGTATACCTTAATATTATACTTTTTACTATTATATACTTTATACTCCTCTATTATTAAAAGAAAATAAAAGAAATTAAGTTTATTATTAATATTTATTATATTATCTTTTATTTAAATTATATATACTTTATATTTACTAATTATAATATTAATATATATTATAAATAAATAAATATTAACTATTTAAATTATTATTTTAAATATATTTATAGGTATAATTATTAAAAGGTCTTTATTTATATTATTACTATTATTATTAAGTTAATTAAGTATTTTAAAGTTAATATTAATAAATTTATAAACTTATTTTAATTTATTAATATATTTATTATATTAATTTATATAATAAACTTTATATTATATATATAAAACCTTATATTTATATTTTATTAAGTTAATATTATTATTTAAACCTTTTATTATAATTTTATTAAGTTTAATAAAAGAAGAAAAATAAAGAAAAGAGAATAAATATAATAATAATATTATTATTTTATATATTAAGTATATTAAAGTGTTTAAAAGGGTATTTATACTCTTATTAATTTAATATTTAAGTAGTTTAAGGTTATATAGTATATTTATTTTTATATAATTTAAAAGGCTTTACTTTATATAAATAAAATTTTAATTATTTTATATTTTTAAATAATTTACTTATATTATATAAGTTTAATATATATTTAAAGTATTTAAATTATATTATTAAAAGAGCTTTTATTAACTTATTTATTAATGTAAACTTAATTAATAAGTATTTTACTTAAAATAATTTTTAATATATTTCTATTTTAACTATATATTATAAATATTAATATAATAAAGCTTTATAATAACTCTTTCTTACTTTATAATAATTAATTAAATTATTTAATTATTATTATTATAAAGTTTTTATATACTTTTATATTAATTATTAAATTTTTAAATAGTTATTTAAAAGTTATAAACTCTTTTAATATATATAATATTAAAAGCTCTACTTTTATTATAAATACTATAATTATATTTTATTAAATAGTTTTTAATAGATTAACTTATTATAAAGTATTATAATATACTTTTAAAATAAATATTAAATTTCTTTATTACCTATAAAAAAGTATTTATATAAATAATTAATACTTTTAAAACTTTATTTTTATACTATATTATTAAAAATATATAATAAATAAATAAATAATATATTATTTTATTATCTTTAAATATTTTAGTTTTAAATTTAATAAATAAAGTAAAAGTTAAGTAGCTATAAATACTATATTTACTTAAATTATTATTATTATATATAGAATTGCTTATATACTTTTAAAAGTTTTAATTTATTCTTTTATAGTTTATTTTTATATTTTAAAATATATATTTAAGTATTAAAATATTTAAATTATTTAATAAGTTAATATTAAAGTACTTAATAATCTTTTAATATATATATTATATATTAAATAAAGTTTATTAATTATTTAATTTTTATAATTTAAATCTTTAAGTATTATTTAGTTACTCTTTAATCCTTAATTTTATATATTTTCTTTAATTTTTTATTATTTTATAAACTTTTAACTTATTATTTTAATAATAAAAACTAAATAATTATTAATAAAGAATATTATAATAATAGTTTTTATTTATTTTAAAAAATATACTTTTTTATATTAGTTTATAAATTAAGTTTTTAAAATATTAATATAAACTTTTATATTATAAAAATAATATATCTTTTAATTTATATATTATATTATAAAGCTTTATATACTTTTAAGCTACTTAAATTAATTTAAAAGTTTATAATAAATAAAACTTTATTAAATTAAATATTAAAAATATATTTATTATATTAAATTATATAATTTTAAAGTTATATTAAATAATAAAATTATAATAATTTAAAATAACTTTATAATAAATATTATTATATATATACTTTAAAGTATATTTTATAATTATATATTTTATATATATATAATTAAACCTTATTATACTCTAAAACCTATCCTAATCCTATTTATATATAAATACTTATTTAAATAAAAGTAGTTTACTTTTAACTAAACTCTTTTAATTATTTTTATATACCTTTATTAATTTAAATATTTAACTTAACTTATATAATAAATTTAAAAGTTTATTATTAAATAATTTTATAACTTTTTTAATTATTTAATAATAATTTATAAAACTTACTTTTATATAATTTTACTATATATATAAGTTTAAAGTTCTTTAAGTTATTAAATATTACTAAATTATTATAAATAATACTATATATAATATTTTATATATTTAATTTCCTTTATTTAAAATTATCTATTAATTAAATATATAAATATTAAAGAAAAGAAACTATTTATAAGCTTTTAAAATATTAATATATCTATCTTTAAAAGTATTATAATAAAAATACCTCTATATTCTAATAATATCTTCTATAAATATTAACTTACCTTTATTATTAATTATTACTCCTTTTATCTTAAAGTAAATAATTTAATTAAATCTAATTATAATAAAGAATTAATTTATATAATAATAATATTATTAATATATTCTTATATTAAAAAGAGTCCTTTAGCTATTTATTAATAACTTTATTTTTAAACTTAATACCCTCTTTAATACTTTTACTCTAAGTTAGGGCTTCTATACCCTTTAATACTCTTATAATTAAATTAAGTATTTACTTTGCTTAATAATTAATCTTTTAAGTAATAATTCCTTATCTTTAAACCTATAATAAATATACTTAAAGGTTCTAAATTTAACTAAATACTATCTAAAAGGTAATACTCTATTTTAAATATTTATTTAAATAAAATTTCTACTTTTTTCTTTTTTATAATAATCTAATTAAATATATTTAAGTATTATTATATATTTAATTAATTTATTTTATTTTATAAAATATAAAATATAATTTTATTAAATATAATATTATATATATATAATATATAGTTAAGCTTTAAAATTTATATTAAATAGATATTTATTACTTTATATCCTATAAAATATTTAATATAAATATATAATTAGACTTTATAGTTATACTATAATACTTAACTTTATAGTCCTTTATAATAAATATACTTAATAATTATATATATATATATTTCTTTAATTTAAATAAAATTTATAATAAGTTTATATACTTTTAAAAGTATATTAATAAAAATATTAAATAAATTAAACCTTTAATATTTTATATAAAAGTATTATATAACTACTTTATAAAAGACTAGTTATAAAAATAAATAGCTATCTTATTTATATATAGTTATAACTTCTTTAAAAGGTTTATTTTAATATATATTTTAATAAACTAAATAATAACCTTTTAATTAATATATTTTATATTACTATTAAGTTTATAAATATATAAATTATAAACTATTTATATTTTTTTAATTCTACTACTAAGTTAAAAGTAAATAGTTAGAGTTTTAAAGGAATAAAATATAATATATCTTTTAAAAATTAGCTTAACTAAGTTTATTATATAAAACTTTTTATAATAACTTTATAATTATCTATAATACTATCTATTATTAAAAGATACCTTCCTATATTAATATACTAAGCTATACCTAGTTAGTTTAAGCTAGTACTATTAGCTTATTAAAGGTTAAAGCTATTGCGGACTATAGGCTACTTAGTCTTAATGCTATTAAGTATTATATATGATATTATTGTGTAACTTAGGCCTTCTACAAACACAAGTTAGCTGAAATAGGCGAAGATAAAAGCTACCATTCCCCCAAGGGTTCTGGCTCTACTCTATAAGCAAACACCCATCTAGCAAACCTAAGAGACTATTAGCTCCACTGCGTTGCAAGTAAAACTACTTGAAAGCAGTCGCTTAGCCTGCTATATAAACTAAGAGACAACTAGATAAGGTAACTATACTCTATTACTATATATAATATCTAGGTTTATAGTTCTAATAGCTTTATTATAAATAGAAAAAGAAATAGCTATTAATAATTAAATCTATAACTATATAAAGATAAACCTTTACTTTAAAGAAAAGTTATTAATATTTAAAATAATTAATATATTTTTAAAGAAGTTAAAGGATTATAAGTTTTAATTTAAAGGAAATTAAGATTTATAAGAATCTTAAATTTAAACTTAAGGTTTTTCTTTAAATTTAACTCCCTTAAAGAGAAAAATATTAAAAAGGTTTAAAAGAGACTTAAATAAAGTTAGATAAAGTTATAA